TGCCTCTGAATGACGTGTCCAAATAAATGTTACAGTCTATTATTAAAAACTGTGATAGAGAAAAAATTATAAGCAACTTTCTCATTTTCAATGTATGTTTCATAAACCTGTTTAAAAATAATTCAATTATCTCGTCGCATTCAATCTCATTTCTTTAAAGTTTAGAAATTATGATAGAATCACTGAAGATCAAATTTATTAAAAAATCATTAAAAATGATAAAAAATTTTGTGGTAAAAACTTCTTTCTCTTCGTCAAATTGAAAAAAAGAGTCAAAAAGGAAAAGCTAAATTTAACGACAAAAGCTGAATTTATTAGACATGCATTGAAACGTGAAAGAATAATTAGAAATTTAATTAATCGTAGAATATCCGCAAAAATCCTTAAAATCTTTTTAAGGATCTACATATATATATTTTGCTAAAAATCATCAGCATCTCAAATACCTATATTAATTTCTATTACATGTGACAATACATTTTTAAATTTAATATACACATATTGCAAACATATCGAATGGACAGATTATTATAATTCCATCTGAAAGAAAAAGGATTCAACATACATGAAAAATCTTTAAAATCTTTTTAAGGATCTACATATAAATTTTTCTAAAAATCATCAACATCTCAGATATCTATATTAATTTTGATTACACGTGACAATACGTTTTTAAATCCAATATACACGCATATCGAATGGACAGATTATGATTCTGTCTGAGAGAGAGAAAAAGAATTCAGTATACATGAAATTGTAGAATGTTATAAGTTCCCGCGGATGTTAAGACTGCAATCAACGAAATTGCGCCGCTGTAAAAATAACCGGTATGAAATCCCGCACCGTAATGCGAACATTTCGGTCGTTGCGAACTAATTGGCCAACGCGTCGGTCCCATCGGCGACAGTAGTCCCTCGGCTTTGAGACGTAATAGGATCGCACGGCCCGGCTATTACCGAGCCGCGTTATCCTGTTGTGGGATACCAACGCGTCCCGTAAATCTCGGTACTGCGATAATCCCATGGGTGAACGAGTAGCCAGCTTTGCAGCTGAGAAAGAGAGAGAGAGGACCTTCCTTCTCACGGCCGAGAAGTGTCGCGCCGGGAGACCGCTTATCTTATACGGGCTCGAAAACAAATGTACACGGACTCGTTGGATACTAAATCAGTACCTACGGTGCTATAAGAGTTTAATACTTGCGAAACGAACGAGACGGCGTTCTCGAGAAATTACTAAGATCTGGAAATCTTTCTGTAATGCGCGGCACCTTTTGAGACAAGTGGCCTTCAAAGGTTTTTTAGATAATCGCGAGGAAAGAAATAAGAGAATAAAGATACGATAAATGCATACCGTCTAACTTTAATTATATTTTTTAAATATTTTATTTTATATAGAATAATTATTTTTTAACTGTTAGCTGCAAGCTAGAGAAGAGTCATAAAAATCATAAACATATTACAAAAAATAAATATAAAGTATTTTATAAAAATGGTGAACAATATCATAATAAAAAAATTACTTTTCGCTGAAATTTTCTAAAAGAAGAAAAAGAAAGTACTTCAATTTTTGCGTTACCACAACAGGAAGCTATATCAATCTCGTAGAGGGAAAAGAAACAAAAGGTAATAAAAGGATTAAACTATCTTCGATCTATTCAAGAGTGAAATCTTAATGTACTAAAGTAATCGGTCGTTAACAGAGAGCCGCAAGAACGTATACGTACCCTCAGCCTAATATGCAAAGAAAGTGCATAATTAAGGCACGGTCGTTGCTTCTCGCGGGAACGCTGATTGTCTCTCTTGGTTCACGACTTCTTAATGAAAAATCGTCGATTCCCGCGAATTCGTTCCACGTATCTCTCCCGCAAGACAGAACTCGCAAGTCAAGGGCTTCGAGACCTATGACCCTTCGGGAGATTCGAAGTCACGGTACCACGGTCCTTGATACATGGTCCTTGAGGGGATACGCTGTCCCACCTAGCGATGCAACGGAGGTCGATGTTACCCTTCGTCGAGTGTGTACTTCTCGTGATGGAGGCGGACGCGGGATGGTAGTATCATGGGCATAGTATGTCTTGAACGAGACAACGGACCACCAACCGGGCATCTCGGAACGATGAACCGGATGCACCTATTGGAGACGTTCACAACTTGCAGAACTCTTCGCGGTTCAAAGTTCAACGATTTGCTATTTTTTCCCCGACGTGAATGAGACGAAACATCGGTAGGAATCTACGAGTTTTTCAGCATAGCGACATTAAATGTTGCAGCATTCTTATCGTGCTTTTTTTTAGAAAAAGTTTTTTCGCGCGAAAGAGCAGATAATATATTTTGGATAAATACAGATTACACAAAAAATATTAAATAGATATCTGAATAATTTCTGAATCTCTGTGATCTTTTCTTGCGAATGTAAAAAAGTAAATTATACACAGAGAGAATTTTCTCTTAGAATTTACCCTGAAAATGGTAATCGTGAAGAATTTTATAAGAGTTTCTCTGATTAATATCTTTCGCAATAAAAAATATTAATATGTACATGATAAAATTTTTGTCGTGGTAAATATTAATCAGAGAGAAACTCATGAAATTCTTCCAATACCATCGCCCCATATGATTACCATAATTTTCAGGATAAATTCTAAAAAAAAAAATTGCGCGTACAAAAAAATATTATGCAAATCGAAAGTATTCACGTTATTACATATAACCGTTAACGAGCAAATAAAACTCATTCATTCCTCGTTCGTTGCGGAGGTAACCGCAACTTCTCACGGATCTCATAAACCACGTGAGAAAATGCGGAAAGGTAAATGATGAGGGAACGGCGGCTCCCTGACCAAAAAGAGACATCCGGTTTATAGTCGATTTTCTGTATACGAGAGCCTGGTTGGTGGTCCGGTCTAGGACATACCACACTCGCGAGAGTAAAGAGAGAGATACCTCGAGTATCGGTGCGGACTTGGCATTGACCTTCCCTTCGCCAAGCGACGAGAGGGGCCGTAGATGCTGTCTTCTCAAGGACCATCGAGGATCGTCGTCGTGTGCAGTACCGACCCTGGAAGCCCATTAAGGCATCCCGAGACATCCCGTCCCGACCATCGTCGCAAATCATAGGTTTAATGGAACGATAAATTTGTATTCATGCCGCGTGCCGATTCACCCCCGCGAAACCCCGCTCGAGCCACCAAGTATCCCTGGATATATCGTGGATAAAAGGAGCGAAAGGGTTGCATCGTGGAGCAATAAGGACTCTGCGAGGATGATGCCACGCGTGGAATCCGAATAATTGATAGGTGCCTTCGCTGCTGTCAAATACCGCGCGCAAAAACCGCGAGAAACAGATCGATATAAATATGCGCGCACAATAAAGGAATGCATATTAAATATTAGGAATAGAAATTATTTTTAAATAATAATATCGAAAAAACTGATATATAAATACAAATTTGAGTATAAATGACTTTTATTAGCTTATTAGTTCGTACTAATCCTTCACATCCAAATTTGAATTTTTATGTCAGTCTTTTCGATTTTATTATTTTAAAATAATGCTTATTCTTAATATTTAATATTTATTCCTAATATGTTCTATTGTGTGCAAGGCTTTAAAGAAGAAACAGCTCTCATCAACACAAATGTTTTTCTCTTTCTCTCTCTTCTACATATATGACTTACGTAACATTTTACGTAATCTTTCACACTAAAATTTTATTACTTCCTCAAGGATAGAATCGTGCGATTATAAAAATTAAAATAGTTAAAACTGTACAAAAATATTTGTTCATTTCGTTGAGTACATATTTTTAAACAGATTTTATATATTTCTCTCTTTTTATGTAATATTGTATTTCGAGATATTCATGCTATAAAAAAATTGACTAATCTGTCTAATTTTGCTCCGATTTTACTTAATATAATATTATTTATTTAAAGTCGCTTTATCAGCTATTAACATTTTTATTAAGGATGTAATTATAAAAAGCTCCAATTATTATGCTCGATATGGAAATTATTCATATACATGTATCAACAAGAAGAATTTCATAGTTTTTATCATGGCTTCCGCTTTTTTTGATAAACTTTCACAGCATGAAACAACGGATTATACGCGGGTAACGGTGGAATTATAATTTTCCACAAGCATGAATTATAAATATTCATGTCCGAGGAATTATTCGCGACGTCGTCCTGTGAGACCTATGCCCTTCGTCGTTAGGTAAATTGCTTTGCTTGTTCGCGCATGTGAGAAAATGGAGTACGTATAATGTATCCATTATATCAAGAAGATGATAGTTGCTCTTTCTTCCTCTCTCTATCTTTCTCTTCCTCTCTTTCTCTCTTTCGAGCTGTACCTTGGAAAAGTAGTTAATCAAACTTGTGGAGAGCATCTTGTGGAGAACGCCCCCAAACTCGTCACGCTCCACTGGTATACTTCAAATTACGCAAACTTTATTAATGACTTTAAGCAATTTTATTTATATTAAACATATCTCGTCGCGACCTTATAAAATCAATTTTATTCTTATTAATTTTAATTTTACTGTAATTTTATTTTAATTAATTTTATATATATATTCAGGGTGTATACTCAAATCTTAGAAATAAATTCCCTGAGGATTCCATGATTTTCCAGGTATTTTTGTTCAAAATTCCAAATAAAATTAAAGTATTTTAAATAATATTTAGAATACAATTTTGAAATAAGTTTATTTGTTATACATAATTTTTTAACATAAATAAAATATATTTTAATATACGTATACTTTATATAAAGCTAATAAATTTTATATTCTTTAAAATTATATTTTAAAATTATAAAGGAGCATTTTTTTTAATTCCCTAAGTTTAAATCAAATTCCATGATAATTACAGGATTTTTCAAAGTAGAACAAAATTCCCTGAGAATTCCAGATTTGTCCAGAGAGTGCACCCTGATTATTCTTATTAATTTTATTTTTTAATTAACTTGTTAATTATATCTCTATCTATACATCACAGATGGCCAGTATAGAGGTGTCCCTGTCGACGACCCCGAGACGGAAAAAAGGCGGCAGTATTTCCGGGGGCGTAACCTCCCCCGCACACCGGAACAGAGATCATTATAAAGAATTGGACGCTCTCCGAGTCGCTTTGCGCGACAAAGAAAACATCATACAGACGTGAGTAATTGCTTGATTACACATCCTCGAGATACGGTCGGCATTGAGAGAGAAAGATCAGCAGTATAGCAATTGATCACGTTCTATTCCTTTATTATAATGATCGCGCGCGGAAATAATAAATGGGGAACGAGTGGACTTGATGTCCTTTAAGGAGAACCGGACTTTCTTAAATGAACACCATCGTAATCTAAAATTCCTCCTTTTACAGATATTAAATCTTTCAGACTTGATTTGTCGGAGCAATTTCTTCGCTTTCTGCATAGATAAATTATTATCTTAAGAGACAAAAGAATTGCAGAGAAAAATATTGTCCCTTATTAATTATTTTCCTATTAAAACTTCTTTAATTGCTCGCTTTCCACAAATTATTTTATATCATTCGATATGCTAAACACTGTTTCTTTTTTTTAAATACAATAATACAAACTACAAAGTTTAGAAGAAAATTTAATTCGAAAGTTTGATAGAAGAAACTACTATTAAAATATAAAATGCAATACAAGCAAAGCATTATATATAATTACAGTGACTATATTTTCTGAGAGAAAATAATGGACAAATCTGAAAAATTTAGGCTTTATTTCAACATGTTTTCAAATTAATTTGCGACCAAAGTGGAGATCGATGATGAGCAAAAAAAATAATTCTGTAATTAACATAGGTCTATGTATTCTTATAGTTTGAAACTAATTCGACTATGTTGAAACAAATCTTTGGTTTCTTAAATAGGTTCCAGATAAGAGTACTGTTGTTTCCATACAAATGCTCACATTACTATTACGAAATTAGACAATAAAATGCTAAATAAAAATTAAAGGACAAAATTAAATTATATATATATATATATGTATATATATATATATATATATATATATATATATATATATATATATATACGGTGACCACATCCGCCCTTTATTTTAGAAGACAATCTTTTATTTCAAGTAGCTGTCCTTTAGATTTATTCATACCTCCAAAATTTAATTTTGTCCTTTAATTTTTATTTAGCATTTTATTGGCTAATGTAATATTAATGTGAGAATTTGCATAAAAACAACGGTACTCTTATCTGAAACCTATTTAAGAAACTAAAGATTTGTTATATTATATATACATATAATAATAGTAAGATAACAGATTATAATGTTCTCTATGTTCTATTTTTCAAAGCTTGTATAGATCTTTATAGTTAGCGAATCTACAAAAAAGAAATAAAAAGCTTCATCAAAGATCCAGTAAATTTCAATGCACATTTCTAAAGATCAGAGAGCAGACAATAGGAGCACAAAGGTATTTTCTTTCCCCTGGCACGTTACGGCATTCATGCCTTTTGTTATTTTTCAGGCTCAAGGGCCAGCTTTGCAACACGCTGAGCAATAGACTGGCATTACGCAATGGCGCGCCACCCTTGACCGAGGCCGACAGGAAAGCGGCCGAGGAACGGCTTCAAAGGTTGCGACGAGACGCCGACAATAAGCGACTGGCTATTAAGAACCTGAAGCTGGCGCTCGAGCGCCTCGACATTACAGAGTAAGGATGAAATCAAGATTTCAGCCGCGCGCATGGCTCATTCGATCGCGTTATCGTAAATTACGATTACCGATATACTATGATAATATACTTATATGCAAATGTCTCCTATAAACACATGGCAAGATAAACAAAACTATACATATATGTATCGTCTGTGTACGATAATGCAGATAATATACATAGATTTTGCAAACATAATTATGGTAATATAAACTAAATATTACTGATTGCGTAAAACACTAATTAAATTTTAGCCCGTTTATTTCGAATTATTCTATTTAATGTTTGTTTATAGGGTGAATTATTGACAGAATAAACAAGATGATTAATTTTGCTAAACGGTTCATAGGGAAAATTATTATTAATTAATTTAATAATTATTATATTTGTAATTATATACACTATAATGACTTAAAATTATAAGGCCTTAATAAGAATTAAAAAAATGAAGATAAAGACGAAATAAGAAGACATTATTCACAAAATAAAAGAATTAAATTGTTACATATATATAATTTTTACAATACATTTAATAAGTTTAATAAAAATAATAATTTATATACACACATACATATGAAATATTTAAAAAGTTACTAATATTGACAGATAAATAATTGAAAAAATTATAAATTTCATTTGTAAAACAAAATTATTCGTCAATATAAAAAGATAATATCCATTAGAACTAGATCATACAATCTTAGAATTATATTAAAAGAGATAATTCCAAGATCCCATATGGTCTAGTGGCTAGGATACCTGGCTTTCACCCAGGAGGCTCGGGTTCGATTCCCGGTATGGGAAATTTTTTTTTTTTTAACTATTGAATTATTAAACAATTTTTAATCGAGAAAATTATTAAATTTATTTAAATTTATACGAATGCAAAGACAGCAAAACACTTGGATGAATAAGTATAATTAAAACCATATTTGATCCTTCCTTCCACATTAGTTTTTATAATATAAATACTTTAAATATATAACAAACTAAAATATGCAATATTTATTTCAGTAATATTGATGTTCGAATACAACAAGCGGAATTGGAGTACAGACTAGGTCGTGAGGAACTCGAGCTGCTGACTCTTCACGAGGAGAGCAGAGCCCTTCAAACTGCTTTGGAATTGGCCGAAACTCAAGAAAAGCAAAAGAATGATACAATATTTAGGTATATATTTTCTATAATTTTATTGTTATTAATATTTAAAATATTTTTTGAATGTTATGCAATTTCCTTTACGTTACGCAAATTCAATAGAATGATAACAAATTTTTATCTGTTCTATTTACTCACGATGAAAAAACAAGAACTGATTAATTATAAGGAGATAAAAGTATCTCTCAGCATATCAATTTATGTACATATTCAAATTCTTTTTCTTAATTTTTCTTAATAAAAATTCAATTAAAATTATCCATCCTTTATCAAGACAATACTTTTATCATTAAATATTTTGCGTGTATGTGTATATATATATATTAAGACTATTATTTAAAGTCAATTTAAATAAAACTTGCGTGAGTTATTTGTTACTTTCTTTTCCACAAGAGACTTAAATTTACATCAATCACTTTGTTTGCAGCTGCATTTCCGGCTCGACGCAAGTTACGATCCACGCTGTAGAAGTCAGTGCGGATCCAAAAAGTCCTCGTTTTGGAGCCGGGCCAAGAGACGATGCGATTGGCCTCTACGTCGACTGGGCCGTAGAGGATTCCGGTCTTTGCAAGGGAGACAGGTTCGCATTGTTATACCGCACGGAATTTGCGAGCCATCGAATAAATATCGCACAGTCGCGTCCCTTCGATATACAAGACGATCTGATATAAAAACCGTGCGAATTTTTCGTCCTCTGTATGCGTATTCGACTCACGTCAAGATATTCTTTCCGCAATCGTCAGTTTGTCTGCTCCCCGTTCATTGCATTTTAAACAACGTATACATACATATATAATTATATATATTTTCTAAGATCAGCATCAAATTTTGACAGTTACTGTGATTATGATAGTCTTCATAATTTTTCAATGAAGAGCCAAATAACGACGTTTAAAATATATTTGTAATGCCAAATTAATTGAATAATTTGATTTAGTTTCGTATGAATTTTTAAGAATTTTTAAAACGAATTCATTTTCTAAAAGCATTTCGAAACTTTTCTTTATAAATTATACATATAATATACAACTAAAATTCTCTATCATATATAGATAATAAGCAAAATTTCATTAGACTAATTGATAAAAGCAAAGTTAAAATGTTAAAAGCCGTAAAAGAAAACGTATTCAATTTTTAGCTAGAAAAATCATCCTATGTGTCAGAAGTCAGAATAGATATGCATCTGAAGTTTAATTTAAAGCTTACAAAATCAATCGATGTGTCGACACAACATCACCGATAAAACTTTTCCAACGTATAAAACTGTGAGTGGAACTGTAAATCGAATGTCGATCGATTTGTTTTATTGTTCTTCTCGTCAGGAAAACATTACGACAATACGAATGAGATACTCCTCCGCGTTTCTGTGAAAGAATGGCAGTACAACACGGCAGCGAAGTAACCATTCCATTTCGCGGACTCTTTAATCATCATCTAACAAAAGAACAGGAATAAAAAAAAACTACGTTTCTGTCGACGTTATCCATCGTAAAAATTAATACTGCTCTCAAAATTCGAAACACCAGTTTCTGATGAAGCTGTCACTGTCGAATTTTGCAATCGCAATTCGGAATTCTTAAATTTGCAATTAGACATTATAGACTGACATTTTTTAGCATAATATTTTCAATAGAAATTGTTTATGCACGCGAATTGATTCAAATTTATTTTTAAAAGGAAGAATTTACCATTGAAAATCGGAATTCGAGGAATTTTATTAATTCGAGCACAAACTCTGTTAGCTCCGGAACGATGCAGGAAGGGTGTCGGAGGAATCGTAGTGTGTTTGTACGACGATGGTAGTAACGTGCGCGCCTATCGGGGAAGAACAATGGGGCAATCTTGACATTCGGTTCCCAACAGGTCGCTGTAGCGTGAAGCGGCACCGGAAGTTCGCCGAGTGCCCTCGCTAATTGCACTCGCGACTTCACATGACCCCACCTTCCACTATTTTACCCAGTATATTCACTCAAGGAGATTCACTATATTAAATACGACCAGAAAGTTCCAGGCCTGTTTACGTAAATCCCTTATAAATACACGTGGAAATTAATGGATTGTTCAACTTTTTGGTTCAAAGTATTTGATTTCAGAGACGAGATTAATTTTCAAACAAGTTGTTTTAAAATTGGAATTTCAAAATCATAAATACAAAATAAAATTTAACTTCCTTATTTATTTCCACTCGTAAAATCGCAAAAAACTTATTTTTGATCGTTTATCTAATTTAGAAACTATAAAAACTTGATATTTTTTATACGCAATAAATAAGTTTCAATAAAAAACGCATACAAATTCCATTTAAAAAATATACTCTAAAACTTTCTCAATTGACATTAACACTATTTGAAGTTTTTAGGTGCTTCTCACGAAATGATTAAAGATAATACGCATTACATACTTTAGCTCGGCATAATTTTTTCCAGTTCCCACACATTATTATTCGCTATGCGTCATTAAGCCCAGTTCTGCGTATAATTTCACTTTATAATTTGATCATATAAAATGTAAAGTTGTAATCAGATATCATCCAACATTACAATCGTCATTCGAGCTCTATTCTGGCAGAGAATAATACTGTAATCATTTAATTTTTCATTAATTATATGTATATACATTTTTTTATCAATTATACGTGTATACGTATATACTAAAAAGAATGAAACATATATCACTCGTATGCGATGTATTAAAAGGTTTTTAATTAATTTAAAAGAGCGGAGGAGATTAGTCCTTAAAAAAAAGTTGTCCATTTAAATACGATTGCTGTACAAATATATAATTAAACAGTACATTTTTTCAGAATCTTGGAGGTAAATGGAAAACTGGTGGTAGGAGCGGGTAGGAGCGATTTGGCGCGACTTCTAGCCGTTGCACCTGACGCTGCACAAATAGTAGTCCTACGAAAAGGCGAATCCCTAGCGGCATTGCGTACGTTACGCTCCGATAATCTCAGATTAACACATAGGATCGGTTATCTCGAGGAACAGGTCAGAGATCTCTTAGCGCCAAGTAGAACCGAGGTTCCCGCTGAAGAGCCATCACCGAATCGTCAAGAACATGTACAGGTAATTTACTGATGCATTCTAAATCGTTTTAGTGAAATAAAACAGCGTCGAATATTTAGGATAAATATCCGTATTGAGTAAGCAGAGATTTATTGAATTTTAATTATATTTTGATATCAATTTTTATTTTTGTATTTTTATTATATAACTTATTATTTTTATAGAAAAATTTTAAAAAATATCTCATAGGAGAAGAGAACAATTTGGTAAATTAATGTTATAATCATAATGAATCAATATATTAATTCAATATAATATAATAATTTATAGAAAATTACATTTATTAATTATAATTTATAATTTATCAATGTGTAAAAAAATCTCTTTCATTTTTAAGCTTGATATAAGCTTTTTTATAAAATGTTCACTAAGAATAAAATCGTCCATTAACTAAAATTAATAGTTAATAAATTAAATATTAAATAATTTCTTAAATAAAAATTTTGAATTGCAGGTTTTCCAAAAAGGCCCTCAGGTGACGGCGTTAGTGGCAAATCTACCCGGTCTCAACGTGAGAAGTTCTACAGAATTGCGCCAGAGTTTGCCGACTGTCAGAAGTAGACATAGTGATCATTCTAGACGTCTTACAGATTCTAGAAACCAGCGTGAGCTCGACTTCTCGTCCGATGGGGTTTCAAACGGTCATCACAAATCACGAAATAGGCAGAAACATCAAGGATTACAGCTGGCCAGGTCTACGGCCAGCCTCGACTGTAAGCAGTCTTTAATGCAGTCGCAGATGCAACATCGAAGATCGCCGCGCGCCGAATCTGCTATGGACCATTTGCATAAGAGTCGTAAAAGCGTCTCGCAATTGCAGTCTCTAGAATTTGACTCTGAACCGACATACTATCGTTTACAGGTAGATTTCGTATCATGTATAATGATGTATGTAGCATTTATAAAAAAAGATCCCGCACCAAATATGTAGGATTTTGACTATCGATGGAATTGGCTGCTTCTTTTTCATATGTTATAACTTATGACTTGCTGAACAAAAGATGTAATAGCTCATTCAATAATTACTGACAATGAGTTATAACCAACAACACGCAAAGTCCTAATTTTTCGTGTTTGATTAACTGTAAATCAGTAACCACCTATTATTTAGCTTTGAGTCTATTATATTTTTGTTCAACAAATCATAAGTTACAAGATTTGAAAAAAATCAGCTTTATTGGGAGTTATTCAGTTTCATGTAGGATTTTATATATGGATTTAAAAAACCCGAACTAATCATATAAAATTAAATCTTGCTAAGATCAACTGTTTTTCTCATATGTTGTAGCTTATGATCTACTGAACAAAAAAAAAGTAATAGACTCAAAGCTGAAAAATAGACAGTTATTAATTTACAGCCAGTCAAATATAAAAAAAACTTGGACTCTACGAGTTGTTTAACTCGCTGGCTGTAACTCAGTAACTATTTAGCTTCGAGACTATTACATCTTTTGTTCAGCAGGACATAAGCTACAATATGAAAAAACAACCAATTCCATTGAAAGTAAAAATGCTATGTATTTGGTGCAGGGTCCTTATTTTTTCTTAAAATTCAAAACTTTTTTTGATTGTATAAATAAATTTAGTAATTGAATCTTGTTTTATCTCTTTTCTATTGATTCATCTATTGATAAATAATAAAAAGCTGCATAAAGCAATATTATAAAATGCATGTTATATGGTGTCTATATGTAATATAATATTTTCCTTTTGCGATAGGACTCTCAATCTCGCGTATCAGAAAATTCTGAGACATCGGCGGCATATGCTAGCTCTCAAGAGACGAAGACTCGCCCGGCACCACCGAAGAAGCCGTTGCGACTCTCCTTGCATCGCGCTGCGAGTCTTCAATCCGTGGAAAGCGCGCCACCGACCGCACCGCAGCACGACATGACCCGGAAGCCTATAAAGAGAAACTATCGCGGCGATCCACCGGTGGAGAAGGGTATACCTCGGCATCTCGAGGCAAACGGAGGGGATATGAGTTCAAACTCGCAAGAATCTCATGTTAATCCACCTCAACCGCCTCCGAGGACACCCTCCAGAGCAGAATCATGTCAAAGCGCGTTGCGATGGCCTTCTCCAAAGCCGAGACCACATTTGACATCCGTGCCAATGGAGAAATGGTGCTAAACGTTACACAGAGAGAATTTTTTCGTTATATTTTACTGCAAAATTAACTTATCACGTTTGCTAATAAGCCGAAAATTATCATACTGCATGTTAAAATATTCATGAACAATTAAGCTAGATTGAAATTATGCTGCATTGAAAATTTATATAAAAAAGATACATGTATAGATATTTTGTGTTTATTATTTTTGTTATCTATTCTACTTAAAGAATCATAAATTTTTATTATAATTTAAAATTATATTAAAACTATATATTTTAGTAAAATTAATTACACATTTTCTATCTTATTGTGATATTATATTTTATTGTGGTAAATATTTAATCAGAAAAACTCTTATAAAATTCTTCCAATATCATATTGTCCCACGATTTATGAATTTCAAGATAAATTCTACAAGCAAATTCTCTCTCTGTATACGAATCCACGCATTTTTCAGATGAATAAAAGAAAAGAAGAAAGGAAAGAAAAGCAGAGATGTTTCCTGAGATGGAAAATTTTGTGAAGATACATATCAAATTTATATTAATAATTAATGCTATTATTTTCTATCACTTCAATATTAATTGATAATTATATGATAATTTGCAAAGTTGATATCAATGATATCAAATAAAAATGTACAAAAATATATCTAATCTTTTAGATATGCCATTTCATAGTTTAAAAATGATTATATCAATAACACATATTGAAATGAGACTTTGATCTATGCACCTGTTTTATTAAATTTGATGACTAACATTCTATCGATTGTTTATAATCAAGATTAGTTCTAAGTATGGTAAAATGCATTATATTACGATACATTATATCAAGGTCATGTCATGTTGCGAGGATAAAATCTAAGATTGTTATCTGTATAAAGAAAAGTTCTAATTTATATGTATCTTTTTGTCTCTCTATCAAAAATTCTTTACGTTTATTTTATTTTGTTTAACAAAATATTTATCTTGCCCAAGAGAATGAAAAAATCTTATATAGAAAACTAATAAATATACTATAAATATATTATATACAAAAATCAGTTCGAAATTTGGACAAATCCACTGATAGATTGCACATTCATATAATGCGCATCTGGGATTTCCTTGATTTATATTTCATATTTTAAAATATAATATAAAATATTAAAAATATATATATAATTTTTTAAAGAGCATTGTATATATTTAAAATAGAATTATATTTTTTGTTTAATGAAAAATGCTAAACTGAATGCTCATAATTGAAAATTTACCATTTGACAAGGCGTACAACCTTAATATACACGCATTTCATATGTACCAACTTTATTCACATATAATCATTACTATCATACATATGTCATACATATGTCTACAATCTTATACTCGTTTTTAATTTCAATAATTTAAAATTAATTAATGAAAGGCTCGTATAAATTAACAAAATTAAACAAATCAAATATAGTAGGCCAACTGAACGAGCAAATAAATAAGGTGTAAAAATTTATTAATAGTTAAATAATTAAATTAACATTCCGTTACAGAAACGATATAAATTGTAAACGTTTCGACTGCACTACAGTCTTTATCAATACATAAAAGTTAAATATTAAAATACAAAGTTAAATGTTGAATGAGTTCAGACTTCGCAACACACACTTGAAATATCGGGAAAAAGGACTTGTTAAAACGATAATCATGTTTAAATGTCGCATAACTTGGCATCTCAGACCAATCGCCTTGCATATCTATTGGTCAGCAGCGAAGAATCGTTTTAATTTTATATTTTAATATTTAACTAACTTTGTATTTTTAACATTTAACTTTGTATTTTAATATTTAACTTTATGTATTGATAAAGACTGTAGTGCAGTCGAAACGTTTACAGTTTATATCGTTTCTGTAACGGAATGTTAATTTAATTATTTAACTATTAATAAATTTTACACCTTATTTATTTGCTCGTTCAGTTGGCCTACTATATTTGATTTGTTTAATTTTTTCAATAATTTAATTATTCAATTTTCCAGGAAAAGGATATTAGCAAATATATATTTGCTAATATATATATAATTCTATGTATAAAAATAGCAAATAAATTCAATATTGCAATTTTATAATAAAATTATCATTAAATGTTACAATAAAATTTATAATGTAACTCTATTGATCATGTATTATTATAAGTGTAAAAATGTACAGAGTATTATACCCTCTAATTTTGAAGTAGAAAAATAGAAAAATGTTTGAATACGATATAAATTCATGAATGTCATCATGTATTTAAGAACAGTTATTCTGTAACTGCATATTAATAATGAAAAAATTGATTACTGCTATGTAAAAAATGAAATCTTATGCAAAATATATTAAACGTTTTAATATTAGAATACATGTTTATATATATGATCTTTAATTTTTAGTATTGATACTGTTAAGAGTTTGAATGCTTATATAGTGGTTTGAAAGTTTTTTTTATACCTTTGTATGATAATAAGTTACTGTGCAAATATAAATTTTCGTTTCTGAAAATTGCTAGTCTTATTATTACTTATGATTTGTGTGCATTAATATGTTGCACAATGTTGTATGCAATTTACAACATGTTTAGATTTGAGTTATAATATATATTCTATTTTGTAGGTCTCTCAAATAAAACGTTTCTAAAAAAATTATTTTGATATATTGCCAGATCTGATAAAAACTACAAAATAGATTATATATATAATAAAAAATGCATAATAAAAATATAGAAATATTTATTAAAACCCGGTTAAATGCAATTAGTTATTTCGACGCACATATACGGCAAAGTTTTGCCACTAGAGCGTGTAATTGCAACAAACTATTAATACCTTCCACTATTCCCATATGTGTTATTCCAATTTCCTGTGTGTATAAATTGAAATATTTTCTACAGTTATGTTTAAAAATAAAATAATGGTCATTTTTAACATATAAGATAATGCAACTTACCTTGACAAATTTCAGCTTCAGTTTTTCATCCATAGCATGATTTTTACAGACTTTGAATATGTTACTGACTATATCTTCCGCAGAATATCCCATTTTCCAGAAATGATCCATTACCTAGAAAATATAATTTATAAATGTAATACGAAATATATATCTTAATGTATATTGATATCTTCCAGTGTATGTATTTTACCGTGCATGCTTTAGAAATGTCTCCTTTTATACAATCATCCAGCATCTCTTTGACGATTAAAGGATGAGGTTCATCACAAACTTTAAATACATTTTCACCATTGACATGATTGAATCCATTATGCGTAGATTGCAAATTATTCAAAGCTTGTCTCATGTCCCCTTGGGCTGTAAAGACTATTGCTTCCATACCATCATCTGTATAAGAAATCTACAAATGATAAATTATATGTAGATAACTTTGTAAATCAAACTTTAAATTATTTATCTCATCTATAATATTTTATTACATTTTCTTTTTCACAGACTTGGAGAACTTTTGCTAAAATTTGGGCATCTGTTAACTTTCCATATCTTAACATGGCACATCGTGATTGTATAGGTTCAATAATTTCCTCCGTGTTATTACATGCAAGAGCAAATCTGGTTGTATGACTATAAATTTCCATTGTTCGACGCAATGCCTGTTGTGCACCATCAGTCATGCTATCTGCTTCGTCCAAAATAATAATTTTATGCTTTCCTTTAGGAAGATTTACCTGTAATGTGCCATTAGACCAATTATATAAAATTGTATAAAATATATTTTATTTAAAAAAATATATACCACAATATTCTGTTACCTTCTTTTGTGCAAACATTTTGATTTTATTTCGAACTACATCTATTCCTCTCTCGTTCGAAGCATTCAGTTCAAGTACAGCTTCTTTAAATGCTGGTCCTAATAGAATACGTGCCAAACACAAAATTGTAGTGGTTTTGCCAACTCCGGGTGGACCAGCAATAATAATATTTGGAGTATTTCCATGTTGAGCAAAGACAGCTAATCTGGAGACAGTGTCTTCATTGCCAACAATGTCTGAGAATACTTGTGGCCGATATTTTTCGATCCTGTTAATAAGTAATGAAGACACAATATTCTTCATTAAAAATGTACACACAATAGGATACTTATGTAATCAATTAATAATGTTATTGATATAAACAATACTATTTCTTTTTAGAACTTTGCGACAAATGGTCCATGTAATTCTCTCTAAATAATATTATAAACATTGATAATGCATTGATAGAAAGTTATTACACTTATATACAGCAAAATTATTAAGCGACACACATACAATATATACAAATTAAATACCAATTCTATAAAATTGGTAAACAAAATAATATCTGAGAATCATTTATCACCTCCAATACGTTATTTATCTAAATTTAAATGTATCTTTGTTTAGTACAGAATCAATAAAATCTAGTCAAAGATAACCTAAGTTTTCACAGTAATATAAAACAATTAGAAATAAAACTTTTTTGTAATGATAAGACATACCATGGTAAACTTTGAGATTTACTGTCCTTCTCTTTAATTTTTACATCACCATTACTTGTAGACGGTAAAATTTCACTCTCCATAGTTTCATCAACAACAGCATCATCTCCTGCCATCTTTGAATTTTATCGATTACGCGCGCAAATGTGGGAAAAATTTAAAACAGTGCAGCCAACACACGAATTATAATCATAGAGCATAGATCAAGAAAAATTATAGAAAGAAAATTGAACAACATAGATAAATAACAAATCTAATTGGCTACATTATATTATCGATACAGTTGTTTCTTCTTTCAAATTCAGCCAATTAATGTCAAACAACATTGGAAAATTTTCCAATATTTTGAGTAATTACTCAACTTCAGTTCAGTTGAATGCGGCCACCAATAAAAAAAAAAGCATTGCAATATTTATAATTATAACTATAAAATAGCTATATTAAAATATAAAGGTATAGAAGAATTACTTTATTATAAAATTATATATATTAAATGCACACATTTAAATCAATATAATTAATTACTTATACTTAATTATAATATACTTAATATCATTTTATAAGCACAACCAGTGTTTATAAATACAAATAGTTTCATATATGTATATGTACATTAGAGATAAACTATGACATATTAGTCTTTTTTACAGGAATAAATGAGACATAATTACTTAAGTAATTATAGATTACACATTAGCAAAATAAAAATTGGTGACATAGCTGCTTTAAATATTATTTTGCACAATTAATCAATGCACAGTCTCTAAAATGCAAAGTATTATAGCAGATCTTTTCGTTGACAATAATAAATTTTAGCAAAACAGACTTTTATATTGAAATAGCTGTAGCTCTGACAGCAGCGCTCAATAAAGGATTTGGATCTGGTTCTTCCGTCAAGATGTTAACTTTGGCCCATTCACGCTGTTTGTTACTTTGTCGTAGCGCATCAATAACTGCTTGCACATATAAACCATCTTCAAATGTAGAAGCAGAAAACACTGGCTCTTTAATCCAGCCTCTTTTATCTTCCACAGATTGAAAGGCTTCCCTTAATGCCGCAATCATTTTTCTAAGTCCTTTGATGTAAGGCCTTGGAATGGAATCAGCAATTGGCAAGGATATTTCATGTAAATCTTCCATATCACGATACAAGATCTCCTCCTGTCCACCTCGACATCCATATAAATCTCCGCCACGCACAACCAAATGATTTCCACCACCGCATATCAGTACTTCTTGAGAAAGCTGACCTTGCAAGTGATTACTCAGAGTAGCTGTTACCAAGGTACCGCTACTTAACTCCATTTGAAAACTACAGAAATCTGGCGATGTGATATGCCTGATCCCATTAATGTATCTGGTTGTTTGAGTAAATGTTCTTACAACAGCATGCACTTTTGAAGCTCGTTGACCCATCAAATGAAAGATCAAATCAATAACATGACTGCCCACTAACGCCAAGATTCCTCCACCCATTGTATCATCACATAGCCAATCATATCCTTAAAAAATCATAAAAATATATCTGATTATATTTAAAGTAAATGTTATTTCAGTATATAAATTATAAAAAAATATTTTCTGATTCATTAAACACATATCTTTAAGATATAGAAAAAGATATTTGTGTTGCAACTATTCTTTAGATAATTATTTCCAAACATAAGAAAAAGAAAAAAAGAATTATTAATAATTTTTACAAAATATTTTATTATTAGTTTAAATTTTTTTTTTTTTTTTTTTTTTTATTTTTTCTCTCATTAAAATAAAATCTGCATAATGTTCAAATCTCTATCTATAATCTACAAGTATAAAAATGTAAAAATCTGTATTCTTTTTATGCTCACCATTATGTAGTAAACTTCCCATATGTACTCTCACTTCTATAACGGTTACAGGTCCAGCTAAATATCCATCTTCTAATGCCTTCTTCATATGGACAAAGGCAGGCAAGAATCTTAAACTGTGATTAACTATGCTGATCAACGAGGGATAATACTGCGCAGCTCGTACCATCTTCAAGGCCTCACTCTGGCTCAAGCCTGCTGGTTTATCGCATACAACATGCTTCCCAATACCCAGGGCTTTAACAGCGATCTGTGAATGCAAGCTTGGCGAACACATGATGAAGATTAAATCTACGTCCTTTCTTAAGAGAACATCATCTATACGACTGGTGTGAAATGGTATTTCGAGATCGCTCGCCACTTTGGAAACCTCTGCTAATGTGCGACCCCATATAGCTTCAATTCTGAAGCCCTTTTCTCTCAGGAAAGGTATAATGATCCTGACGATACTTCCTGTACCAAATACTCCGATTCCAGGTAATGTCATTTTGAGTGTCTGGAGGTGCATATATTCGATATTTCTCCTTTTTTTCTTCTATAATCCAAATTTAACCTATAACACAAGTAATTACAGTCCGTTTCTCTCTCTTTCTTAACGAATAATTAATAGGTCTTGCTGTAATAATTTTTATTTTTAATTTTGCTCGTATGTGTTCAGCCACTGTATTTTTTCATTTTTTTTCGACTAAAGTCTGATGTTTATTAGTACACTGCTGTTTATATGACATGTTATGACAGTAAGAATGGACAAAACTATTCGTGCGCATGATCCAACTCACAAATAAACATACTTAAGGCTAATACACACATAAATGTATATTAATGAGCATTGTATGTTGGCTTTTTATATTTTTATGTCTTCTTTAGTCGTTCCTTTTCGCGCAGAACATATATTTGTACATTGTATGTACATATCACATGTGTACATACACACATATATGATTCTTATATATGTAACCTATCTGATGAATCATTGCGCTCCTCGCAATAGTCTTGTATATTCTGTACTTTTTATACACTTGTCAGTTCTGAGAATACGTCTTATGTCATTACTTTAATTCTATGTACATTCTTATCAATCTTGATATATAATGAAGATAATGTATATACATAAGTGAACTTGAATCATCGCGTTTTATTATCATCTCTCTCGTCTTTTAATATCATAATTTTTATTGCAGACGATAAAAAAAACGCTAGCAAATAAGTCTGCATCGTCAAAGATTAAAGTTCTCTCTGGATGAACTTGCATAACAGGATATATATACATATTTATACATTATAACACATAAATGAATATGAATCAGTCAATTATACGAATATACACTCTTGTGTGATAAAATTAATTAATTTTTCTACGCATTTTTCATGCATATTCTTGTTAATAGACGAACTGTCATCGTGTATATATTATTTTCGTAAAAGAATCGCAAATATATACGAGAATAGGATAATAAAAAAAATATATATAGGACTGGCAATCGTGTCAGTTAATGCGTCTATGTATATTCTTATATCGATGACTGTATTGTCATTGATTAACCGAAGCTACACCGAGATCGGCCGAACGTTGACGAGCGACTATCCCTTCCCTTGCTTTTAATCCGCTGTTCGCCTCGCGCCAGTGCAGTGTGCAGTGTGTATGTGTGTGCGTGTCCGTCACGTTCATCTTTGGCGAGTATATGCCCTCAATTCTGCAAAATATGTAAATACGCGACGACCGAGCGCTACGAATCGGCGCGAAGCGCGTTGATCATCGACTCGAGATTTTTCCCGCCTCGATAAATAAATAATCGTCAAGTCGACACGAGCGATATGTCGGAAATACGCAAGAGAACGGTCGGCGTCGACGATACGTCGACAGCGGCGCGGGATGTCAGCGACGATCAGGTAATAAAAGAGCGGATTTTTTACGCGACATCCTACGACATCGGGATGTGTCGAGTCGTTTTTTTTTTTTTTATTACGATTGTTTATCATTCAGAGACTTCGCCGCGAGGCTATCGATCTGCGCCGTTGGCGCGTTCAATGATAGTTATTTGACAGCTACTAACACTCGTGCACGATATGTCGCACACTATTTTTGAAATCACTTTGTATGTACTATATATATATATATATATATATATATATGTATGTATGTGTGCATACTCCGCATATGATTGAACATGTATACATACATATATACGCGCATGCAAAACAAATAATGCGTCTTCTGTCATGAATTTCATTGTCTCTACTTTTCCGCTTGGGTTTGCAAATCTGATGCTTACTCAACACTTTTATTTAATTAAAAGATGTTAAATGTCTATTAAGATGGTTAATCAAGGATATATATGTAGATATATAATTTTTAACATATATGTTATAATCTCATTCCTTTTAACACAGTCCTGAATTAAAATATAATTTTATTTTTAATATATTTTAATCTACAAAATTTTTTTTAATTTAATATTAAAAGAATAAAACAAATATAATATCTAAAAATTAATATTTTATTTTTATGCTTTGTTTGTTTTTTAATGTTATTATATATAATTTTATTAGAAATATATATACACATTAAATTAATGCAAATATAGCATTAATTTTATTTACATATAATAAATATCTAACTAAATAAGATATTTAATAAAACAAGTAAATAAGTAAAATATAAATATGTATTTTATATATATATGTTAACACACAGAGATATTACTTATATGTATATTTTTTATTTATTTATTTTATTAAATACTTTTAGGAGATACTTATTAACATGTGACTTATATGATAAAATAAAGTTAATGCTACATTATATAGTAACTTTAAAATATATTTTCCCTTAGAAAGAAGATGTTGAATCCGAAGATGATGCAAAATTGGAAGTAGACGAATTAACAAAGACTTTGCCTCAAGGAACTGATCATACTCCACATATTTTAAGTTCCATTCTTTCTGGTCTTCCAGATCGGTAAAATATATATATTTTTTTCAATAAATTATTTTGATTTTGTATAAATAAATCATGCTAATGATATTGCTTTCTTTTACAGTTGGCGAAATTGGATAATTAGAACTATTTTTACTTGGTTTATGATAGGTGGATTTTGTCTTATTATTTATGGAGGTCCATTAGCACTGATGATTACAGTAAGTTTTCTTACAAATACTTTACAATTAAATATAATACACTAAATCTTTTTATATATATCTTTTCTATTTAATATTATGTTAATTTCTATAGACATTGATTGTGCAAGTAAAATGCTTTGAAGAAATTATTAATATTGGATATGCTGTATATAGAATTCATGGTTTACCATGGTTCAGATCTTTATCATGGTATTTTTGATAACTTCCAATTATTTTTTTTATGGAGAAAATTTAATGGATTATTTTGCTGTGGTGATTAATCGAACGGTAAGTGTATTGCTTTTTCTTTAATTTTGAATCATGTAATTTGTAAAAAATACAAACGTCTTTACAAAATTCTGCTAGTATACTATTACTTGATGTTTGAAAGAATAAAGATCATTATTTAGAACATTGCTATATATATATTGAATATTAATTTAAATCAATAACAAAACCTTAAAGTAAAGCTTTATTATAGTTATAGCAATAGTTTTGTTATGGCTTCATCATTTTGTGGGGCTTCTCTGTTAAAGTTTAACACAGAAATAACAAAGTAAAGAAAAGAACTATGTAAAAGAAATGTATAAGAATTATGTAAAAAAATATATATATATATATAATACAGGTAAAATAATTATAACTTTTATTTTAGGGATATCTACGTGTACTTGTTACATACCATCGATTTATTTCATTCTGTCTTTACATTGTTGGTTTTGTATGGTTTGTACTCTCACTCGTGAAAAAATATTATATGAAGCAATTCTCTCTATTTGCTTGGACACATGTTGCATTACTTATTGTTGTAACACAAAGCTATCTTATTATACAAAATATATTTGAAGGATTGATATGGTATGTATTTACTATTGACTATCTACCAATACATTTTCTTCATATATGTACATACATATGGATATACTTCATCAATTATATCAATTGCTTTCAGGTTTATTGTCCCTGTTAGTATGATTGTGATAAATGATGTGATGGCATATATGTTTGGCTTCTTTTTTGGACGAACTCCCTTAATAAAATTATCTCCAAAAAAGACTTGGGAAGGCTTTATTGGTGGTGGTATCTCAACTGTCATACTTGGATTAATGGTAATATATATTTTTATACAAATAATAAAGAAAAATAAGCTCAATTATCATATACTAATATTGTGTTGTGCTGTTTAGATGTCCTATGTCATGTGCCAGTACCGCTATTTCGTCTGTCCCATCGAATACAGTGAAACTTTAGGAAGAATGACCATGGATTGCGAACCATCAAGTTTGTTCCAACTGCAAGAGTATACATTGCCAAAGAGTCTTCAAGTAATATCAAGAATGGTAATATATTATAGGAAATTTTTTTTAATTACATGATGATTAAGTATCTAATTATTTTTCAATATGTATGCAGTTGAATGGAAAGTCCACTTTGACATTATATCCATTTCTTCTGCATTCGTTATCAATGTCGGTATTCAGCTCTGTAATTGGACCATTCGGAGGATTCTTTGCTAGCGGATTTAAACGGGCATTTAAAATTAAGGTAATTTAATGTTATATTTTATTAATCTATAAGTTTTGTGTTTTAGTGATATTTTTAACAATTATATTGATGATTTTATAGGATTTCGGTGACGTAATTCCTGGTCATGGTGGAATAATGGATAGATTTGATTGTCAGTATTTAATGGCAACATTTGTAAATGTCTATATTTCTTCGTTTATTCATACTGCATCACCTCAAAAATTATTACAGCAGGTAAAGTAATATTAGTTTACAGTATTACATTTTTTCTACATTAGTATTTTTCTTTGTATTGTATATTAATGTATGATATATATAAATGAGTAAATAATTTTTTTAAAGCATATATACTTTTCAATCTAGGTTTATAGCTTGAAGCCAGAGCAACAGCTGCAACTTTTCCAAACGCTAAAAGATTCGTTGGCGAATAGGGGTATGCTAACTAATTAATATTTTTAGTTAAAAATGTATTTAATGGCAAAACTGCTGCAGGGATTATTTTTATCTATTAAAAAATGTTAGAAAAGATTCTTCATCTTTTCTAATATTAAACAAAACGTTATATGCAGTGACAATGCAAACACAGTATCAGATAATTATAATAATTTGTTAACTACAATTAAAGTTAAATACCAATTGAAGTTTATTTTGTAATTATAGACAAATAAGGATTATACATATATCATAATGTGATAGGCCTGTCTAATTGAAATCAGTGTGGCCAGAGATGAGAGATGATATACTTCTCCCTTATCTCATTTTTTATTAAAAATAAAGTTAATACATTTTGATATATTAGAAAAGGAGTCTTTTTATTCTTTCTATACATTTGATCTTCCTTAGAATTTAATATTATTAAATATTAAATTTGTAGAATTTAATATTATTAAATATTGAATTTGTTTTGTTTATAATAAAACATGCACGAATAATTAAATAAGCTAAAATGGCACGATATGTAAACTTCTGTGATTAACTCTGGCCTAAGAGTAATCAGTTGGATAGATCTATCATAATTTTAACTATATTTTTGTGCATTCCACAGATAATCAAATTTTTGTCAAGTGCAGTAGTTTATATTAAACTATGGCATTGTTAGAAATGTGACTAATATTTTGTCTAAAAATTGAACCAAAGAAAGTCGCACATTAGAAAAATTCTATGTTATACAATAGCATTTATGCAAAATTTCTATTTTCTAAAACATCTGTTTATCGCTTTTGATTAGATATTACAAGATGCAGACTAAAAATATGCTATTTTTATGTGCTCTGCTTAAACCAGATATCTTCACTTGTAATAAGCAGATCTCAATATAATTTATATTTGTAATGGTGCATTTAAAAATTGATATAATAGGAATGAATCTTGTTTGTATATATGCAGACATTTTTCTTTTTTAGCTAGAATTGATATAAAAATGTTAATAGTTAACTTTGTTTTGGTTAAATGTATCCTTTTTAAAATTTTAATGTTTATTGCTATATGTATAAAAAAATATTCGATACTAACATAATTTGTATGTTGTATGTATGTACCATTGTTGATGTTATTGGATAAACGGTTCTACTTAGAAGTTTAGCATTATGCTTTCTTCTTTAATAGATATAGAATTCATATTCATTTAGGAACAGAAAAGCAAAAACTAGTTGTTGCATCTTCAGTTATTAGAATTTATCTTGCATAATCTATCTTGCTATCATTGAAATATTAGTGAATACAAAAGCTAACACAGAGACAAAAAGTAATGTTGGATATTGCATTCAAAAGCACGTCAAAAATTTTTTGCTACAAATACAAGTATCCGCATATTCCATGTAAATGTCAAGCCAGTCTATAAGAATAAATTGTCTGGCATTTATGAATAGTTATGTGGAATATATAAATAATTTAGCTATTATTTTTGTGATTATATAGTACTTATGTTATGTACATAATGCTAAACTTCAAAATATTGAGTTAATTATGTATGTAAAATATTGAGATATTATATATATATATATATATATATATATATATATACATAAAATAAATATATATATATATATATATAAAATCAGCACGTATATATAGAGAAAGATATATAAATGATACAGATAAATCAATTTCCATCTACTGATTGCCATTTCCATCAACTAGAAAACAAAATAAAAAATTACTGAAAACAGATTGTTGTGTGAACCATATTTGCATTAGTATGGTGAACATGTAAATCTTTATGATGATATTGCATAATTGATAAAAATATGATCAGACTACATAATTTAATATTTTGTCTTGTCATGCAATACATGAAAACATACAAAAAGATATTGATTGAGAAATGGTTTTAGGAATATGCTTTTGATGGATGTTAGTTGACATTATTTTAATGTGCTTTCAAAATGATAATAAGTTTTATATATTATCCATAATTGTGTGCCAATCATGTTTCAAAAAAGAAAAGATAAATATTCTTACATATGAATTATATGCACTGAATTGATATGGCACAATTTTTTAAATAGCTTTTCTGTGATTAAATTAATGTATAAATTATATATAAATTATATATTATGTTTTGTATTGCTAAAATACACACTCAGATCTCTAAATATAACTCCTTGCTTGAAATAGCGTGCATTAAACAAATTCAACAAATTTGTAATTTATAATCAAGTAATTTTTAATTAATTTGCATTAATTCATTTTTAACATTTTGCATTTCGATTTTTATTTGTAATTTCCTTATTATTATTTTTGTGCAATGATGACATTCTATAGTGTCATTTCTTCCCATTGCTCGCTATTTCGAGGCACATTCTATTGAGATCTAAGTGTAAGAGTATATTCTAAAAAGAATACGTAATATGTAGTTTTTATTTAAGAAATGAGTTATAGATTTTAATTTTTAAACGTTTCTATAGTACGAATTTATATTAGACCTTAGGGATCAGAGAAATAATGACAAATGAATGGATTAAATATATAATAGATATATACGTATATTTATTTAATAGAAAATATAAAAAAAATATATATATATACATGTATAGATGGAAACTATATGAAAAACATGTGTTACAAAATACATAAAATTTTGGATTCAAAGAGAATAATTTAAATTTTAATATATGATGATATATATTTATGTAGTAATAAAAAATAAAATCTTGAAAAATGAATGCGTGTGCGTGTGTGTATATATGAATGCTTTTATTATAAATTTTTACTTTCTTATGTTCCGTGTTTTATATGTAAAATTATGTTATTTTTTATTTTTATATTCTTTATCTATATTTTATTACTATGTTCGAATTCTTTTATATTTAAAATTTTTATTAAAACTAAATTTTCTCGATTTTTATTAAAAATTGGGAAAAGATGTATCATTACATATGTTTAAAATTTTTTATTATTATATGACAGATAAGGAAAGTAGCGCAAGAGATGCAGCAAAAAAAAGAATTTTAGTTTAGAAAAAAATATTAAAAACTAATAATAAAAGAAGCGTTTGAAGTAGATTTTAAAATTTAATACACGGATGTGTGACGTCGATGATTGGCACCGATTGGACAAGATCCAAACTCACAATAACCAATCGCATTCCACTTATTTCTGGAAACTGAACAGCTTGTCCTATATATATATATATATATATATATATATATAGTTTATCTTCTATATACAGGAAGCTTTATGGTTTATATCAACCTTTCCGTGGGAAGTTTAGCTTGATTATCGCGTCGTTTTTTGACATGTGATGGCAAAGCGTACCGGGATAATATTGACAAATAATTTTAGAATTGACAATAGATTATAGATGATAATAAAAACAAACTTGCAACAAGATCAGATTATGAGAGTCCAATTGCTTTGTTGTTCAATATAGATATCAAGTAATGTTTATATTTTTCATTTGACTGCTCGATAGCTGTATAGGTTATGTTAATGATCTCCGTGTTTTGTTCAAATATTTGTCTTCTATATTCTGCTAAATATTTACAATGGTGTCAACACGAGGACCGAAATTTAAATTTTGTGATGGAGAAAAAGTATTATGCTACGAACCAGATCCAACAAAGGCAAAAGTATTATATGACTCGAAGGTAAAACACATTGTTAAATATATATATTTGTATTTAATTTTCAAACAGTAACTACAAACAATCATGTAAATTTGCAGGTACTTGACGTTATTGTAAATAAAGATCAAAGAGGAAGAAAAGCTGTAGAATATCTCATACATTTTCAAGTGAGTTACATAAAATATTATTTTAAGTTAAGGAATTATATTAAAATTGATAGATATATAATATTAATCATATTAGAACTGATAAACGTAATAAAAAATGGATACAATTTATTTATTATATATTTAAGGGTTGGAATTCATCTTGGGATCGTTGTGTGACAGAAGAATATGTGCTTAAAGATACTGAAGAAAATCGCCAACTTCAACGAGATTTAGCACAAAAAGCACAGCTTCAACTGTACGTATTCTTTTAAAGTTGATTTAATATTATGCAGAACTAAAAAGAAACTTATATTATCTATTTCAATAAAACAGTGGTGCTTATTTATATCGCCGTGAACGAAAGAAAAGAAGTCATAAAATGTCAGAACGCTTAACTGAAACGGAACATCAAGAATCTCGTCGTAGAGCAAGAAGCGGTGGCAGTAGAGCTACGTCAGCTACTACTGGATCTTCAGAAGATGGCAGTTCAGGTCAGCATGCTGATTATGATACAGAGGTAAATATTTTATTTTTAAATTACAGTTATGAAAAAATCAAATATTGTAAAGTTATATACTTTATAATAAAAATAAATAAGGGCAAAAATAAATAATAATAACTTATATATATTTTTTAATACATACAGAGTATCTCTAATGTTTTAAAAAAGCTATTAATATTAATTTGATAATACATTCTAATTGTTTTTGCACTATATACCAATTACCTTGTGGCGATTACATCTAAATATTTGCACTAACAGTGAGTAATAAAGCAAAGTTTAAATAAGAATTGCATATATGATTATAATTCAGGAAGTAAATACAGAAGAAGAGACAGAGAGTAGCTCTGATTATATGGGTGAAACAAGTGACGATGAAGACAGTGGCGGAGGTAGCCAATCTGGAGCCAGTAAACCGGGCATTGATATTGAAATAGGTAGTACATTGAAACGGATTTTAGAACAGGATGCAGACCTCATAACAACTAGAAACAAGGTATTTTTATTAAAGTTTTTATGCAATAAATTATATATTACATAAATATATGTATAAATTATGAATATTATATATTATGAATACATATATTGTATACGTCTGCGGATATATACATTATTTTTTTTAATTTTATTTAATTTTTATTTTTAATTAAAAATGTAGAAAAATATTTTAATTAAGAATACTTCGGCTTATATATAAATTATATATAAATAATTAAGGTCTTCATAAAAGACAAAGCATAAATATCATTTATATTTATATTTATTTTAGCTTGTGGTTCTTCCTGCACAACCTACTGTGATAAATATTTTAGAATCCTGGGTACAACATTTTACTACAACTCAATTGACAAATATTCCAGAAAAACCTCAACGGAATAAAACAAATAATACAATAGAAAAAACAGTGAATGAAATAAATATATGCAGAGAAACTGCGGATGGTTTACGCATATATTTTGATACCATATTACCTCATCTTCTTCTGTATGGACAAGAAAAAGAACAATATTGTTCCCTGAAATCTTCTTTATTATGTAATGAGCAAGCAAATGTTGCAAGAGAAGAACCAATTGAGTATATATTTCCTTTTTTCTTTTAGTATTATAATATTCAAATTAAAATATTGATTAATATTTAAGTAAGATTTTAAATTAAGAATTATAAGATTTATTATTTGAATTAATAAGACGATATTTCTATTGTAAGGAATCTGGAAACATCAAGAGAAGAATTTGAAGATGCAGAATATGCTCATTTACCACCTTTTCAAGAACACGATTCAGAGATGGATAATACAACTAAACCATCGAACAATTCTAAGCGTAGATTGCGATCGTGTCGTGTAAGTTCAGTCGAGGAAAACCGGCAGTTAAGATCATATGACGAAGGAAAGCAAGATGGTGGTAATTTATCAAGGTAATAAAATTACTTTAATTTTATAAATTAGATTATCCATCTTAGGTAACTCCTTTTATTATTTGTGAATATCTCTTTTATTAAAACTAAGTTTGCATATTGTAATAGAAATGTTTTTGTTTCTTTCTCCATTTTTAAATTAGATATAATGTTTTTATGATTGTTTTTGTTTTAGTAGCATAGCAAGTACAAGTTCCCGTTGTTCTAGCCCACGAGGTGTAACACTAAGAATGCCGCCTGTTGTTACATCTGCTCAAGTAACCGCTTTACTTCAGCAATCGAATGAATGGAGATTAATGCCTCAAAGTTCAAAGCAAGGCGAACATTTAACAAATCCATCTACTTATTATGGTGCCATTCATTTAACTAGATTATTTGGTAAGTTATCTTTTACTTTATGAGAATACATTGCACATGTAAAATTATAAAATCTTGCATATTTAAAAATAATTATAATTTTGTCTTTTTTCAGTTAAGTTACCTGAATTATTAAAATCCACAGATATGTCGAGTGAAAAATTGAAAGTACTTTTAAAATATTTGGATATGTTTTTAAGGTATATAATAAAATATAATTTAATATGATTTTTTGTATATACAACACATAATCAATGAATACACTTTATACAGTATTAAAAAATAATAATATATTATATATTTTTAGCTATCTAGAGATGCATAGGGAGTGGTTTGGAGAACAATTTTATATGCAAGCAGAAAATCGAGCAGTATAACAAATTAGTAATGTTTAACAATGGACAGTATATATAACAATACCTCCTTGATTTAAGATTATTTAGAATTTTATTTGTGACATTATTTATAAATATTTTTATATAACTGGAAAATCAATTCACAAATAATCTTTTTGTAGCAATTGATATTTTTTATGTCTAAACTTTTATTAGCACAAAATTGATCAATATGCGTAATATCGAGATTTTATAAATAAATAAAGATATAATAATTAAATGTAAAGTAATAATAATTATAATAATAATAATAATTATAATATTATTATAATTATAATAATTATACATTTTTATAATTGCACATATATATATGTATAATTTTGGAAAATTGTTTTATATGTATATATTTACAATATAAAAATAGAATAGAAACTTAACATTATAGTGAATTACAAAAAATATAAAACACAAATATATGTGTAAAACTATATAATAATATTTTTGTGATCTAATGTTATAAAAAACCGTTCTTATATCAAATTGTAATTGGCTCGTTTCGTCGGACTTAAATTTTAATTATTTTCTGTATTATTATATTAAATCTCATATATTGAATATATTTTGTGCTAATCATAAATATGAATTGATCTGTATATTAATAATACAAAATAAAGCTTCTAACAATAAGATAAAATAGCTTTGTGATTGGTATGCTGTAATACATATATGAATAGAAAAACATTTTAATTACACATTTAAAAGTTATTTTAAAAAATTTTGAATTTAAATTAAAAAAATTATACATATATTTGCATTTAATTATGTATGAATTTTTTTCGATTATAAATAGATAAAAAATTAAGAATAGAAAAACTTTTTACTGATATATAGTATTTAGAATCAGTAATTATTTAATATTATCAGACTGAAATATTTCAAACTTTAAATAGATTATTTCTTTTTTTTACTAAAAGATAAATCTATTATAGTTATTCTCTTTCAAGACTGTCCTTTCAATAGTTTTATTTATCTTTAAAGTGTCTATATATAGAATATTCTGGTGAGGCAATTTAAAATTGATATAAAAAATTATTTTTTCTTATATAAATCCTCACATGTGCGAACGTCAGCTGATCACAATAGTAGCGCATGTTTCACTATAAAAAGGGTATTATATTTTTTTACGAGCAAGGAATATAAGAAATGTTAAAAAAAAATATGTAAATTCAAAATCAAATCACAATAATAAAGTTCATTAAGTTATACATCTGCAATTAAAAGGAAAATAGACAATTTATGATTTTCTGGAAGTGTCCTTATTGCAACTATAATAGGTACGAGCCTACCGATAGACCGTGACGTCACTCACGTATGCGCACAAAAAAGGTCGAGGTCCGACCGGTGGGACTTATCCTTTGTACGATCTCTTTATGTTGCTGGGCCAGAATTATTACCGGTTATAAACATATTAATTGTATCACGAACTTCATATTCGGTGAGTATGATCGAACGGATTAATGGTATCCAGTGCGTATATATACCACATTAATTCATATTACGTTCAACAATAGTCTTGTTACAATATGTTAGAATTAATCGCATGATTTAACCGCTTCACGCTTTTGCGAGTAAAAACCGAAAAAGAGTCATGTCATCGAAACGTCATCTTTGTACCGGATATTAATCATCTGTTACTGTATGTATATCTATATACATCTCGCTTGCTTTGTGTACAGTGGACGCACAACAGGTAAAGATGGGTTTGCAGGACGTCGTGTATACGGCTGTCACCGCACCGTTTAACGTAATTTACAAAACGAGTGTAGGAACCGCCTCGTACGCTTGGGGTGCGGCTTCATCGGTAAGCGGTTGCACACATCTTCTTTTATCCTAGTGGACCGATAAAGGTAGCTGGCACCTTGCACTAACCTTTGAATCGCTCACTAGACCCATCTCGCACACCAAATTTTCTCTTTTTTTTTATAGCAGTGATATATGAAATAAATATCGATGCAGTATATAAAATAAATGTAGATTTTATGTGTAAAAAAAAAGGAAAATTGCACGAGAAAACAGAAAAATAGGACAGATCTATTGTTAAACCTATTGCATGTTATCAGTCAATTGTCAAAAATATTACTTTAAGCGGATGACAGTAAAATTTATACTCATTTATATGCAGATATTGTGGCAAATGCAGTAAGTTAAAGATTAATTTTGTACTGACAACTTTGTCATTTTGATAGAATTTATTTGTGCAGTTTTTTTGTCACGTACATTATTCTTTGATATTTAATGAATTTGTTTTACATTTTTATGTCTGCCTATTGAAAAATGTCATCTTGTTTATCACTGTTTCTTAACTTAAACATTTATGTATAAATAATCTTAAATATTTTACTTGTTTAATGTCACTATTAATTACTTATGATAATTGGTGATTAAAATAAAAAGTAGAAGCTACTCAACTATTATTATTAGTATAGTGCTTTGGATATGTTAATAGAAGGAAAATATAATGTATACTGTTTGGATAAAGTATATAATAATACATAAAGTAAATATAATTTTGTATAAATACAAAAATGTTATATTTTTTATGATAAAGATAATTTGTTAATTATAATCTCTTTTATAGGCGACGGACTACCTAGGATTACACCCCAAAGTGGTCGAGCCAAAAATGGTACCACCTGAATTATATAAATTAGCCGCTGCCAGTGGCCCTTATATAAGACTAGCAGCTATTAGTGGTGCTGCAGCGGTGATTCTTGGTGCTGTTGGATCTCACAGTAAGTGAATTACTTGATCATTTGTTTTATTTCTTGTTTTATTTTTGTTTTATTTCAACTTGGTTAACTTTAGATGAATCTGCTTTTCCATTGCCAGGACATTATTCCAATGATGAAGTGGGAAGGGAGCAGCGTCGAATCTTTGAGACAGCAAATAGATATCACTTTATACATACTTTAGCTTTGTTAGGATTACCAATGTGCAAATATTCATCTGTGGTAAATGTCACTATATCTATCAATTGTATATCATGTAAAAAATTACATTAATATACAATTATTTCATGTGTATGTTTTTAGGCTGCTACATTTATGCTCTCTGGAATATTACTATTTTGTGGTAGTTGCTATTACACTGCATTTACTGGTGACCGACGATTCAGTTCAACAACACCATTTGGAGGATTCTGTTTTATATTAGGATGGTGCAGTATATTTTTTTAAATATTGTAAAAATAAGTTCCAAGGGAATAAGAAAAACAAAAATCGAACAGATGCAACAAAAAAGTTACATATGAATGGATACAATATTTGTTAATTTAAGAATAATAAGAGTTGAACATTTATAAAAGAAAAACAAAAAAATTCGAATATATAAAATAATTTTTTACAAAGTACAATACATACTGGTATTAGGCAAATTTGAGCCAATAATTATAGATTGTTTTATTTTTAAAAATATGTAAAAGGAAAAATATAATTTTACAATTACTTTAATCTTCCTTTAATTTCTTGGAATACACACACACACAACATACACACACACATACATACACAACACGCACACAAGTATGTTGCTTTTTATGTAATTCCCAATTCCTATATTTTACCCAATTTTAAAAGATGTATTCCTTGAGCACAAATTTATTATTTATATTTATTAATTTTTCACAAAAAAAATAATTGATTTGAATAAAGTAAAATTCGTTTATACTATTGAATCAATATAAATATATCTTGTTTGATAATATTAATGACAGTTTATAGGGATCTTGAATTATTACACATTTTATAAGGATATATCAATTTTCTTCCTATATTAAACGTATTTCTTCTTTCGACGAATCATATGCAAAATTTATACGCAAATTGTTTCTCGTTAAAAATGGAAAATTGAAGAAATAATTATGCAAATATATCGTTTATGTTTCAAAAACGTAAAAATATAACGTAAACGACACGTTGTGTGTCAGTGTATGGTATATTTTAAAAAATGCAGATGTTACGTTTTGGTTTATTAATAACATAAAGTAAATTGTAACTTCAGTTTTTCGTCGATACTCAAACGAGCCGATTGTTCTGGAAAATACAACAAAAATCGAGAAAACGCCCGCTATCGCGTGTGGACGAGATCATGTATTATACATTATATATACGAAAATTCACAATATAAATTTGAAACAAACGGTTTAGACAAATTGCTTCACACTGTTCCTTTCTCATAGTCTATAGATTCCCCGTTTCTATAACGACATAAAAAAGTAATATATACCTTGTATTATCCATTTGATACACCAACTTCACTTTCTTTATATCCGTTCTATTTTGTATCATACAGTTCTCTTACATTTTCTTTTTTTTTTCATAAATACGACGATTTGCCTGTAAGTGAATGGATATCGGAATTTCCTTTCGATTCATTATGTCATGACGGCGATTCCGGCGATTCTGGTTGCACTCTCTTATATAGCTAAACAAAGTGTAATAATTGGACTAATTTATATCTAGAAAAAAATATCAAATAATATTAATAGATGTTACACATCGATTGAACTTAAATGTAGGAGTGTTGCGCAATATATGTAATTCGCGCATTGCATTTTCGGTTCTTGGAACTTAAAAAAACGGCGAACACGAAGAGATCGATTACAAAATAGAGAATAGCAGTCACTGTATATGTGTATCCGGAATATTAGTGTTGCTCTCAACATAAGACACGCGATTTTTGCGCGTTTCTTTACTGATTTTAGCTCGTGAGTTTATATTTTTCCGCGATCGTAGGACGCGGGGTATTGGCGATGTATGGCGATGCTTTTAAATGCACCACTGATATAAAATTTACTTATGTCTAGTAAACGTCCTTCCCTTTTTTTCTCTGTCGGACTATATTATATTTAGTTAGTATAGTGTTTCGTAGCAATATCATTTCTTGTTACTATTATATAAAGTATTTATATCGACTTGCGTATATTAAACTATATTTACAATCTTTTTCTTTTTTTTATTGTAACACATTGAAGATAAGTTTTTTTTTTCCCTAAAACGAGGTTGCTCGCAAATCACTCGATTCCTAGCACCGCGAGAGAATAAACTCACGCAGTTTGGTTAATAATTATGCAGATTTGCACTTTCTTCCTGGTCAAAGTATATCACAATCCAAATATTGATAGATAAAGAAATATTTATAAATCACCAAAAAAAAAGAATTATTATTCCAATGTATAGCATTTTTATGAGAAATGAAAAAAAAGAACCTTTACAAGAGAAATTCATATAAGGAGTAAAACCATTGTCGTTGGATTTGCTCGCTCGCTAAAATGCGCATAATTTCACAAGACCTTGAATATAGTTCGGATAATTCTCTCGGCCTGAATAATATAAAAATAATACAAGTGATAATGTAATAAAGAAGAAAAAATGACGCGCCAATCTCCTATCCGTTTCTAGGAGAGATGGAACGAGTGTTGACCCTCTTGCGCAGCTATCCGCAACTTCTCCCGCATTATTTCCAATGTAGTATAATCAGGCAGTTTTAGGTAGTTGACGCAAGTCATTACTGATGGTAGAAAATCGTCGGTCTTCATAGATGGATCGAAAGTCTTGCGCACTATTGTTAACGGAGGTGTCAAGCTCTTGAAACCTGTAAACAAAAAATAAGTCGTGTGAATTTCATGGGTGTATACCTCTTTTACCAAATTTTGTTAAAAAAAATTCCCTGAGAATTATCTAATAAAAATAAAAATATAAAACAAAATATAATTTATTATAAACGTCTCAGGGAATACTAATTTAAATTATTTATTAAATAAATAAAGAGTACTAATTTATTTAAAGTGTCTTAAAAATTTGAACAATTTTCTATAAAATTTATAATTTATATAAGATCTTGATACTAAAAATAAATTGCAAAAAAAATAAGAACTTAAATATTGCCAAGATATGTTAGACATATGTTTAAGTGCTAAATAAAATTAAAATTAAAAAGATAATTTTTTTTTAAATTGTTTCCCTGAATCCAAATCAAATTCTATGAAGAATTTCTTGATTTTTCAAGGTTGAACGAAATTCCCCGAGAATATCAGGGGTTTCAAGATTTTTTCCCGGAAGCGAACACTTTGTTCTCTCATTATACAAAAATAAGAAAAAAAAAATATGCCAAAAATATATCTACCTCCAACGGGCAAACGCGGCGAACCAGTAACAAACTGAATGAACTGTCGCTGTTCCTCGCTGTTGTATTTGGACATAACTTCGAACAGAAAACGGATGGCGCGTGAGTCAGGTGTGTAGCCGTGATCGGTCCTACAACACTCTGCAAGAGTTTTCACGTCCCACTGTCCGCCAGTTTGTGCGTGTCCACAGAATACCGCTTCCAGCTCCTCCGGGAAGAATAATCTCAATTGCGACGGAGGGAATACCGATTCGAAACCTTCCCGGAATGCTTCCATTTGTCTAAATACTCCTTCGTATAAGAACCAGTGTACTACTAACTGAAATTTTTATAGAAATTGCATGAATAACGTAATACCTTTCGAATCTACATCAGCGAAGAGAAGTGTTATCAATGCACCACTATATTACCTTGATATATTGATCCAAATTATGAATAGTGACGGGTATTTCACTGCCACCCTTTCTCAATTCAATGTTTTCGTAACCCGGCAATTCGAACACAAGGCCCAGATCGGAAATTGGGCAAGTATCTAAATCGAGCGCCTCGATTAATTGCACTTTTTCGTGCGGTCGTAATGTCTGATCCTTCTCTATAATCTCTTTTCTCCTCACAACCTCTTGAAGTTTACTGAGAGTACGATGTACGTCGGAACATACGTATGCCAAGTCTGCTAATGTGAGCGTATGCTCTTCTCCCAGCAACCAGCGATAGAAAGTTAAACTAAATGGCAAGTCCAACTGAAATGGGAAAAAAAAATTAAACATTACAAGTGTACAATTGAGATAAAATTCATTGCAAAAAACGTCACAGATAGATGTCGATTTTTACCATTCTGGAATCGTATATTGCCTTTGCCATAAATTTTCCAAGAAATTTGAACTTGGTTTTCAATTTTGCTAGATGAGATACTTTAGTATTCCATGGAATTGGCGCTGGAAAGAGCCCGTGTATAGAATTAACGTATCCATTTTCGGTAGGATTAGAACTGCCGTGCCATAGATCTAAATCGGCGCGTTGCAATTCCTTTGAGACTAGAGCGTAAAATTCCAAGGTTGGACCGAGGCCAGTACCAACCTATATACAACACGCAAGTTTGAGATTAGAAACATGTAATCAGATTTGATGGGAATATGAGATCTGTTCTTTTCAGCTGAACTGGCTACACTAATTCAAAGTCTATCTCTTTGGTTACAATATGGAGTAAAAAAAATAAATTAGTGCAGCCAGTTCAGCTGAAAAGAGCAAACCGTTGTATCTAAAGAAAAAGCCAACCTCATTAACATATTGCACTTCAAGTAGAGCCTTGTTAGAGGCTAAGTCTTGAATCACTTGCTCAGCTTGTTTAAGAATGTCTGTTCTTGAGATTGTCCTTTTTCTTCGTTCTAAACGTGGTGTAACACGCTCTTGGCTATCCGAACCGGAGAGTTCAGGCGCGGAATCCAAGAGACGTTGGAGAGCTCTGTCTCGATCGAATGACGTCGCGTACAGCAGTAGTTGCCTCGTTTCGAACGGAAAGAGGAAAGGACTGAAATTAAATAATTCAGGAATTTTATAAATAAATTCCGAATTATAAGCAATGAAGTAGACTAAAAAAATTGATCTACCATTGTACTAACCAGACAGTCGCGATCTGTTGTAACCAAGATGGTAAATTTCCAGTCATGATCACCAGCGGATCTTGCAACTGTCTGCTAGCTTTTGCAGCAATCTTATTGTTGATGAAATCTTGAGGCGACAGTAAGCTCATGCTCTTCAGATGAGGAAATAGTATACCCCAGTGACGATTGAGAGCGTGCAAAAGTCGCAGCAGACACAATCCGTCGAGGGAAGCGTCCGTGATAGTTACTGTAGATGGTAATGTGGGAGACAGATATGGCGCGAGGGGACAATGCTGTGGTGGAACAGTGCCTTCTAGCCAGAGACTGTCCTCTTTTCTTTTCGAGCTAATCTTTGTACTTTTTCCCTTGCCCTTTCTGCTATTACCCTGTGAACTCGAGCCTGATTTTGGAGAAGTTGCGGCGTCCTCTTCCGGTACAGGTCTGTGTATTAGAAATATATTTTTTATATATATATATATATATATAATATATTTTATATATATATATATATTTTATATATATATATATATATATATATATATATATAAAATGTATATATAAATATAGAAGTAAAGAAGTATATATATAGAAATTTATATATAAAAATATCTTTTTGCTAATTAAATATTATTGTGAATAAGCTGATTAATGCTGCTAAAAACTCTCAATGAAACAAAATAGAGGAAAATTATATATATATAGTACTTTAATTTTGAGAATAAAAATATTGGTATAACATTGTGTAAAAAAAACCGTGTACACCCATTTTAGAATATTTAAAAATACCTGTAATATATCGTATGGGTTTGCACCCAAACCGCATCATGTCCTAACGGCGGTTCACTATCAGCCTCTGCCTCTGAATGATCCACTCCGGAACATCCAAATTGCCTGACCGCTTGATAAACCGTCATATTGAAGGGTAAAACTATGTCGCCAATTAAAAACTGAAGTTTATGTTTAGGCGGTCCCTGGCTAATCACAACTGCCGCCTTGAAAGAAAAAGAAACAAGAGATAACCACAAGTGTTGTCTCAGATTTTTATTATTTAAAAGTCGTGAAATATATATACCAAAGTATCGTCAATGTCATCTTCGCTGTTATCGTCGTCGCTGACCATTGAGTCAGCGTCGCGTATTCTACCATATCCACGTACCATTAAATAACGTTCAATTGCCTGTACTAAGGCAAGCGGATCTATCTTTACAGTACCACCCTTCCACTGTTTCAAATTGTTACAATCTGGATGCCGTTGAAGATTACACTGCGCAAGTCGATAAAACATTTGCGTTCATATTACGATATTTAAAACAACGAATCAATCTTGTATAAAAATTTCGTATAATTACCTTAAGTTGGTGTGTATTAAAGAATTTGAGAGCACTGGTACCACCGCGACCAGCACCAGAACCCGCGGGTAAATCGTGAACCTTCACCGGGAATTGTTCTAGCTGGGCAACACAACTGTTCAACTTCGCTACTAAAGCACCAAACGCTCCAGGATGAAGATCCATGATATCGTTGTTCTGTTGCATCTGGATAAAATATTACATACATTGCACACATACATATGTATATATTTATAACCAGATTTTTATTGGACAAGTATAAAATCGATTCTACTTACAGTGGACTCTGCAAACAATTTCCAAAACATACGAAGGCGGTCATAGCGATTGCCCGGCGCATCTATGGTAGTGAGGTAGTTTAACAGAGCCTTGATAAGACCACTGTAATTCATTTCGAAGGGCGATATATCACTCTCGAGGACTATATCTCGTAATTCCGTTAACGCTGACAACATTTCGTCCAGTTCCTGCAAAATCAATGTGGATTATAAATCAGTGAAGATATTTAAGTAGAAAATGTATATACAGTATTGGAAAAAGGGTAAAATATTTTAAGGGGATTTAGTATGTCCAAAAACAAGTCGAAAAATCTTAATAAATATCGAATCCATAAATGAACCGTTTTTGATATTTTAATTTTTTTGTATACTTTTTTATTTTTATTATTTTTATTCTTTAATTATTTTATTCATGTGAATATAAATAAATTAAATTAAATTAGTAAATTAAATTATGAGATTTTACAAATCGAAAATGGCTCATTTGCGGACCTATCTTTATTAAAACTTTTCAATTTATTTTGAGACACTAAATCCTTTTAAAATATTTTACTTTTTTCAACATCTTTGTATATTATTAATAACACTGAAACATAAAATATACAAATACATTTTAGTAATATATCCGTGTAAGTATATATTTCTGTAATGTACTTACGTTTGATTGCAATCGCTGTATCGCAGCAGTCAGTCGAGCAAGAACCGTCAAAGCGGGATGCGAACAAGGCGCGTCGTCCTGATATCTTGCCAGGAATTGGGCCGCTTGCTCGCGCACCCACGTCTTTGCCTTGTCCCGATTTCCGCCAGTTAAGCTCGGATTACTCGGTGGTTTCGACAAATTCGTGGACGAACTCGAATCTCTCTTGTCGCCACTGGTACTGGATGAGGATGATTTTCGGCCCCATTTGGCTGGATTAAGATTCCCTAGAAAACGATTGTTTTTCGGAGTAAAACCGGTGAACAAAGATTCTGGCTGTTGTGTTTGTTGCGGTGTCGTGGTTCCAGCTAATCTCGAGAAACGACCTTTTTTATTTTGCCGTTTTTTCTTCAGCACATCACCAATTCTTCTATAATAAGTAAACAAAGCAACACATAAGTGTATATGAATAATAATAATAATAATGATACAATAATTATGTTAAAAACAATAAAATTCATCTTATCAGTAAAAACATCTTGTACTAACAGGTGAGCACTTTGTGGTGTACTTGATTCTTCTACGCTACTGTTTAACTCCGTTCTATGTGGTTCCAACGAAGCACTGATATTTGGTTTATATTGGCATGATGTAATTGTGCCGAATAATATGCCATTTGAAGATGGAGAGACAACCGGAGACGTGGCACTATTAGAAGACAACATTGCGGTGGAAGAAAGTGGTGTATTAGACGGACCTGGCTGTGGGCTTGGTAATGACGTACCTAAATGCAACATAAAATGGTACACTATATTTATTATATGTATATGACAAGTCATATAAAATATATTGACAATATATTACGTATTGAAAACTATAACAATGAGAACAATAGCAATGTATTAACGAAATTTACCAGAAGGGCACTTGGGTGGTGAAACACCAAGAGGTACTTCGGGATCTGCTAATTGACGAACTTGATGCAGCACGCCTTCACGATGAAAATGAACCCCAAATACTTGCGGCAACCTCTTCATCAAGATACTCGCCATTTGAAGAGCCCCAATAACTATACGCAAATCTTGCGACGCTAACATACCAGCTATATGAGATGAGACCACTTGATTCTTTAGAACATCCTGTGTATCAAGAAAAAATTTGCAGATAAATAATATTGTAAACAGAATAAAGTATAACTGTAAAATATACTAGTTTACTTAATATTTTATTTTACCTTAAGCAAATCTGTTGAAGCATAATACACCATACGAAGAAGAGCTCTAAGACATTTGCATTTTACAGCAGGTCCAGCTGAGCTACTATAAACTTCATATAGTACAGAGAATAAAGTTCGAATAAAAGACACTAGCCATTCGTTTGTTTCGATCACCGGAGGCACGACATCCATACTGCAATCAACGACAAAATAATTACATTAACAAAATATTACATGTTTGTAATTTTAGACACATTACAAAATATTCTATTGAAATATCATTTGTACCTAGATGAACAAGTAGGACTTTTTCCCTCGGTAGGATTGGCGTTTACTCTGCGAAATATACTTCTTGCCATTCCTATATCCTCGTTAATTTGTTTCATCACAGTCAGATCTATAGTGTAAGTTCGTCCTAAAGAGGAAAGGCATATTTCGTCTTCGCCATTTTGAAACGCCATCTGAAATAATATGTACAATCAATACTTTGCATTTGTCGATTAGATGTATTCGTATATTGCAAATCGTAGAATAGAAAATCACCTCAATAATTCTAGAATCTATAGTACTGAACGGATGAGCACATTGTCTCTCGTCGCGCCATTCCCACTGGACAGTCTCCTGTTGATTGCTGGTCCTTTCAAGTAAACTATTTACACTGAATATTCCATCTGTCGGCAATGGAGGCATAAGTTCTTCGATTAAACAAGTAATTTCGAACCATTCCTGCGGTGTACGCGGTACTAATTCGACATCTTCCGTTTTCACATCGAGAGATCCAGTTAGAAGATAACTTAACGTGAAAGCTATATTTTGTTGCAGCAACAGCTGTGCCAAATCGGAACAGCGATTCGATATCACAGAGAGCATTCGTAATACAGTTATGAAATTGTTAGTGCTGTTAACCGGAGGCGTAATCATAAGCTATAATAAAAAGATAGGTATTAGTTTAAGATCCAAAAATTATTTCAATAACAATTATGTTGAACTTCAATAGTATAACACGCACCAGCTGTTGCAGATTTTGTAAAAGTTCGGCATTGATAATCTTATGCAGCATCATGGGATCATGTTGGAAACTGTCAACTAATCGACTGAATGCTTGACACACACACTCGACGCTCTTCTTATCTTGATTCGTCAATCTGCTCGTTAATAATGGTAAACTGTCTACTACCAAATGAAAATCATCAGGATGAAGATTCTGACAGCAGTTCGCAGTAATTGTTAATGCTGCACGTTGTGCCGTAATATTGAAGAAATCAACGAATTTTAAACAGGCTGACACCCCACCCTGGAAATTAAAAAAAATGTATTATAGTTATAAGTTATCAAGTCGTTTTGTTTGTAAAATATTAGGCGTAAAAATGTTTAGCTTAATTTGAAATATCTTTTTTACAGTGAATACATACCGCGTGTAAGATTGTTTTGCTGTGCCTGCGTGACAACATGGCTAAAGCTGTTAAGCATTGTTCAGCTACGTCCATACATTCGATCGATTCGAGCTTTTGCAAGAATACCGGAACCGCATCCACCACAACAGTAGATGATCGCGGTAATGCTTCCATCATGTAAGTAAGGGCACGACACGCGTGAGTCATTATCGCAAAATTATGTTCAATTCCCAATAAATTAATTAAAGCTGCAACCACTTGCTTGACAGGAAAACCAGTTAAAGTATCTTCATTGCCCATTACAAGAATCTCGCCCATGTTCATGACGGCCTGCAATTGTTCTCCTTCGTCTTCGACAGCTTGTAAACCAGCTAACAATTGTTGAGCCTTAGCAGCTAAATAAAAGAAAAAAATATTGATTTAAATTAGTATAAATAAAAGTAATATTTTAGTAAGTGTAGGTCACACATGATGTATCATACCAGAACTTGCACCCATGCTTCTGTTAAGTAAGTGTTGCATCCGCGGTCCTAATGCACCAAACACATGCGGAGGTAATCCTCTGGCCTCCAACAGAGCTTGCAATCGTCCGACTTCTCCATCATCACTTTCACTATCACCAGTAGTTCCTGACATTCCAGATGGTCCTCCACTCGCTTCATATGTAAAGAGAAAAAAAAATTTATTTTTAATTTTACAATAAAATATATTAATCCTTTGCAAACGGATTTAACATCAAAAATTAATATATTAAAACGTATTATAAATTTTTACATGGTACATAAAAATTTCTTAATTAATAAAAATATTAGACAACTAAGATTTGAATAAGGTTCTTGTGATGTGACATTTATATTTTAAATTTAAACCAATAAATAAGAATCAAACGTAAATGATAGTGTATCAGTTTAAAAAAAGAATTAATTTTTATTGAAACTAATTATGTATGCACAGGACAGCAATTTTTCTTGATCCAAGATCAAGAAATTAAATAAATCTCAATTTGAGATTTTTTTAAATAAACCTCTTTGTTTTATCTAAAGACGCTTAGGCGAGAAAAATATCGGGACGAAGTTGTTGAATCAAGAATTGAATTGTCGATTTGCTCGTATCACTAAACTATTTAAACCCCGGGTGGCATCCAAAAAACTCGGATTCGATTCCACGATTCAACGACTTCGCCCTAATATTTTTCTCGCCTAAGTTTCTTTAAGAGGAGATTTATTAAAATTAAACAGCTTTAATTTGAGATTTAACTTTAAAAGAAATAGGGGAGTTTTTATTAAAAAATCTCGAATTAAAATTGACTTAATTTTTAATATTAGGCAAAGGAAAATTGGTGTCCTGTGCATAAATAATCAGTTTCGACGAAAATTAATTCTTCTTTGAAATTACATTATTATCCACGTTTAGCTCTTATTAATCATTTAAATTTAAAATATGTAAAAATAATTTTTACGAAATTAATTCTTCCTTCAAATTAGCGCACATTATCCGCGTTTAGCTCTTATTAATCATTTAAATTCAAAATATGTGAAAAAACATTTGTGCTCTGACTATAAAAAGTTAAACTTATATTACATTTATATGACAACAAATTTATCGGACGTGCCAATTAGTCATCGGATAGACAATTGTTGCAAAAAAAGATTCCAGAGATTCTCTAGTTAAGAATCTCATTAATAGCTGATCAATATGTCCAATAAACTTCGTCGAATGTACTATCAATCTTAAGCTTATATATTAATGATATTTAACCTGTGGCAGATGTAGCAGTTGATGCAGACTCCTCCTCACCTGTAGTTGAAATTAACTGACTGCTAGGAATCGAGGATGATACTGACGTTGCGCTGATGGAATCATTGCCTAACATTACACCACCCAATCCTCCAGAGCCACTCTCAACCACCGGCTTCCTCACGCGCGATGAGGAGCGATGTCTATAACATGATAACCAGCAGGTATTATTAATATGTTATAATTAATTATAAAATCTTCTCGCTAAGTTTGCAATTAAGTTTTGAAAAAATGCTTATATATGTCCAATTAATTACCTAGAACTCGAACAGGCACCCGTTGTAGAGTCTTTCTTATGATGTTTCCCTGAAGTCTTGTTACTTGATGGCAGTTCCTTGGGTTGTTCGCCGGAAGCTTTCGCGCGGGAGCGTAGCAGGTGCTTATGTGTAGAATGAGGGTGTGCAGGGTTGGCAGAAGCGGCGGCAGACACAGGTGGATTGGCAGTGGCTGTCGACGCGATGCCACTCGTGCCTGCCCCGTCATGTGCCAACGCCCCCCCGCCACTCTCCGCAGAATTACTTGCTGCGTTACCCACTCTGATGCTGGATTTGACACCCAGAACTTGACTACTCGTACTGCTACTCGTTGCGCTACAGGCCGCACCGCCGTGAGATTTCGAATCTAAAATATCCAAATGTCACACAATCATTGAGATACATAGGGCAAAGATTGAGAGATTCGTTACATATGATAATCTAACTGCGCATATAGACTTTCATTGTTATGCAGATGTCGATATTGTATGTAGTATTTTTAATATTTACACTTTTACGCGTTATACGCATAAAAAATATATAAAAAAAAAGAAAATGGAAGTCTTGAGATGTGTATATATGTATACACAATTACAAAAATCAAACATTTTCGCAAGTTTGGTAATTAGAGTGATGTATGACATCTATAATGTTTCATACAATTTTATGTACAATTTTTTTATCTGATCCATAGAAATGAATATCTTTATTTCTACACATTTTTAAAACTAAGCAATTTTACATAATTTCTTTACATAAATTTGTTTAACTCCACTTCTTCGTGCCACATGATTAGCTGATTAGCAACATTAAATGTTGCACATTTTACCTAGAACAATTTAGAGAAAACGAAATTGATTGTACTAATGAGTACTGCAATATTATTTAAATGCCACAACAATAGATAAAATATAAAAATTATTCAAAGAGAGACACAATGCCTCTATTTTAAACAAGTTTAATTCTTGTTTTCAATTTACAATATATGATTTTACATATGAGTAAAATTTTACGAAATTTTTCTTCATTATCTGAATGAAAAAACATTTTTCATCTCACTCATCAGATAGAGGATCAAGTAACAACACTAACGACCTTGTATTAACTCAGGTACTCGAAAAATACATGGGGTTTCTTTTTTGTAGGATTATTTGGAATAGATGGACTTCCTGTAAAAGATCTTTACGAAGGGTATCGATTCTATAACTTTTTCTAAAGTGAAAACGTGAAAAAATTACAGAATCGATATCCAGAACTTAAAGACTTCTTAGGATTATTGTGAAAACAATAAAAAGAAACACATGGCAAATATAAAAGCAACTGGACCATTTTTGATCATGACACATTAAAGATTTTTTTGCAAAACTAACATTTTAGTATCCTTTTACTAGATATAAACCACATATTTATAAATTCTGAAAACAATCAAAAATTAAAATTCATTTATAATAGAAATATTATTTTTTAAAATGTTAAGTTTTTATTAAAAATTGAATATTTTAATAAATATATTAATTTAAATACATTATAAAAAAATCGCGAAGAAAGAAAAATATATTTAACTTATTAAGACTCTTTAAATAAAATACGTGAATATATTTTCTATGCACTCTTTGTAAATTATTAATATACATAGTTTTAATATTTATTGAGCAAAATGTAACAAAGTACACATGGCTTTACATAAATTTTAAACTTTATAATAGTCAATTTTTCAGTAACTATAAAAGAAAAGAGATTAATAATTACATGTGATAAAAATTTGAGATAATTGCAATAAAAATCAGTTTTCAACAAACAAACAAAATTGTCTTATTAATATAAAAATCATTATAAAAACAAAAAAAAATTTTTTTATTAGTTACACAATATTTTGTTAATTATATTTAAATATGTGTCTTTAATTTTTTAATTATATTCAATCATTTCTATTAATTATATTTTTAATGAATTTACTTTTATTAATTATATTTCTATGAAAGAGATATCAGATTATTACATCTCATGGAGATGCATATAGAGTAATTACATGACTAAAAATGGCATATTCACAGGATTTCCGATATAACTTGAACAAATTATCGCGAATAATGTTTGCATTAAAAAACTCACAAAAAAAAACAAGTACAATTTTAGTAAAAAAAAAAACACTATATCATAAAATTTTTAAACATTGATTACAGGTATTTATATAATTGCATTAATATTTAAATAATACACGTTTCGAATCTATCTCGCACTTTCTTAAATTCAGCGCAATTGATGTAGACTAATATCTTAATAAAATTTAGAAGTACATATCAATTTTTGTTAGATTGTCTTGTACATAATACAATCAATGTAGAAATATTAATCAAGTAAAATGTGTAATTTAAAAAAAAAATTAAGTTATAAAGAATCATTTTAATTTTAAATTAAAAATATATAACATATAATAAATAAAAACTTGAACAATATTTTTGATATTTATCTCATAGTTACTTTTTTATATTTTATTTAATTATTAAAAAACTCTATAACATCTTATGCTGTATGATGTGTTTATAGGCAACTTTACGAAAATGTTTGCATAGTTTATAAAAATTTTAGCACAATATTACTCAAGATAATATTATAGCAGATATCACTGATTTTTTATATCCAATTGTAAAAACTATAAAAATAATATAATTTCGCTATATATACATAACAAAAAAGTTAAAAAAGATTTAAAGAATTTAGATTTTTAATGTCATGAGTAAAGTTATGACAATGTTTTTAAATCTTATAATAATTATCAAATTTAACAAAATACAAGTTGAGAGAAATAAAATTTAAGAGTTGATATTTTCCTTTCTTTCTCTCTAAATATATTTACATAACTAATGTCATGCATAAATGAGCTCAAGAAGAATTTTACCTGATATTAAATATAATAAATGATGATGCTTGCATATGGATGTAGGGAATAAATTCAGAATGGAGTTCAATGATTCTCTGATATTCGTTTAAGCTACTCGCATATTTGTAAGAGAACATAAGGGGAAGAAAATGTAGTACGAAGTGTGTACTCCTTAAGCTTACCTTCTTGATGGTAGGTTTGTGTTGATATTGGAAAAAGTGCTTTGACAGCAGACACAAATCCTTCCAGACATTCGCTCATCCTCTGGCCTAATGATACAGTCTGATCTATGACTCTTATTTTGATAATATTTGCATTTTCTAAATTTTATTATATTCCTATCTCTTGAAACATTTTCACTCTCTTTGATATGTGTTTTTAATGGCCTCATCATGATTCTTTTTAATTTAGACACAATTACATATAAAACTTTGTTGTAATACTTATAACTGATTATGATATTAGATAAAATAGTAGATAAAATAAATTCATAATATTAACATACAAATTCGCACAAATTTTTATTAATTAAAAATTGGAAAACAGGAATTGTTATATATAGAAGAAAGATTTTCATTGTTTTTTTAAATACTGTATCATAATAAATACTGTACGCTCACTGTGTGAGCGATTTCCGAAAATTGATTTTACAAAACTCTGTTAATAAGTTAGCGAACAAGTAGAGATGTAACAAACATGTATATGTGTAAATATAAAGATACACTTCATAAAGAGTCTTTTGTTGGGTGGTAAGATAAAATACTACCTAATTAAGCAATTTGTTCTTTCTTCTTCTTTGTATATGCTTTGTTGAAAAAATTACCTAACAAATTTATATTTATCATTATTTTTCTATAGCATTTTTACTATAAAATAATTAAATGTAACTTTGACAGAACAGTTAACACGATTTAAACACACACATAATAATTATGTCACTAATTAAAATTTTTAAAAAAATTACTTTCTTTATCGGATATTATAATGTTTGTTACAAATTATTCACACAACAATTTTATGTTTTCCTTCATGTTTTAAATTTCTTAATGTAAATTAAAATAGTATATATTCACACATTCATTAAGAGTTGTCTAATTAAGTGTGAGCGAGTGAGTAATAGCTCACATCGTTCTCTTATTCATCTCCTGCTTGTTCGCTCGTATGACGTCATAAATTATAGACTGCTCTAATTGAAATAATGAAGAAACATCTTTTTTATCTTTATAATATTTCTAAAAGATCAAGAAAATCAAAAATATATATTTTATGTATATAAAAAATAAATATTAATTTTTGTTTATATATATATGGTATGTATATAAATATAAATTATATAAACCACATATGTATATAAAGTCTTTGGTTCAAAGATATATACATATTTTGTTATCAATTTTAGGAGTTTATCTTTGAATGTAATCAACATAAGCAATCTCAAAACAGAATTGTATCTTCACCCAAATCACACATCACGTCTTGCAATTGATAATATTAAATATAAAAATATACACTAACCTCCTCTTCCTCTCGACGTGGATGGATGACTAGTGATTGGCGTCGCACTTGATGAAGCTACCAAGTTACTGTAGGTACTTGTTTTTCGGCTACCGTATCCACTAGGCAGTGACAGATCGTAACTGCTAGCTCCTTGTGTCAATGCTTGCGGGTTTTGTGGAGTACGAGAACGAGTCCGTGATGCCACACAATCAGTAGATGTTAAATTAAATTCTGGTAAATTCGTCCTAGCTGCGCTACGCACCCTTGTACTGCTACCACTGCTATAACTGGCTTGATGAATCTTATGATGCGATCTCCAGTCAGTATCTGTATAGCAATATTTCAATATGTAATTACTAATTATATCATATATTGCAATAGTTAATTACAATTTTACAATGAAGAAAGATAAAATTTTAGAAGCTCAAGTAATATGAGTGTAAGGAAAAATTAAAATAAGAAATTCAGTTACATATCATTATGCAATATTGGACAGAAATTAGCCAAGATTGCTCAATAGTATTATGACACATAAATTGATGATAATGATATGTCAAAAAGAAAGAAAAAAAGAACAACTTAAATGCTATTAATTATGCATATTGGAAATGGACATTCTATAATTGCATTATAAATGTACAATTACCTGGATAAGATTCTAAGCCACTTCCATGATTTCTTTGTTCACCTCTAATTCTGCCTTCCCTTTGGAAGAATCAATCAAATGTGTGTGCGCTGTGTTATTATCAACTTGGGATGCTTGCGGGTCGCCAGTGGCTTGTCTACGTCTTTTCTCTTCTACTGTATCTGAGATTGCACCAGTACTTTGTCGTTTTCTATAACCACTGGAGCCACTACTAGAGCTTTTCCCCCTAAGTTTAGAGGTGTCTGCTGAAGCACTGGCCTTCTCTACAGACCCCCCTGATGACAACTGATCTTGTTGATCTGCCATAGATTAATCGACTCATGCCACTATTCTGTCTGTAATGAAAGAAAAATGTTTATAATATAAATAGTTAAATATAGCAATTTTTATTTGTATTTATATACAATTATATTGTAGTATGTAAAAGAGAGATAAGTAGGAAATAATTTTAGCTAGCTAAAAAGATTTCTAGACAATTTTAACAAATTTAATGTTTTTCTCAATAATTTCTATAAGTAAAATTTGACACAATAATGCTGTATTAATTTTCTCAATCAATTTTTCTATATACTTTCGAAAAAAATAAATCAGATGTTTTCAAAAATGAAACAGATGGTAGAATCAAGTATTAAATCAGTATACTTGTAAAAATGATCACGCAAGTAACATCTCTCCTTGTCCATGTAAATGTGTGTAATAATAATGAACAACAACACAATGGAAGCAAACGCAGCACGCGTTATTTAAAAATGAGATCGGTAGTACTTATATCGCGGATAGGCCGTGATACACGGAACAAGAGTTTCTCTCCGTTACGGCCTCCTTTATTGGAGGAAAACATTAACAATGCTATCGCTCGCACACGAAGCTGAGCGTTTACTTTCGATTATCGCTCGCATTCGAAATCCAAACCGTAAGTTCACACGTTCGCGACCGAGAGAGATAGGTGTATAGAATGGAAGCTTATTTTATTGCGCACGAACGGTCAGGTGTTCGCATTTAAATGAGCATACAATGGAAATTAAATGCCCCCTCCCCACCCAGTCGACGACGCTCAGCGAGATCCGAAGCTTACAACGTACGAGTTGTTGAAACAGCACGAATTTCTAACAAAAAAAAATAATAATGATTTTATGCCTCGACGCGAGCCATATGCGCTCGGATAACAAGAGCGTGACTAAATAAAGCGTACGGTCGCGATACGCAATTAATGCTTTTTTCCCCCTCGCGTGAAACCCAACCGAAGGAGATAGTAACGAACCCAGAATCATAACAAACAGTACGCGACTGCTGGCTGTCTGGCTGATTGCTCCGTCCATCCGATATCTCACTGGTCAACGCGGAATTGTGCCGTTGACATCACGTCCCTTCTTGCCCCTTTCTAGCACCCGACGACGACGATATATATATATATATGTGTGTGTGTGTGTGTGTGTGTGTGTGTGTGTGTGTGTGTGTGTGTGTGTATATATATATATATATAATGATGATGATGATTACTTCAGTCGCGACAAAGCACGATAAAGACACGAGTCATCAGCTGCAGCAGCAACAGAGAAGAGAGAGAAATATATATATTATATATACATACGTATATGTATATATTCCCGAAAGCCCGAATTTGTGTAGCGTAACAAAGAGACTCGCTCGCTCGCCACCATTTGCTCGCGATCGAGTAATGGAGGACGGGGTTTCTCTCCTCCTGTCCTGCTCTCGCACGCGCCTCTCTTCTCTCGCTCGCTTGTGACCTCAGGTTGAAGTCCTCCAAAAAGAGAGAAGCCCCCTCCCTCCTACTTCCTTACCCTTATCCCTACGCCCCTGTCTCCTCGTCGTCGTCGTCGTCGACCTCCTCCTCGTCCCCTGCCCTTCCTACCCACCCACTCTCGTCCGCCCCACGCACTCTTTTTCGTCAGGGACTCTTTTTCAAAAACAGTTAACCCAAGTGTGCGCATGTACAAGTATACGTGTATACGTCTACCTTTACCTGAATGTGGGAAAAACATGCCCAGGGCATCGCGACGACCGGAGCTATCCTCTCTCAGCTTGGTGGAACGCGAGCCGAGGAGAACCTTCGTTCCCCTTCGTTTTATCGTTGCATACGGACACATACACACGCATGCACGCACGCGAAGGATATCGAGAAACGAGCGAGAGAGCGTTCGTGGCTACGTCCGCGCACGGCGCACAAGAGAATGAAACGCGTACACACGCCACCGATCATATATATATATGCATATATGTATATATATATGTATATATATATATATATGTATATAAAGAAACAAGAGGAAACAACACGGCGAACGAACCGCGACGCACTGAAGGCGACTCGGCGGAATGCGACGACTGTCGACCGTCGAGCGAGTCTCTCGGAGACTCTCTCTCTCACCCGAGAGGTTGGTTAGGACTGGCTGCAGGACGCTCCGCCCCCGTCGACCCAATGTCACAAGCCAGCGGAGCGAGCTCTAGCTCGCGACGCAACGAATACACGCACGCACTCGACTCACGCAGCCTAGCGAGGAACAGACACGCGCACGCACGCACGACGAGTGAGCGGACTCGCGACGGAGGGAGAGAGAGAGAGAGAGTTATTCTCCTCTCCGATATACGTTCGGAAACCTGCCGCTCGCAGAGAAAAACCCACCGCGCTCTCTGCGCATGCGCGTGAAACCTGCGCGACTGATCACGTGATCACCTGGCTTTCCCAGGCTTGTGCCTAGAAGTGCATTTTTTTTTCTTTTTTTTCTATCAAGAATAATATTACAAATGCGTGTTATTTTAATTTTGCAGAGGAAAGAAATATTAGTATATTTTATTGAATGGTGATATAAACAAGAAAAATATTTTGACAGGAGAAAAAGTATGTTATTTTAATTTTGCAGAGGGAAGAAATATTAATATAATATTCTATTGAATGAATGGTGCGATATAAATAAACAAAATTTTTACAGGGGAAAAGTATTTTATTTTAATTTTGCAGTAGGAGGAAACATATATATATATATATTAATATATTCTATTGAGTAAATGATGTAAAATAAATTTAAAAAAATATATTTTGACAGCGGAGAAAGTATTCGACGCGATTTATGACAGTTCGCAACAAGATGACAGAAACTTGAAATAAATTAAAAATGAATGACACTTCTCTCTGCGCATGCGATTTCGAAGCACTGTGCCGTCACTGACGTTCGCGGCTCGGCGCGAACGGCCATCTTGCTCGACCGTTTTTTAAATCTTCATTTTCACTGCGAGTCGCAAAAACCGGGCCCGACGTTGGCCGAGTTTGCTTACGTAAATTGAGCTCTTCCGAGATAATCGAAGCGACGATACTTTTCGCGCGTCGCGCATGTAATATTATCCCTATCTTTTGCGTAACTGATCGATCGATCGAATTCTCCGTCGTAGGAAAAAAAAAACCATTGCAACGAAAAAAAAAAAATATATGTATATATATGACGATGTTCACCTCTCTCTTTCACGTATCTCTCGCACGCCTGGCGTTTATGTAACGCACACGTTTATATGTATTTACCGTGGACGTGCGCGTTATCGCCAACGGAAATTGATGACGCTCGCGTGAAATAGTTTTGTCATCGTTCACCTTTAACGTCGAAAAGCGGAAGAGATCATCTCTATCGTAGTTCATTCGACGTATCACTTAATAAAATAAAATACTCGCGAAAATCACCTCGAATATATGTACGGGCGAATAAATTATAAATATACTTTTGAGCTCGAAGGAAAAAAATGTCCAAGCCCACGAAATTTCCAAAGCAAACAAAAATCACTCGCCCTATCGTTCCCGAACGATAAAACCCTTATCTATCGCCTCTCGTTCGATCGGATCCGCTGCTGCGAAGTGACGAGGCGCGTTTACATAAAGCACACGTTTGCTCGTTTCAAGGTCTAATTGATCGTGCACGCGTATATTCGAGGCGATCGAAATTGTATATGCGCCACTGCGACGATGTGTAGGAATTACACGGATATGACGACGACGACGAGGGCTTGTTGCGTCGCGTCTCTCGGTGGAACAAAGACAAAAAAAAAAAAAAACGGGAGAAGAGCGCAAGCGAACGAGAGAAAAAAAAATCGCCTAACAGATGTCAAGATTTTGGCTGCTCCCGATCTCGGGCAGAGATGCAGCCACGATTGGCTGGAGAAAAGAAATACGTCTGACCGCGATCAATCGGTCGTTAATAAACGGTGTCAAAACCTAGAACATAATGTCAAAATAGCTCTCCGAGCCCCGAAGAGGGAGATCAGCTGGTTCGCGTTTTTCGTCTCGTCGCACGCGACGCGAGATCGCTCGACCCCTTAAATCGGCCCTTCGCCCAAGCTACGTGAAAGAATGAACCTTCCTACTCACCGCAAAAAGGGAGCTCCTCCCTGGAAGTCGGATTCCAGTTACGCAATGCGATGCGCGAGGGGACACGTGAAAATACAGAGTGAGCTGTCAAGTCGATCCGTTTGCGTCGTCTGCTACCGCGAGATATCTCGACCCGAGTGTCGCGTTTCGGTCGACACGCAATGACGTTTGCGAGGAGGTGCGTTTACTTTTCGTCCGTCAACCGCTTCGCGTTCGCTGATTGGTGAACGCGCCGCGACCCGTCCGCGCCGACCAATCAGCGGGCTGGACGAGAATGATGTTTGCGACTCATCGTTGACGTCGCTCTTCGTAGCTCCGTTGCGAATCCGCCTGTTCGGCGTTTATCGTGATTTGACAAGATGTAGTGAGGTTATGTCAAAGTCTTCGATTTATAATTTTATTTTAAAGATCCTGTTATATATTCGCGAGGTAAGCCATTCGAGAAAATATTTTGTATTGCTCGTAGTAATTTTATTACACTTGTTGCACATGATTAATACTTTGGAATTATTTAATTTTTTTTTTTTGCGAAAACTATCGACATCTCCTATAAAAATTTATGTTAGTGACAAGTGTATATAAATTGGGGTGATTAGATATTATGCTTATTATTCGATTATTTCTAAGTTAATAAGTTATTTGGTAGAGATTATTATACAATTAGCAAAATATTTTATATTTTGCGCTCTAGTTGATGTACATATAAAGATGGTGTATATAATCTATTTATGATAATCACAGTTAAAGCAATAACATTTTTACATTTAGAATAAATATCTATATATATTTTATCTATAATCTTAATCAATAATGTTAATATTTTGTATTGTTAGTTTGTACTATCACATTACAACAAAAAAGGTATACACATATTGCTTCATTTTCTATCCATACCATATAATAATTCCTTCAATGACTCTTCATTTATAGTTTGCAAAGTATCGGTACCATCTTTTGCGCGATTGAAGCTTTGTTCTATGTCTGATTCCACCATATTCATTTGCACACTGTCAGAGACTTGTGGAAAATTGGTGTAAGAATCTATCGAATTTTCTTTATGTTTAGGTGAAGATACTCTCAAATGTTCTATCTCGAAAGTAGATGATATGCTATTCTCGAGAGGAGACATCACCATGGAGAAAAAATTATTAGTGTTTTTTATGTCTATTTTTTCATTATCTGATTGTATTTTCTGAATTGATTCTGTAGATTCTTCAAGTTGTACAGAGTTAAAGTTGTTAGCACCCTCTGAATCTTTGTTTGTGTTATCGGCATCTCTAAATTCCACGTTTTCTTCTTTTCTTTCAGAAGATACATTGTTTATCTCTGACTGTAGCGCTAAAACATGTTGTCCTTGGGCGTTTATTATCAACACAAACTTATTTTTCTCATTATCGTCGACAGTCGTCGTCGATTGACCTTCTTGAAAGGTATTGGTCTGCAGCCTGATTGCATTGTCATCAGCATCTTGCACATCTTGTGCAATCGTGTCAAACGATTGCTGGATGTTGCCTGATGTTTGTATATGACATTTATGAGTTCTTTGACTCACCTGTAAAAGTAATTCACGTATAAAACTTATTAAAAGAAAAATATATATTGTAATTATTAATGTATATAATTATAATATATATTGAAATATTTAACGATTATTTTCTACCTTATATCGGAAGCTTTTGCCACATGATGTGCATTTATAAGGCATCACTCCTGTGTGAATTCGACGATGGACTAAATACGAAACACGTTGACGAAAACATTTTCCTGCAGAAATTAGTATGGCATTGTAGGACGATTATTATCATCATATTATTACATATAGCTTTGTACATTTACAAAATAAAATGCACAGTATTTTTCATAGGAATTACCTGCTTTTATTAAGCACATCATGCACAGCACATAATATTGCAGACACTACATAAACAAAATAATTTTAATATTAATTGATTAGTTGATCACCAAACAAAGTTAGATAGATTATTAATATTCCACTCTAACTCATTTATAATGATCATTTTCCTATGACATACCACAAGTTTCGCATGCAAAAGGTTTCTCTCCAGTGTGAATCCTCTCATGATTGTGCAATGTTGAAAGTTCTTTAAATGATCTACCACAAGTTGCACAGTTGTGAGGTTTTTCATCCTTATGATAAAATCTATGCTTATGATATGATTGCTGAAAGGTGAAACTCTTGTCACAAATTTTACATTTATATGGCATTTCTCCTGAATGCAGTCGTGTTTTTTTAAAAAATATTTTGTTGTAAACATTTTGCTACAAGTATCACATTCCCACTGTTTGCCTTCATGGGTTTTCAAGTGTTGTATTACATGTTGCTCCTGAAACGAGAATATAAATTATTAAGAAAATTATTAAGTTTGTGAAAATTGTGTGTGAGCAAAAAAGAATAATATCCTCACTTTCTTAAATTTCTTCCCACATGTAGGGCAAGTATATCCAGCATCACTGCATGTAAGTTCAATCTGGCCATCTTTTGAAAGAGTAGCTGTTACATAAAATAATGTGAAATTTGTTGCGTTTGTATTTAATTAATTAAGTAAATAAATTGTATATATAATAATTTGACAAATTGCTTGCCTAAATTGTGCCCAACGTGAGCTACTCTCATATGTACCATCAAACTGCCTCTCATTTTGAATGTTTTAGAGCATAAATGACACGAATAATTTTAAGAACTTTGCCAGAGATATTATTTGAATCTTGCTCATGCACTAATTGTTTATGCAAAGCCAAAATATTGGTGTCAGGAAAGTGGAAGCCACATGTGTTACATCGTTCTGTCTTTTCTTTTGGTGCTATGGTTCGAAAAACTTTAGTACATGTCTGGGATAATGTTTCTCTGTGTTCCGAATTTTGATCTTGATATTCAGCATTTGTCTCAAACACAGTCTCTCTTGTATCAGATAAACTTTGTTTATCATTACATTCTTCTGGTGATACATTTGCACAAACTATATTCTGAATTGATTGAAAATTTGTGAGATTATTTTCTTTTTCAATTAAACTTATCAGTCTTTCCTTTGCGACACATTGGCTGTTATTCGATTCACATTTTTTTTCAATATCTTCGTAGATGTTGTTATCTGTACTTTCTGATGCTTTTGTCCCAGTGATTAGGTCTGATATAGCTTTTTCTGCCTGTGCATTTTCTGTTATTATATTTAAATGTTTAATAGTGTCATTAGAAAAAAATGGCATTGTACAATCTGTTTTTAATACATCTTGCTGCAAACTTGCAGTTGGTCTTAGCACTACATTGTGATTTTCGTTTGATTCTGGAAAGATATTTACTTTTATCACATCATAATTATAATCTGACATGAAACTGTGTTGATTTACATTTTTAACTGATAAGTTTTGATTTTGTGTTTGAGGCTGTGAATTTACAACAGGGATATTGTTCTCTGTACTTGCTATTCCAGAATCTGATGGCTCCGAGCTATTGTTATCATTTGAAATTTGCGTCTTATCTGGTTGTGTTTTTAATACATTCCAATCTTGATGTTGCAGAGCAACATTGTGTGCATTATGAACTGCAACCAGATGCTCATTGGGAGCAACATATTTAGACGATTCTACCGTATTATTACTCAGATTGATTGTATGACTAAATAAATGTATAGTTAATTTATCTATGCCTAAGAGCACTTCGTTACAAACAGGGCATATGAGAGGTCGAGTTGCCACACTTACAAGGCCAGCTCGTAATGCATCAAGTGTCAAAAATCCAGGTTGAGAACACAATGGACATGCTAATAGTCGTGCGCACATTTTTGTATTTGTTGATTGTAGCTTTTAATTATATATATGTATATATATATATATATTATATAATTATATATTTATTAATCTTTATAAAGTATAATTCATCCTTGAGTATATGAGACTTGATTTATGATGACTTGTTTAGTTCAAATATCTCCAATTTTACAGGATAAGCATCGTGATTATAAAATTCTAACAAAAAATAATACGTATCATTTAAAGCTGGCATTGTAGTCTTATTAAAATTATTAGGGTTATACTTGAACTTGACCTAGTAATTTATAAAATAGAATTCAGTGATATGTATAATCTTTTTCAATGAGATATTTCCATAAAATCTTATGAAATATTATAAATTCTAGACACTGACACTGTATACAAAATTCTCACACCTCCAGATCTAAATATAGAAAGATGGTTTAAGATATCTGTGCTGAATTCTTGTGTGTCTTTGTAGAGTGTGTCTTATGATCAAGAAGCTATATTTAGAAAACTGGTGGGATATTCAAAATACCAAAGTATATCAAGTCAATATATATTTATTAAATATCTCGTATAAATTGTCAAATTTACAGTAATTTTATTTTGAAAAAAATCTCAAGTTTACTTTAATTACATTTATATGGTGAGCCATCTTTACAACAATATTCTCTACCAGCAGATAGATTTGTATTTATCCATTCATCCTTGCAATTTTTGATAAAAAGATAAGCCTGAAAAAATGTGTAGTTTTAATGTAGAATGTAATTTTATTTTTATAATAATATCAAGAATAGAAACATAATAAAATTAATTTGAACCCAATACTCACTCTTTCTTTGTAACAATCACGATCTAAGGAAGCACAAAGCATTGTCTGACTGTTTGGTAAATATTTTACTATCTGTAAAACATATAATTTTGATTAATTATTATTAACGAGTACTTAAACTCGTAGTAAAAAAATTATATAATGTAGAGAAATGTTCAAGACAATACTGTAATTTAAAAACTCACAGCTTCAAGACATTTGCTAGTGCAAAGCTTGTTTCCATAAGTATTACATGGTAGCAAATCAGGGTGTTCATGTAAAATTGCAGGATATCCTTTAGGCTCTTCTTTGCTTCCTTTTGTAAATTGTCCGCTTAAAAATACACCACAGACACAGCCAATTGGCTCTTCACTTGATTTTGATGAAATAATATTTGTATCAGTATTGTTCTTTTCTGCATAAGAGTACGATATGCAAAGAGCCATCATCACTAATGCTAAATACATTTTGGCCTGAAATATAAATTATAATTAACAATATTTTTTTTATCAATCTTATGATTTTACTATTATGTTAACTGTACTCCAATTAATTATATTAAATATTTTTGAAATATTTAAAAGACTAAAATAAAAGAAAGAATACTTTTAAAATATTTTCTTCTTAAAAATATCAGGATAATTAAATATCGATAATTAAATTGTATCCACTACAGAAAGAATTTCACTGTATGTTCACTCTTCACAGAACTTCATTCAAATGTAATAAGACGGATGCCTTAAATCTTATTAAAGTCATATTATGTTGCAATATTATAACAAATATGGGGTCACATAGAATGCTTGCTAAGCAAAACTTTAAATTCCAAATATAATAAGAATTTCATTTTAATCGTTTGTACTTATTCATCACTGGAATGTACACGAATGAATAATTTAAATGTTTAATGAAAATTTCAATGATAGTCGAGCAATAAAATTGTTTATTACTTCAGAGTTTGAGAAATTTATTAATAATGAATAATAAAATTAATAAATTATATATAATTATTAATTATACATATCTCATTTATATATAAAAATAAATATAAATTATTAATAAAAATATTCATAGAAATATTATATTATAAAATAAATAATTTTATTAATGCTCAAAATTTTTACATTTTTGTTATATTGACAATATTTTTCTCATAACTTTTGCTTCTCCTTCTAGTACAACTTTATCTCCATTAGCAATACACATATATTCACATTTAATAATTTTTCTTACTGATACAATTTTTACTATTACTTCTACAGAGTCACCAGCATAACATGGTTTAGGAAATGTGAGAGTTTGTTCAATAACTATAGTGCCTGCTCCAGGTAATTTTGTACCAATTAATCCTGATACTAGGCCATTGAGCAAAGCACCGTGTGCAATTTTTCTTGCTGAGTCAATATGTATTGGATTATAATCACCTGTTAATTCAGCAAATTTGAGTATGTCATCATTTGTTATCACTTTGAAAACTGACACTTGATCGCCTTCTCTCAAATTGTTCATTGTTGTATTAGCAAATAATCTTATTTTTGAAGGGGTTTTCACAGAATAGTTTTTAAAAAACCCACTAAAGAACTGAAGAAGTTTCATGATGTTATATTTTTGTATATGCAGAAAAAAATATATATAATGTATATAATTATTATTAATTAATTAAATATGTATGGTTGAATTAGATTTAATTATGGTATTTCTTCACTTCTTATAAATAAATTAATTATGGTCCTTTAGCTTTTCTACTTCACTTGTTTCGCAATAATCACTTAAAAATATGATTGCTAAATTTTTAATACGGATATTAGCATCACATGAAAATTGCAACATGCATTTAATTATTTCTGCTGATATTATTTCATTCTTCGATTCGGGTGTGATCAAAAACATCAAAGTAGAAATTGCTGAGAGCACAATATCTTCATCTTGAGAAGAAAGTAACGATGATACTAACTTAACACCTCGATTGCGTAGGATATAAATCTTATTTATTGCATCTGGAAAAAGAATATTACATGAATAATAATGATAAATATTGTATGTGTAACTTTTCTGTTTTATTAAAAATATATATCTTACCTAAGCATAAATTACATATACCACCAATGGCAAAACGTACTAATTTTGGATTGTTTTCAGACAAAGCATCAAGAAATATATCAATTATTTGTAATTGTCTTATATATCCATAATTTATAGGATCATAAGCAAAGTTTGCCAAATTTGCCAATACTTGCTCCTTCGCGTCTAAAGAATTCAGAATAAAAGAAGATAATTATTTAATTACGTTGATCAACAGATGAATAATGCTATTTGTAAGAATCTTGTTTACCTCTAGATTTAGTAGTCTTATATTCAGTGGCTAAAAGCTTTAAGAAGTCATAACGCCCAACATCATTTTTGCCTGTGCGTTTTATCAATCGTGCCTTTGTCGAGAACATTGAAGTCTTAATATACATAGTTCATTGTTGCACCCAACAGCATTAATTTTTCACTTCTCAGACATTCTGCACATACACACATTGTAAGTTAGATCTATTATAATACAAATTTTTGCATGCATAGAATATAATGGATATAATTGTTATGAGACTTATATAAATTATATATAATCATTAATCATGTATAAAAAGATTAGATTATACATATATTATTAAACAATAAATAACCTTTGCAATACAGCCACGTATTGTTAAATATACTATGTATATTTAAATATTTTATTACAAACATATGACTAAAAATCTTAAAACTTTATGCATTTCATACTTTATTTTTATTGCAAAATAATTGAATGCAATTATTTTTAGAATTTGGATTTATTTGGATTTCGTATAAATAGATCACACATGAGTACATATAAGAATGTAGGGATGGCGCGGTGGTGGGAAGAGTGGGGGGGGGGGGGAAGGTCACAGCTAGTGCGCTAATGGCACATCATTATTTAATTATTTTGATTATTTTGATCGATCTGATTATGTGTTTTAATTAAATCTTATTTTGATTCGTGCGTGAAATGTCCAATAAAAATTTTATTTTAATTCTTAAAATATTGCTAGTCAAAGTTACTAAAAAGCAAGCTCTTCTATTGGATGTCGAAAAATTTACTCGAGGAAAAATTAGCGCTAATTTAGAATATATTTATAACATTCGCAGCTATTCGAAATATTATTTGCATACACAGATATATCTATATTATAATAAATATATATAGATATGTGGTTTCGGCTGAACACACTTTTCACGTGTCACGTGCCTTTAAATATGATTGGTGGATGTAATCGAGCGGTATGACGTGTGACACACCGGATCATACTCGCGAAGAACACACTTCTCCTTATCGTGGGTGGCTGCCGTGATAGAAGTTGATGGAAGTTATGATTAACACGTAGCCGGCGTTCGACGTGTCCTAGCCTCCTAGCTTTAGACATTTGGGTAGCGATTTGGTAATTTGTTTGCGCACCGTTTGATCCTCGCAAGGTGTCGTGTTGCACGAGATACATCGCGCGAATAATTTATACACATACACATATGGCGAACGCCACGTTGTGAGTATATTTAAAATATAACACGCAGGATATAGATATACTCAGCCACGCGCGTATATATGTATATATATATCTCTCTCCTCACTAACTCTCCGTGTGCAAACACACGTCAAAAGGCGACAAAACATGCTGCCGAACAAGTCGTCGCCCTCTTCGTCGTCGTCCTCGTCCTCCAGCACGGCGAACGCGAAGGTCATGTTTCCCGATAAGAGACCGACGACTAAGCAAATGAAGTCGTCCACGTTGACGAACGCAGCCGGCCTCAGCTCTCACCACCTTCACCGTGCTTCTGCTCGCCTGGATATCGGGTTTCGCATCTCGCCTTTTCGCCGTCATACGTTTCGAGAGCATCATCCACGAGTTCGATCCGTGGTACGTGTATATTCTCGAGGATTATTTCACCTTCATTTTTCTATTATGTAACCAAAATAAGTTTACTCATAATGTTATGTTCTTAACTAAATAAGAACATTGTGAGAGGAAATTTGCATATTTAATTTTTGATGACTTATGATTATTGGATAAATTACAATAACATTTCTATTTTATTTTTATTATTTATTGATTTTATTTTAATAAGTAAAAATTTTCAGTGAAATGTTCATGCAATCGATTTAAAGATACATCTTAAATTTAGGTTTAACTACAGAGCAACGGCGTACATGGTGCAACATGGATTCTACAATTTTTTAAATTGGTTTGATGAACGAGCATGGTATCCACTGGGACGAATTGTTGGTGGAACTGTCTATCCTGGTCTCATGATAACATCTGGATCGATACACTATATTCTGCACTCTTTAAACATACCAGTGCATATAAGAGACATATGTGTATTCTTAGCTCCAATTTTTAGTGGCCTTACTGCCATATCTACATATTTATTAACAAAGGAAATATGGAGCGCTGGAGCTGGCTTATTCGCCGCTTGCTTCATCGCCATTGTACCTGGCTATATCTCGAGATCCGTAGCCGGCAGTTACGATAATGAAGGGATTGCAATCTTTGCATTGCAAATTACCTATTATCTCTGGGTTAAGTCAGTCAAAACTGGTTCAATCTTTTGGGCAAGCATAACTGCTCTATCTTATTTCTACATGGTATCAGCGTGGGGAGGCTATGTGTTCATTATTAATCTCATTCCATTGCATGTATTTGCCTTGCTGGTCATGAATCGCTTTAGTAATCGATTATTCACCAGTTATACAACATTTTATGTTCTTGGACTTCTATTGAGTATGCAAATACCATTCGTTGGTTTTCAACCAATTAGAACTTCTGAACATATGGCAGCAGGTGGTGTATTCGGTCTTCTAATCTTCGTAGCAGCTCTTAGGTGTGTATTAGGAGTATATTTCAATTTTTAACTTTATTAATTATATTAAATTATTTCAAACTAAACATTTCCTACAATATATACATTGAAATATACTAATGTTGATCTCTTTAATTTTAGATACTTAAGAACTGTACTTACCAAGTCTGAGATGAAATATTTCGGTGGTGTAGTAGCTGTAACAGCGACTATACTCCTATTAATTCTGATCGCATTAACGTACGCTGGTGTTGTCGCTCCTTGGAGCGGTAGATTTTATTCTCTTTGGGATACTGGTTATGCCAAAATACATATCCCTATAATAGCATCTGTATCTGAACATCAACCGACAACTTGGTTCAGCTTTTTTTTCGACTTGCACATTCTTGTCACAACATTCCCGGTTGGTCTGTGGTATTGCATTAAGCACATAAATGATGAACGTGTCTTTGGTAAGAGATTATACGATGAAAATATTATATTTCAGAAGATATAATTAAAGATGAATAATATTTAATTTTTTTTCAGTCATATTATACGCCATAAGTGCCGTTTATTTCGCTGGAGTGATGGTGAGGCTTATGTTGACTTTGACTCCAGTAGTGTGTATACTGGCCGGTGTTGCTATGAGCAGACTTATGGAATTATACCTCAAAGAGGAGGACAGGGACGATCGTAACGGTACTGAGAGCAATGAGGAGAGCGAGGAAGAAAGGGAGAGAAGTCCTGGTAGAGCGTTGTACGATAAAGCCGGTAAACTACGTAGAATGAAGCATGAGAGGCCGAAGGGTAACGGCGATGGATTAGGCGCCAATCTACGTAATGGTGTTATTATCGGCGTGTTAATGTTGCTGATGATGTTTACTGTGCACTGCACATGGGTGACTAGCAATGCATACTCTAGTCCATCTATCGTTTTGGCATCCTATAGTAACGATGGGGGTAGAGCCATACTCGACGATTTTCGAGAAGCTTACTATTGGTTAGCTCAAAATACACCCAATGACGCGAGAGTTATGAGTTGGTGGGACTATGGTTATCAGATTGCTGGTATGGCGAACAGGTATACACAATTTTATCAAATTCCATGTATTTAAATTAACATGTAAGATCAATCATTAATATAATATTACCATGTGTAGAACTACACTTGTGGACAATAATACGTGGAATAATTCGCACATAGCTCTGGTTGGTAAAGCGATGAGCTCGAATGAAAGTGCCGCTTATGAAATTATGACATCTCTAGATGTAGACTATGTGTTGATCATTTTTGGTGGTATGATTGGATATTCCGGTGATGACATTAATAAATTCTTATGGATGGTTCGAATCGCTGAGGGCGAACATCCTCAGGATATCCGTGAGAGTGATTACTTTACCGAGAGGGGAGAATTCCGCGTGGATTCCGAAGGTTCTCCCACTTTATTGAACTCGCTAATGTATAAGCTGAGTTATTATCGGTTTGGAGACGTTAAAATAGACTATCGATCGCCTCACGGTTACGATCGTACTCGTAACGCCGAAATAGGCAATAAAAATTTCCAGTTAACATATCTGGAAGAAGCTTACACTACTGAACATTGGCTTGTCAGGATTTACAGGTGAATAACATTTACAACCTTTAATTTATAATTTATCTTAAATATCAACATCTTGTTATATATCTTAAATTTTTATATTAATATATTAATATCAATTACAAAATATGCTGTAGGGTGAAAAAACCAGCAGAGTTTAATAGACCAAGAATTCCGATTTCTGGACGGATTATTACACGTCGTGCAAATTCATATGTTAGTAAAAAGGTTGGTATTATCTTCTCTTACATCTTAGAATAAGGATAAGGAGATTTTTTTAAATATATATATATCATCTTGTGGTTTTTCGTATCGTTTTGCCTTTTTCATCTTTATATATCAGTTGATTTGGAAACGTAGTTGAAGTTATGGGGGGTCGGGCATTGATGTTTCAGAATGCACGACGTAAGCGAGGTTTCATAAAAGGCCGGCCAGTTGTTATTAAAGGACAGAAACCTCAACGACAAACGACGTAACGAAGATTCGCTGACTATTTCATAACAATTTGCAAATACAACTTTTGTAATAAAAGAATTACCGTCCTTGGGTCTACCACGAACTATACCTCGAACTAAGAATTTATTATCGTCAAAAGAGAATTCAATTTGATTTTGCAGAGACTGGAATATTTCGAAACTACAGTTTCTAACATTCAGAATGATTTGAAAACCGTAATTATACGAATATTATTTTTATAAGCAGTGTTTTTCATTGTGTTGGCTTATATCATATTATGTTGCATTGTTATTCAGTTCATTTTTTACAAAGTCGTTAATCATTTGTTATTGCAATTTGATAATTTGCTAGTATATAAATATCTTTAAAATTAGTACATACAGATATATATTTTATATGATTAAGTCAATATATTTATATGACCACATTCATATTAGAACATATCATTTTTAACGATGTTTCTTTTTTCATTCTAGAGATGAATTGATTTTTTTGTTTAATTTGTTTGTAAATTAATTGCATTTAACAGATAATGTAAAAAACTCATCACATTCATTCATCTGTCATCAATTAAACAATTGTACCAAATTCTTGTGTAAATTGAGACTCGTAAGACATAGTTAGTGTACACATTTATGTTACATAGTGTGTTTATGCACATGGTATTATATCAGGCAAAGTTTATTGAATAAGACTTTGTCAATTTTCAACCAGAACAGAACGATCGAGTGTCATGTGTACACAGTTTGTTGTATAGCACCTTGTTGAAAGATAAACATTTGTGATAACACAGTGTTGTTATTTACAAATATGCATTTAAAACAAAAGCCTATTTAATTTTTGGTTTACTTAAAAATAAAATAGGTAACATATTGTATTTATATGTAAATTTATAAATTTACAAACAATATTCTAATATGTTATAAAGTTTTGCAATTTCATTTCTCTATGTAATTCGTAAATTTTGATAAATATTTAATGTTTGTATAAAAGTAGGACAATTAATCAGTGATATAAAATTTTTAATCTCAAGTGAAGACATAGGTTTCTAAACATTAAAATTAAATTATAATATATAATTAAAATTTTAATTGTAATTCAAAATATTCAATTTTTATTCCTTGAATTTGTTTTTAAATTATTACAGTCATGTGTTATTATATAATAATCTTTGTAATCTTACATATGTTCTATAAAAATTCAAAACAATATGTTTTTAGAATCATATTTTTTTTATTATAATATATAATGATAGGTGCTCAAGAGATATCTAGAATGACTATTATATTTGTGAACATTTGTGAATCATCGCTAAAATAATTCAACAATTGTTGATAACCATATAATTTTTGCAATGCAAATTGTAAAAAAAAAATTTAAAAAGTCATGTCCTATTTTTTGCGTACGTAATACGACACACGGATATTATATATCGATTTTAATATTTCAATTAGCGATATTTTTTTTACATAATATAATATAGATACGAGATTGTAAAATATAATTATCAAGATAAAACCGCAAATCAATAAAAAAATCAGTTCGATGCGCGATTTTCGATACCTCCTCGATAAGACGAGGCATAAATATAAATATCAACGAAGTTAGATAAACGTGCGCGCGTTTCGCGCAGTTATTATCAATTCATTGTTACGCGTTATTACGCTATTTTGCGCAAACTAATGCCGAAATGAGTAGAAAGTTTCGAGTCTCGGACGTCTCGTGGAATAAAAATAATTCGCCCGATCGATTAAGATACACGAACAAATATCTCGACATATATCTTGCTTAGCTTCTCGACGCGCTCGTGCAATATCGCGAGCGTGGATACGAAATCGTTGAAAAAAATCGTGCACGTCAATCGATGTACATACAGGTTATGTTATGCTAATCTGTATAAAAAGTGCGCGGAGAAAGAACATATCCGTTTTTGCTGGCGCGACGCGGTGACAGGTTGTCATCCGTCATCTGTCAAACGCTCGCGGCGTCGTCTAAAATTAATCGACTTCCCCTGGGAATAAAACGACAGGATCACGAATTCAAGGATTTTTCCGCGTGCTCCGGGAGCTGCTCTCGCGTGCACCTCGGCCGCCATTTTGCTTCCCCCGCACGCCCGTCTTGACATGTCTTTCTAATGTTATTATCGACGAATGTTGAAATTCGCGGGTGAAACCGTTTCGTGCTTCGTCGTCCGGGGAAAGCGAATTGATCTCGAGGAAGAAAGCGGGTATCACGCCGCGTGCCTGATCAACGAAACCTTCTTGTCGGGGAACACGATTTCCCGTCTTCGTCGTCGTCCCCAACCTCAGTTCACCACGGAAACACGGAACTGTACGCACGGAAGTGCAGCTCACACGATAGGAATCGCGAGCGACTCGAGGAGACGAATATGCTGGGAGACTCATGCAAGGAACACGTCTGTCAACGTCCTTGAAGTGGTCTCTCCCGATTGTATCCTGCGCACAGTGCGTGTGTCTGGTTGTTGTCGATGTAACGGGCTAACCTAACCAAGAAAAAAAAAGGAACCCTAGTCTTATATGTCAACAGCGGACGAATCTCTCGCTCGATGATATGGATCCGAGATCGTTGACTGGCAGAGATCCGGCAGTGTTCATCATCCTGACGCCTGGCCGATATGCGACGCAGTTGCCCGAGCATGCTTAGAGCATGTTGGATGTAGACCACTACTACTATGCGAGGCAAGGATCGTTTTTATCCTGATCTAGCAATGGACTAAGTTCACGCTTACTGCTAGAACCAAGAAACTTGCATTTGCATATATATATATGTATACACAGATACTACAGATCGGTGAAGGATCTGCTATAGTTGTATGATAGTTTATTTTTTTTTAAAGTAATTTAAAGTTGATATGTATATACACTTGCGAGTGAAGTATTATTTGTATTTTGTAAGTATACGTTAAGTTATCGTCGTTGTCACAAATTGACACGATTGTTTTGCAAATCTTCTATTTAGTTTAATCAAATGCAAATTTCATGACTTGTTTTAATTATATCAATATAGAGAAGAAGATATATATGTTAGTTATTAGATATATATATATATATATATAACACATATTGATGTACTCAAGTGTGACTGGCACAATTAGTTTTTAATTTATCGGATCTTATACAGTAATTTTTTTTGCTGTAATTTATTCTAAGCAAGTAAACTCTTTTTTTTTACTTGATGAATGTAATAGTAAATATCTGTGATATGATATCATAAAAGATATTTTTTTATTTTTTATATTCTCAGTATTATTATATTTTTAATTTGATAGTAATATAGTTTATATACTTGGATCTTGGCATATAGCGTGGACTAAGTTTTATCTAGATAGGAAGAAAGTTGATTTGGAGAGTTTGAGAATGCAGGTGGAACAGATCTGGACAGTAGCAGCAATCAATGAAGGTCCCTATTTCCGAAAACTCAAACATGGACAATAAATTGAAGTTTTCGGACCGCTTGAAGGCTTTGCTGAAAACTGAGGCTCATCAAGATGTTGATCCATACATTTTCAGTGAACCAGAGCCATTTGCCGCGGGAAGGAATGTCGGCACGGTGGTTCCGGCTACAAATTCCGAAGTAATGCAAAGTTATAAAAACAACAAGTCGAAAGGGAAGTGCGTGAAGCAGAGAATAAGGATAGCGCCTGTACCAAACACAGGCTACAAGACCGTTGGAGTTAATGCTACGACGGAAACAAACATTGAAGATGGCATCGAGGATAATTTGCAGAAATATTCGAATTTAGTTCAACATAAACAGCGACATATTGAAAATTTGCAGAGATTAAAATCCAGAAGGCAAAGTCGGGACCATACTCTGTTGTACTATCCTAGAGCTGGAGATGAGATATTTGACAGCGATTCGAGCGGCGATGAGATGACAATCTATCAGCGTCATTGGTTCGCCGGGGAATCGTCTGATGCAACGCTAAATCGTGCAGCCCGATTGACTCAGCTACGTTCGCAATTACAACGGCAATTACTTCAATTGCGTATCAATGGAACTGATGCTGAAACTATTCTACGGCACAGGGTTCGATGTTTATTGGAGGCTGCTTCCAAGGATCCTGCGTCTACTGCGAGAGCCTTGAACGATTCTCCAAGTAAAAGCAAGGTGCTCGATGGACCGCTCTTAGTTGGTGGACCATGTGGAGCGGAAGGATGTCAACAGACATCCTTACCTTGTACTCGGCATTGTTCCCGCCATATTATGTTAAACGGAGATCAGCTTTTATTTGAGCATTGCACTGCCAAGTTTAGTGACAACACACAGTGTTGTGTCCCTGTGTTTGATGTCGCGCACGAATTACCTCTTTGTCCGGAACATGCAAGAAAGAGAGACAATTATCACCGTAAAATCCAAGAGTCCAAACCAAAGAAAGCTCGTAAAAAACCAGCTTCCCCTACTATCCCAGCAAGGCCTAAACCTAAATCTAAGCCGAAGAAACGCAAACGGCCACCTTCGAACAAACTAGAGACTAAGGGAGCCGCAATGATGCCGCACGAGGAGAGTCATTATATGAGCCAAATAAACTGTAGTGAAAATCATACCAAGACATTAAACAACTTGAATGTTCCACAAGCAAGTTCAAATTCGTCTAACTTAAATCTAGGATTGGGATTAGGCTCTCTTGGGGGACTAAGTGGAGGCCTCAAAGTCGAGCTTGGAGATAACGAAGTATTCGCTTCTTTGGATTCTGCTGAGCATGACTTTGGCACTGTGCTCAATAACTTGCCCCCAGATGCTTTTAATGACTTATTTATCGGTAATTGTATAATTATATATACATATATATATCCTTTAGTTTTACTTTGTAAATTTTACGCGCGAAAGATTATTAGGATTTATTACATTTAGTCCATAAAATAGCAGATATTATTGAGGGATATTTTAATTTGTAGAGGGTAGGAACGGAGATTATGAACCATCTAGAGAAGAAGAGGAGGAATTACAACGGGCTTTGGAAGAGGTTGATAAAGATGTACGAAATTTGGAAAGAATGGGACAAACTCATGGACTTCTAGAGCCAGCTTTGCTCGCTCAGCTTATGTCGGATATTGCCTCGTAGCCCCACTAATTCTAATATAATAATTTTTGGAAATGAGTTTGCGTGTGTTCCTTGTAACGTAGAAAAGAAGTACTGTTTGTGTCTGTGCCGCTAAACGTAAGATTGCGTTATAGACTGTTATTACGTAGCCACGCAAGTCCGAGATAATGGCAGGGATTGACATACAGAAAGTAACAAAAAAAAAGGATAAAAAAACAATAGCAAACTTATGAATTTAGTATAAACAGCATATTGGGTACAATATACCACGGGTAGATTTATGTCGAACGAGTAGCAATGTAAAAACCAAGAATTCCATCCTTTTTGACAAATAATCGCGGACATTTTGCGTCATCTTCATAACACATGCAATATATTTGTAGCTTATTTGCAGATATTTTAACTTGCACTTTAAAAATTTGCTTAGAAAAATTGTTGTAGCTGTAATTATAATACACGCAATCAGTTTTGAAAATGTAAAATGTATGAGAAGAAGGAAAGAATATAGACATTGTCATATAAATGATTCAGGCTAGATTCCAACACACATGTGCTAAACAAGGAAGATACATAGTTTTCATTTTTATATATGGCTTATTTTTACTAAAACAAAGAGCAAGAATTATCTAAATTATGTTACTAATAGCTCCTTATATTTATTGAACTACATGTAATGTCTAGCTAATTACTGATTACTCAAATAATAGGTACAAAGGTATTTTTATGACTGATTTGTAATGATTTTATCTGTTATCGATTATACTATGCCAATTGTGAAAAAGATATTTTGGTTTACAAACTGCATATCTGTGGTCTACCACAGTATTTAGCTATCAATTAAATAAAGAAAAATTGGACACACAAATGATGTAATAAATGAAGAAGAAATATTTGGTGTTCATATGTATAACATTGTATATACATATATATATATCATTTCATCATTAGTGAATAGTCTCGTAATAGTGTTATACATTAATTTACAGAATGAAAAATTAAAATTTACATTATTTTCTTATTGATTGATATTTGCAACCAATGTGGAAAAATGGATAATCTTCAATGAAATTGGGAAATCTTGTGCAGTATCATCTATTGAAAATACTTATCCAAATTTTATTTAAATAAAATATATTTAAATACATTTTTTCACAATTTAAAATTTTCATAAAACTGTGCATAAATTATATTTATACAAATACACGACTGAATTTATAAGAAAAATATACATATGTCTACATAAATATATATAACGTACATATACATATATATAATATACATAGAAATAATTACATGTTCTTTTTTATCATTTGATCACTGCAGTAACGTAGTTAAATAACCACATTAAATATATAATAAATAATTATTATTGAATCATATTTCATATGATATGTGCATAATCAATATTCACTTTCTCTCTTTCTCTCTCTCTTTGTTCACATTTTTTATTATATTCATGTAGACAAATGTTCAGCTATAATAAGTAGTACTATTTAAGTGAGATAAAACTAGCGAAAAGTGCCGAAAGAAATTTCATTTTTCAACATTGTTAATTGTACGACACATGCTTTGCAGCCTTAATGAAAAGATATGCTATATAAGGTACTAGTTGAATGAAGAAAATTGTGATCACACATATATACATATATTTCAAAGGAGTACTTTTCAAAATAATTATTTGTGAAGAGAATTTTTTACGCCCGAAATAATAGAGGCACAGATTCTGAAAGTAAAACTAGATTGATGTGAACGTCACGTTGGCTGAATCACTTACTGCCATTTGACTTCTAAAGTAACGCACGTGCATAGCAGTAAATTATTATAACTCTGTACGTAATAGTAGTAATATAAAATGGACAAAATGCGTATACATATATAATATGGATTATTATAACTTTAATACATATCGTAAAGCGTGAAGAAAGACATAAAGACATTGCATAATTACCTACCATTGAAATAAAAAAAATCTTAGTAAAGTATTTCTTATACGCAAATATGTGCAATAACAAATAGATGAATTTTTGAAATCTAGTTTTTATTGTCAAAATTACTGTGCCAAATGGTGAGATATAATATCTCTTTTCTCTTTTTATTATGATAATGTGTGTCACTTATCCAAACGGGTATAGAAGCAAAGCGTACTTCAAATGATAATGATTTAGCTGAATAGAAACGGTTATACAAATGCGCAAAAAAAAAAAGATTTATCACATATAAATGCAAATAAAAACAAAATAATTTTCAGATCGACCCATATTGGGGGGATTAAATTAATGTCGTATATAATTGTTATTACGTATGACGGTAGTAAGTAGAGATACAATAATTATTTATGGACAGGACAATGCCGAATTTAATCGTAACATAAGTGCATTGCTTGAGATGTATATGTGTATCTTCTTGTAAAATAGCAGCATTAATTAGGTATCATTAATTATATTAAGCATATTTTTTATATTGTGTTACAGTACTCAGTTTATATCCATCCTTATCGTTCGTGTCCTAAAGATGGAATATTGATTTATTGTTACTCGAAATAACTAGATTTTTATTTTCAGCGTAGCATTCTTTCTGTATCGTGCGAAAGATAATGTAGCAAAAATGTATATTTAAATGTATAATTATTTTTAGTTTAAAATCGATATTCAAGTTTTTACATTTTATGTATATCAATATAAACACCGTTTTTATTATTTTTTTTAATTTTTTTTTACATTTTCGGTACATTCTATGCACACTTATTTTGTTCTATTTTAATATTCTAATCTATAGTGGTTGCTATAGAAAAAGTATCAAGCATTTTATGTTCGCGCCGTTTTATTTCTCGAAGAACCCACTTTTTTCGGGCTGCTTGACGAATTTTGTCATATTTCTCTGATGATATCTTGAGTTCTTTCACTGGAAATTCCTCGATTGATTCAACCTTACAGAAAGGCTGCCGAAATTTTTCAATTTCTTGAATTTGTTCCTTTAAAAGAGAGATTTATCATTTTTTGTACACATATTCGGTTAAATTTTTTTCTATATACATCAGAAAATAATAAGACTTACAGAGAGTTTATCCATAGGAACACTTTTTCGCGTTTCTAACATTTTCTTATCAAACGAATTAATTTCTGTCGGTTCTACTGTCGGCTCCTCCTCCACTTCATTTGGCATTAACATTATATCGTAATCCGAACGATTGTAACCCAGTATGCCTACTCTAATTCCTAATTGAGATAACATTTCCTCTTCAATAAGAAGAGCGTTCTTTAGATAAACAATTTTCGGGTCGTGCATGTCGATGTCAACTATTCCTTTAAATAGAAATATAACAAACAATTATTTTTGCTACAAAATATAACTATCCATTTTTACAACGTAAAAAATATATTATAATTTAATAAATTAACCAATAGGAGCGCATCACACCTAATGATAGGAGACGATAATCGCAATCCGTATACATCAATTCGTGAGGTAAAGGGGAGTTTCGGAGTAATCGACTTTTTAATGCCATTTTAGGGCCATGCAATATATGAATATCATCATGCAGCATATCCAGAATAAGTCGACTACCGCTTTGCCTTTGTGCAATATTGTACGCCTCGGTTCGAAGTAGTCTATGCAATTCTAGTTCTGCGAAAAAAAATATATATATCGCTACAACAATAACTTTCAAAATAATTATAAATAAGATACCTGAGAAATTATATACATATATGTACGATGATACTTAATTCATCAGATATCTTACCGATTAAATTGTAATGTTTGCGTTGCAACGCTATCCATACTACTCGATGAGCTGTGCTTATCAAAGTTTCGAAGATCCTTAGATCTTTCTCACCCTGCGATTGCGTGATCGTCCGTTTCTTGCCAGCCATCATATGATGATACTGCGGTCCGTTCTGGCAACCCAATATTAAATCTGCATATTCCCTACCCAAGACACATCGAAGGGCTCGTAGCTCTTCAGCATATCTGGATCTATGTCCACGCGCCAAAGGATTCGGCGCCTTTTTCATGGTAGCCGCTCGCTCCTGCATCAAGTCTTCCCATATCTCTACATAGTGTTGGAAATAGATGATCAACGCCCTTAAAAATCGATCAACGATCGGCAGGTGAAAGAAGTTTATGAATTGGGAACTGACGGGCGTTATGAGCAAAAAGAGGACGAGATCTTTGATATCTTGCAAAATAATAACATCTGGTTCATTCGGCGCCACTTTTCTCAGGTAATGCTTCCGAAATTTTATCTGTAAATGAATATGAATAATATACCCAGATAGCCACAGTAATTATTATGACATCAAAATGATGAAAATTTATTTGTAATCATTTTGATGTCATAATAATTACTGTGGCTATCTGGGTATATTATTAATGGATAAAAAATATTATTTCGATTTTTAGTAAAGAATTTAACATCTTACAATAGCTATATTTTGTGATTTTCACCTTTTCACTGTCATTCAATGTTTCCTGATAGCTCAGAATTAAATACGCATGTGGACAATAAATTTCCGAGGCATGATCAGCAACAGCTTGCTTCTTTCGTCTCTTATCTTCATCTTCTGCCTTTGTCACTCTAATCAATAGAATTTGTATGGATAAAAAACTCTAAGTTAGTTCTTAAGTGAATTCTCATTTTATTTCAATATTGATCTATTATTTCAATTGAACCAACAATTATGCAGTTTTGAACACAATGCATAAAAGAATGGAATAAAAATTCATTGAAGAATATATACTTAAATAAAAGAATAATTAATAAAAGAATATATACTTATGAATTAAGTTTGCTGGTTTGTCTTTTGTAATATAATTCAATATTGTGGAATATTAAATTATATTACAAATAAATTTTATAGTTAAAAAATTAGAGCAGTATGGTATAATAAACTATCTCATTAGTTTATTATATCTCATGTTGCTTTAATTTAAAAAATTAATATTAAATATATAATAAAATAAGTAATGTTACGTATGATTTAAAAAGTATCATTACCCAAATAAAATTAATCCCTCCGAAATTTCATCCCATGAAAAATATCTTTCACCCATCTCTAGATGTCATATTATTAAAAATACAACTTTCTTTATAATTTTATAATAGATTTTCAGGTTATCAGGTTTCTAGAAATTGACATGTTCTTCTAATCTAGTACACAGTGAAGGTATAACAGAATTATTGATTCTAGGAAGCTAGACATATACACAGTTGTGTATATATACATATACATATATACTTTAAATATGATGGTATTACTCAAAAATTAGAATGCTCAGATCTTTTACACATGTTATGGATTTATGATTTAGTTTTTATCAAATTGTATAGGAATATGTTATTATATACCCATGAAACAATATCACATAATGTGTATTATTATAATTCACGCAGAATTCAAGATATATTCTAAAATTAGGATTCTAAAAAAATATATTTATACATATTCTTCTATAGAGCATTATTTATTTATATTATGATACAATTTGTATTATAATATTTAACGAACATTACTTTTTTTGCTTTTTCTTTCTGTGTAGAAGGAGGGAAGAGAGTCTAAAATTGGTTTGTCCTCAGGAAATATTGGCTCGGCCGGCAGTTTCCAAAAATCAACAACGTTGATTCGTCCGGCCAATTCACTTGCCCAATGATGAATACTACATCTTACCTTTACCTGCTCGCGATTATTAATTGTGATAGTTATATAAAATTCTTTTCCTTCTATATCCAGGTTCGGTCCAGATATTGCTTTTTGGGGCATCATTATAGTTTCTTCAGGCACAAAGATACCGACTTTGCGAAAACTTGCTCTTATATGCCACTTTTCTAACGTCCATGGTACTTCCTTCGACATTACAATTGATATTCGCTTTGTTGACAAAATTTTCATCGTTCTCTCTACAGTGGCAGAACTAAATGGTGTTTTGTCCTGTTGATCCACTGCTAACTTAGTATATTTTTCAATATTCTCCGGGGTAGCATAATCCGCTAATTTTGGCAATAAAAGCTTTGGATATGCCATGGTTGGATGCATCGATACTCTAGTACCTGCATTACCAAGTCCTGCGACATATTCTGTCAGAATCAAATCAAGCGGCTTCTTCCTCTTCACATCCGTATTTTCAACAAGGTCATAAATAAAATGTCTTGACCTGAAGCGATGCGGTCTGCCTTTCTTTGGATTAAGAGGAACTGGATATCTTCTTTTAAGAATAAAAGTGTTCTGTAAGAATATCATATAAATAATATAATATAAAATATAATAATATAAAAACAAATTTATAATTTATAATTAATTAATATTAAAAAGAATTACCCGTGTTTGTTGCGACAAATAATCTGTATTACTCAGCAAAGTAGGGGCTGCCAACGCTTTTACGTGATTCACCACTAATTTCGGAAATTTCAACATATTTAATGTCTTCTCCTCTTCAAAATATTCCGAGTTATAAGAGAGTTCTTTCAATAATGTATAACGATGGATAAAGTGATAGGTTAGCTTGATAAAAAAAAGAATATGCTAATTACTTTACACTTATGACAATTCTCATTATCTAATTAGTTAGAATTTAGTTTTATGGTTTAAATGAAACTATCAATAATATTTTATAAAATATTTCTTAACTTAATCGTTTGATAACGATTATATCTTCCATGTAATAAACATGCTGCATCTATGTGCATTAACCTAACTTAACATCAGGTTACTGTTATTTACGAGAGAGAGAGAGAGAGAGAGAGAGAGAGAAATTGAATAACCTCAAAAGTTCGTGTATTCTTGACTTAATTGTCAAAAAACATCATGCTATTAAAAAATTTTTATTATTAAAATTTTAAAAATTAAGACTATAAAAAGGTGATTAAACTTAAGATTTATATTTTATATCGTATTAATTAAATATGGATGATCACTCATCACCAGCGATAGAAATTCTGAAATGTGCTCTACCAAAACTTCAAAAACCTGTATTGTTCCGGAATATGTTGCGAAACTCCGATGGTTCATATGAATGGAAATTACTCAGATGGAGTTTTTCAGATCTCGTTGAAAAATTCGGAGACCAAAAATTACCATTCCGAACTGGCGATTATAATAAGTCTTCGGTAAAGTATTCGTTTGTATTTTCGACCATTTTTATTACAAGTGTAATAGAAAATTTTATTGATGATTTTATTGAATTTATTTTTATCAGTATACTCTTCAGCATCATCATCAACGCATAAGTTCTATAAAATTTTGTGAACTGACACTGCAAGAGTTTTTTATGGCAACAGGTGATATGACAGAAGAAGGATATGATAAATGGCTTTATTGTGATTACAAACACATGACAGAGTTTAAAGACAAGCCAGAAATTATTGAGTCTTTTAATTGGCTCAAATTTGGAGTTGATAAAGAATTTGGGAAAAATGGATTGCGTTCTACTATTTGGATCGGAAGCAAAGGTGCTCATACAGATTGCCATTGGGATACATATGGTTACAATTTGGTGGCACAAATACATGGCAGGTTTGTAAATATAGTTGCTCAATTATTTGTACTTTTCTAACTATATCATATTCATCAGTTGTTTTTTTCACTATTTTTTCTTAAATTTAAATTTATATTTCTAGGAAGCTATGGTTGCTTTATCCACCGAGTGATTCTCTGATACCAGTTAGGATTCCTTATGAAGAATCAACTGTATATAGTAAATTTAATTTTTATTCTTTGACTATGGCAGAAAAAGATCTTTTACTCAAAATCGCACATAAGCCAAAATTAATAATCCTTGAGCCTGGAGATGTTCTATTTGTGCCTAATGGCTGGTGGCATTATGTGGAATCTTTGGATAATATTAATGTGAGCGTCAATATATGGGGAAAATTAAAAACTGACAATAGAGCACGAGTCGAGGAAGCTCTTGTTAAATTAATAGTAGCCAGGATGAGAAACTATAAGCAGTTAAAAAATAAAGTAACTACATAATTTGCAATAGGAATAATTACATCTTTTGAAAAATATATTAAATGTATAGATAGTATTTGTTTAGACTAATTTATAGTATTATTTCTTTCTTTTAATAGATTGAATATGTTGTTACTGAATGCAAGAATGCAATACAAGAAGAGGCAGAGGGAAAAAATGAGAAGACGGAATTATCTCTAGAAACATCTTCAAAAAGATTCAAACCTACTATATGGACTGCAGAAGATTTAGCTGATCAGTATCCTAATTACATTGAAGTGTTACGTGATGCAGAAGAACATGAGTTTAAAGAATTCATTGAAGAAAGACTAAAAAAGGATAAACAAAATATTCATCGGACGAAGAAACTACATCCAATGATTATATATCCAATCAGCATGATTCATTTTTAGAATCTCTTACTAATGCCTTATGTCATCCAGATGTTATCAGTAAAGCAACACAAGTATTATTAGAAAGATATTGAATATAATTATTTATGTAAGTAGATTTTAATAACAAATTTGTACATATATAGAAACAAATAGTTTTAAATATTCGTATTTATAACAAAAAATTGTGATTTTTAATCAAAAAGTTTAACACGTTATGATTTCTTATTAACTATTTTAATTCTTGTACATATATTTCTTGATTATATTATTTAATTATAACATATATATATATATATATATATATATATATATCATACGGAGTGCCAAATCTTTTGTATTATTACATTTAATTATAAATATTGATAGAACTGATTTAATTGTCTAATTGTATATGTAATAATCTAAGTTTAAACACATGATATATATATATATATATGTATATATAATATACACAACAGAAAATACAATTTATATATATATATACATGTATATATATATATAAATTGTATTTTCTGTTGTGTACGATTTTTTGAGCATATTAAAATACACACATTATTACTCGTTAACTACTTATCTCTTCACAAATATAATAAAAAATAATATAATTTATTAGACAAAATATAATTAAAATATAATTTACTATAGCTAGCACTAACACAAGTGTGCGTTGCGCCATTGAAACATATACATGTATTTTTAACGATTGTACGCGTTGTTCTGTATGCAATCACGGAATTTACTAATAGAAATTGACTGATTAAATTAATAAAAGAGAACAACATATTAAGTTTTTCAACATTAATTTATTATATAGTAATATAAATAATTTTCTTCCTGTGTGGAAAGAGAAAGGCAGTATGTTGAAAGTTGTGAAAAGTGTATAGAGAGGTTAGAAACATCTGACAAATGGTGCTTTCCATTTAGCAACACAAGTCGACACAAGCATCATTCTATCTTTATTTTTATAAAATGTAGAACAAAGATAGATTGTGTTGCTAAATGGAAAGCACCAAAAAGTTTAAAGGAATTTCATTCACAAATATTTTTCAATGATCTGAACATTGCAGAATAATTAATGATTGATAATGGGTTTATTAACTGTGTTGAAAAATTGAAGCAGAAAGAAAAGGAGATGCGAATTTTAATGTTGTACGTATTCGCATTTGTATATCTATTTTATATATCCAGTTTGTGGTTAGCTTACATATTGACATATTAATAAATTTAATTTCAATTTAATTTAAGGTATTAGATAATTTAATGACAGTTAGAATTAACATCATCATGTAAATATTACTATTTCTTTCAGTAATATATTAAATATTCAATTATTCTAATGCAGAGATTTATCATTTCAGGGGTTTGGATAATGCAGGCAAAACAACAGTGTTGAAAAGACTAAATGGTGAACCAATAGATACTATATCACCTACGCTTGGCTTCAATATCAAGACATTAGAGCATCGTGGATACAAACTCAACGTATGGGATGTAGGTGGACAGAAATCATTGCGTTCATATTGGAGAAATTATTTTGAGTCTACGGATGGCCTTGTCTGGGTAATAGACAGTGCGGACAGAAGAAGATTGGATGATTGTAAAATAGAATTATACAAGCTTTTGCAAGAGGAGAGATTAGAGGGGGCGAGTCTCCTCGTATTTGCTAATAAGCAAGATATGCCAGGTGCATTGTCCGCGTCTGACATAGCAGAAATTTTGGAACTACCTAATATAAAGACTCACCACTGGCAAATCTATAAGTGTTCTGCTGTGACGGGTGAAAATCTAGTCGATGGCATTAATTGGATTGTGGATGATATCGCAGCAAGAATATTTTACTTAGATTAAATTTACAAATTAATTTTATTAATATTTTTTACTTTATTAAGATGCAGAATAATACTGGACTAGTTTTTGCAAAATGATATTTATATTACGCTGTGAAAAACTAATATGTAACATAATATTATTTAAAGAGATGACAAAATCTCTTCTATCTATTATACAACGATAATATACATTTTCTTAAAATTGTCTTTGTACTTGAAATTACTATTTGCGAAGCTAAAGAGAATTTTTTTATCAGTTAATAACTGAAGATAATTTTAAAATTTTTGTTCTATATCCTAAAGAATTTCTTAATAGATGGAAGCAAACAAGTATTTCGTTTCTTTAATATAGATCTTTTAATTTATTCTTTTTATCTTTTCATTTTCAAGATTTCTCTTTTACTATTTCGTTTTGATCGTTATATTTTCTGTTTCTATTTTCATCTTAAATTTTCTTTTTTTTGTGCAGTTTTAATGGCAGTTGTGTTCGTGGATACTCTTCCAAGTAAAACGATTTTAACAGCTTTAGATCGACAGTATCCTTTGGTCCTTCGAATGCGTTCATAATCTCGTTTACGAGTGATGTCGAAAGCTTCAACTTAAAATTCTGTACCAGTTCCATAAATCTTGCTGTAAAAATTAATAAATTTTGTTAGAATTTAAAAAAATTAAAGGTTTATGTTCAAAAATATTTTTACAAGTAGAAGTGTTTTTATGTTTTACAAATTATAAGAAAAGTTTAAAAAAATTTTGTTGGACATACCTCGTGAAATCCTTTTATCCATCAGTGACAACACGAAGTGGCCGAAGTTGCGTTGTCGTCTTTTTCGTTTTGGAAGCATCGCCTCGTAATTTGCTCTTTTCAGAACTATTCTTCTAACATTTGGCCCAACAAGTTGATAATTGCTTAAAATACCACCCAATTTGATGACGACCCATGGTTTGTGCTTTTGGATTGTCTCCAGCTCTTGAAGAACATTCTTATTAGCCCAAACATTTTCCAAGTCTAGAAGATATAAAATGCTTCTAGGGGAATTATGTGGTGTGATTGCACGCACCAGAGCTAAAGCACCTTGCGCTCTTAAAGGATTGTTTCCCAGATGTAATTCCTGAAGCGTACTATTTTTCGATAGAGCTGCCGCGATGGATGTAGCATCATTTTCGGTAAATCTATTCCCTATAAATTAAATATAGAAAAGATCCTTTAGAGTTTACTTGCTAGATATTTATATATGTTCTTATAATTTCTTAAAAAATTCTATTATATTTTATTTATAATGTCATATATTTACAGCTTAAATCCAGCTTTTCGATGATCTTCGAACGTGCCAATAATTTATACAGATGAGGCACGCACTCTGTGCCAAGTGCGGTCCAAGATAAATTCAAAGAATGTAGGGTCTCGTTTTCCTCAGTCCATTGATAAGAGCTTTCCAGAGTTTAGCACTATATAGAGAGTTCCAGGACAAATCTAGATGCGTCAAGATTTCAGAGTGCGACAGTAGATTCTGCAAATTTTCGGAGCACGTCTCATCCAGATGATTGTCAGAAAGATTAACGCTCTCCAAGCCTTGATTATCAGACAACGCGAACGCGACGTATTCGAAGCCGTTGTTCCCGATGTTGCAGCTGCTGAGGTCGAGTATCTTCAAGGTTGCGTTCATCGAGATTGCGTCACATAATTTGCTTGCACCATTCGCACCGATTTGGCAGCCCGACAGCGACAGATTGGTTATCACATTGTTTATAAGCAGCAGATTATTTAGATGTCTGCATGCGTCCGGGGATAATTTGTTGCCCTACAATGAGGTAATTATTAATTAAACGGAAAGATGTACAATTGAATATGAGTTAACGTTTGTATTATATTATAAAAAATTTAAGAGAGATTAATAGATTTTATCTTCTAGAGATATCTAAATGTAAGATTCTGCGACTTGATGTCGAATTGTTATTTCATCTACGAGTTCGCAGTACCTTGAGGTCCACTGTTCGCACATAAGTGTTTTCCGCCAGAGCCTCGTAGATCGCTCTTATCACGGGTGATTCCAGCCCGTAGTGTCGCAGATTTACTTGATCGGTTACGAGCATATTTCTTAATGAACCGATCGGCCGCAGACCCAAACGCTTTACCATGTCGTAGAATTTCTGCACACCATCCTCACTGTAAATTGGCGGACGTTCGCGCAACAGCCAAAAAGCCGGTGACAATCCAGGATCATCTGGCACCTCATACACCGTGTATGGATTTATTATTTTCAACTGGGAATCGCTGATGTCTATTTCACGCAGGCACGGATGAACCGAGCTCTCAGTTGACGCTCGGTCGCTCACGGTCACTTCCTCTTCCGGGGTGATTGGCGTCTCCTCGGATGCGTCGTCGTCCGTTTTCTTCTTAACCTGCTTCGTATCAGGCGATTAGAGACTTATATAAGGAAAAAAAATCTCATTATTTATTTACATTACTGTAACTCTTTCAATTTTCGGAGCACTGTTAATTTAGTCGTAAAATGAGGAAAATAGAATTGTTAAAACATTCTGTATGCATGTTACTGAAATGTTATTCTATTAAGCTACAGTTACCAAGCTCAAGTTACACCGATCAGATGCTGCAAGTGTTTCTTCTTTTTTTCAGCCTCGGCTAATTCCCTCGTCCTTCTTGCTTTGAATTCTGTTATATAACCCGTCAATATGTCAGTCTTGTCGATGACTTCTGATTCTATTTCGATGTCTTTCTCATCCTCTTCCATGATTTCGATGTCATCATCTTCATATTCATCTTCGTATTCATCTTCGTATTCATCTTCATATTCATTTTCGTAATCAGCATCCATCTCTCTATATTGCAAGGCAGCATTTTTGATGTTTTCTAATGTCTGAATAACACGTTTATATATTAATATAAAATTATTTATAATTATATTTTAACTGCTATTAATTAAAATAATTTGACATTATACACGTATAGTATTGTATTTTGAATATATAAAATATATGCAAATATTTGCAATTCTATATTTTTAATATGCTTATTCTTTTAATTATCAAAAAAGCATATCAGAATATTGTAGAAATTAAATTATATTATCTAAATACTTGTGTGAAATCCATATTTGCGAATATTTATTATTCACTCGAAATTAGTGAGATATGACTTAACAAAATCTTATATAAATATAAATATATTATCATATTAAGACATAACGCTTTTATAAATTGGTAACAATTCGCTAATATGTGAAATTAGTTGCAAATTTACGTAACAGACAAATTATAAACAGGTCCCTTTCTAAAAAAGGCATGTTATACTTCGAAACATTCTAAAAGAAAAACATGTAACAATATAACGAAAGTTTACATTAAAAAAAAAATAAAGTATAAATGAAAGCTAAATTTATGTGAAAAGGTTGAATAGTTCTTCTCTTCATTATCTCTTCATTATAAATCTAACATTTTCGTAAAATTTTATTTCGTAAATTTTTTCCGCACAAATTACAGATTATTTTTTATTCCTGAGTTTTTATTGTGTAATTTTAATTATTGAATTTTCATTATGTTTTAAATTTTGATTTGCCAAATTTCTATTATGTACATAATTTTAATTTGCCGAATTTCCGTAATGCACATAATTTTAATTCACCGAATTCTATTATGTACAAAATTTTAATTTTCTTATTTCTATTATGTACACAATTTTTATTCGTGAATTTCTATTATGTTCATAATTTTAATTTGTCGAATTTATATTATGTACATAATTTTTATTTCCGAATTTTTATTACGTACATAATTTTAATTTCCAAATTTCTATTATGGACATAATTTTAATTCATTGAATTTCTAATTTCTATTAAGTCCATAATTTTAATTCACCGTATTTCTTTTATCTAAATAATTTTAATTTGCCCAATTTCTATTATGTATATAATTTTAATTTGTCGTATTTCTTTTATGTAAATAATTTTAATTCGCTGAATTTCTATATGTACATAATTTTATTCTTGAATTTTCATTGTGTACCTAATTTAAATTTATAAATTTTTATTATGGTTTAAATTTTTATTCGCTGAATTTTTACTATGTACAGTACATAAATATTCTTGAATTTCTATTATGCGTTATAATTCAATAATTTGTTTGGCGCGCGCGCTTGTATTATCTAGTATATTAAAAGCATAGACTTTTATATAATAGCAAAAAAAAACTAACTTTTGAATTTTATAAACGTAAAATTTTAATTCTCGTAATAATAACTGTGTGAAAAGAATTTAAAGACGCTTTGTATTTTCATTCTCTTTTAATTATTTTTAAAAGATGATAAATGTGAGCATATATACGTATATTCTTTTGATAATGATAGAATTATATAAATAAAAATATATGCATTCGATTTCAATGATTTTTCATAAGAATCCGTCGATGAGAACTTGAAGAGTTTCCGCGGTATAAATATCGATAAATGATCGTCGGATTGACTTCGTTTTTATTATTAATTATTGTTAATATTTATTAATTACTTTATTAAGTATATAAATATATAATGTATAATAGAAGTATATTCTCTTTTATTATTCTTTCTCTCTTATAATTGATAAGAAAAAGAACTTTATCTCCTTCTCACGAGAATGTGGTCGATCGCGTTTCACACGGGTCAAATCGCGGGTTGGTGATTCATCGACCGGGTATTCGTCAAGTGGCTCTTCTGGACCATTGTATTGTAATTTCGGCAGATCATTCGTTCACAAGCGGCGAATCCATCCCCCGTCTCTCGTCATCGCATCGGCAACGTAAAAGATATGTTCAGTGGAGCTTACTTTGTTAATCTCAGCGCTTTCGATGATAATGGCATCGGCATTATCTCTAATGAAACAATCGTGACGGGCCATTGAAATCGGCGCCGTTGATAAGATCCGAGCCCGTATCTCCAAAGAGAAAGAGAAACGAATATATTCGTCTCTAATGTTTCGATTCTTACTCTAATTTCCTCATCTTAATTTATTTTCTCTTTCTATTTGGCAAATAATGAGAAAACAAGCAGCTTTAATTAATTAAAGAATTAATTAAATTTAATCGAATTTACTCATTACTGAAGAAACATTTAAATATAATAATCGATTTGTAGATATAAATTACAAATGTTATACATATATTAATTTACAATTAATGTTCTTTAGTTATTTAACTTTGGATTAAAGATACATGTGGCCTTTCAAGACCTCTATTCTGGAAGAAAGACTACGATAGAACAGCGCAATTTTTTTACAATTTAAATGCATCAGGAAGGATTACGCAAAGATGTAATGAACTAGACATCATATTTGAAGGATTGTACTTTTTATTGAAATCTTTCACATCGTCGCGTAAATTTATGCGAAGGAAAAGAAGACTGAGGGAGAAAGGGATAATAAAAAGGTGTTTATGTACATGCATTCGCGTTTGCACATTTCTCGATATCAGACATCACAATGTGTGAATGTTCTTCAACTATCTATCGTCGATTAGATCAGAAGCATTAGTTCGATAGATGCAAATTTTTTTTCACCGTCGTTGCTTTGCTTCAAAATGAATATATAATTTATCGTATAAAAGTGGTCAACTATTGCTTGTGATCTCTGGAAATTATTTAATACGAGACAATAAAATAAAAATAATATAATATATAATATAAAATTAATATATATAATATATTTATATTTATATATATATAATTCGCCGTCTCTCGCATCTATTTATTCGTATAATAATATAGTTTTTTCCATAAAATAAAATATCTATGATAAAACTTTGTTCCTTCTTTTGCTGTAAATCTACGTACGCCTAGAACGAGAACTCTAGCTTCTCTTTAAACTAACTTACTGCGGACGCTTCGCTTGGGGGAAGAGGGAGTGTACATTATAGTATAAAAAAAAGAAAACAAATTGCACATCTAAAGATGGGGTCGACGATGACTGGGGATGAGAACGATTTGAACATATATACTTAGATTTATTTACATCGTTCCACGATGCAACAGCGTCATTATATACACATTCATCTTCACTGCGTTCGAATACACTCTTTCTCTCTCTCTCTAAAAAAATCGCATTATTCACGTCATTAATATATGATCTTTACAAGTCAATGTGTTCGCGATATTTAGTGTATAATTGTATAGCACATCCTTTTTCGCGTAGTGGCAGTATCTCTGTTAAAGTAGACGAACACGTGGAGTACCATAGTAATCCTACACAATGACATTGTTTCTTCTATGAGTATCACAATAATATCGTCTGAAGGAACGTTTGAAGCCCACGTTACATCATACAAAGCACACTTTCACGTACAACGATCTCGAATAAATGTCTGCGCAACGTTAATTATAATACTTCTGAATACCTAAAAAAAATCTGCCGCGTTCTCGCCAAATTTATATTTACACAAATTTAATATTTAATCATTTATGCGTCTCTCTTGAACAGAACGCAGATTTACTTCGACGATTATACACGATAAAGGTACATCTCGTGCAAAGTGCGATAGTGCCATCCAAGTGTATTTTTCTTAAATTATTGAAATAAAAAATGCGATATACAATAATATCAAAAGAGTACAAAGTCGAGCATATAAAACGTATAAAATCAAGGCGCGTATAAAGATGGCAACGCCGAGAAAAAAGGGGAAAGAACTAAAGGCTTAGCGAAATTAATAAGTACGAATTATGTACATATGTACAACAATAACAACTGATTATTATCATTAAAATTATTTATAATTATCGATCGCGTATTATTGTCACGCAGAAGCGTGAGAGAGACAAACGAGAAGAAGAGAGATATAACTCAACATTTTCCAAATTTTCAATTCGAGAATGTCATAAATTGCGTTATTTTTTCTTTTGTCATATATTTACAAAATTATCTAAAACATATTAAGCATATTAATATTATGTTTCAACGATGTTTTAGGAATAAATTGATTATAAAAAGATATTAATTAAAATTCTAATATTAATAATTTATCTTGTAATGCATATTTCATAATAAAATCCACGATAAGAATCATACGTCTTCTTTCTCTTTTTCCTGCATCTGTCCCCAATATGTTCTAAACGTTGGCTCAATTTTAAGGAAAAAATCTCAGAGCCATCTCAAGTTATTCCGAAGTCGAAAGAGTCACATTTTTTTATTATCACAAAGAATCAAATTGTTTAAACTCTTACATAGTCTTTAGACGTCGTTCTAAGATCTTCTATCTTCACTATCGGCGGTTCTTTCTGAGAACTTTCTTTCACGTTTATCGATGCTAATTTAAAAAAAAAAAAAAAAAAAATTCACCGACACTTGTTCTCCAATTGTTTACTGCCATGACAATTAATCACACGTGTACTGTTAGAATTTGATGCGGCCCCGATGTTTGGCTGGTACCCGGTTGTTGATGAGGGTATGGTGGTTCCTGTAATCTGGGCTTGCTGTAAGGCTTATGCGGTCCTTCTTCGTAACTAAAACTGGCCATATTATTCCTGGCTTCCGCGCTGGGCGGTTTGTAGAGCGGCGGCAAGCGACGTTTACCTTCCTCGGATACCATTTCGAGACTCTCCTCGACGCCAGTCAAGGTGCCGAGCGAGGCACCCGACAAAGGTCTCACGACAGATATTCTAGGTTCGGGATCCTGATCCTTGAGCGGATTGGCATATCTTCTCAGATTCTCCTCATTCTGAAGATTATTAGACTTCTCGTCCAGATCGCTACGATGGCGATGTAGCGAGGTCTCGCTACTGGTAGTTGCCGTTAGGTTCGATCTATGTCTCATGGTTTTGAGATACCAGAGACCGCCGAACAATGTCAACAGCAGCACGGTCGTTAGAGCACCGCCTAAAACGGCCACGTAGCCACCGGTGTTGGCTGCATTAGCCGAACTGGGGAACGCCGTCTCTACTTTGACTTCTCGCATGGAAGTTAAAACGAGAGGTCCCGCCAGCGGACGACTCAGCACCTCGCCGAGATCTCGCGCTGCATCAGCCGCCGCTTCGGAGAAGATGGTTACTTCCACCGTATCGTTAACACCAGGTTTCAGATCGCATAGCAGTACCACCACCTGGGGCCTTCGTGGATCGGCCAGAAGCTTCCTCAAGCGACGGCACAGCAGTTCCACCGATGTTCCGGGCGCTAGAGTATCCCTTCGCAGAATTATCGTGAGCCGCGAACAAGTCGGCCCGAGAGTCGACTGTCCGGGCCAGCAGGATGGTGGAGCCGGTAAAGCTGGCGGACCAACTCGTCTTCCGGTTTCAACGGGACGACATTCGCCCCACGCTGGACATGGCGGCACCAGGCAACTCTCGCCCGGGCTAGGAACGCAGACTTCGTGGGCCAGACAGGAGGTACCGTTCAGGCAATTACCCGGCCCGCACCAGACGTTGCTGCACTGATTCTTGCTGTTCCGGCATTCGCACATGTTGCAGTCATCCTCCCACACGGGGCAAGCAGCCGTGCGAATCTCGCATCGCGTGCCGGTCCTTCCGGGCGGACAGATACACGAATAGTTCGCGATGCCATCCACGCAAGTGGCCCCGCCGATGCACGGATCGCTCGCGCACTCGTTGACATTGATACGACAGTCCGGGCCGGTGAAACCGGGCGCGCATTCGCATCTGAACCAATTGACTCCATCTACGCATTTACCGCCATTTAGACAGGGCTGCGATTGACAATCGTCCACGTTGCGTCGGCAGTTTGGTCCCTCGAAACCCTCGCGGCATACGCAGCGGTAATTGCCACCGTCGTTAGTGTTTACGCAAGTAGCACCGTTCATGCAGGGCGAGCTCGCGCACGCCGATGGCGACGCGATGTGGCAGGCCGCGCCCTCCCAACCGCGCGGGCAGTGACACGTGAAGCCATCGCCACGATCCTGACAGGTACCGCCGTTCTTGCAAGTGCCCGGCTCGCAGTGACCACCGAGAAGCGTGCACGTCTTGCCCTTCCAACCGTCCCGGCAGATGCAGGTGAAGTCCGCCACGCCGTCCACGCAGGTACCGTTATTGCGACAGGGTTGCTTCACGCAGTCGTCATCGTCTGGAAAAGTATCAATTTCATTGAGCTCATTCAAATCTATCGAATCCTATCAATATATGTTTTTATTTCATCTACTTCTCTTATACATCTCTTTCATTACTTACTCTGATCGCAAAGGTCTCCACTCCAACCCTGCCAACAGATGCACTGGAAGGAATTAACCAGGTCGACGCACGTGCCGCCGTTCAAGCAGGGATTGCCACTACAATCGTTGATGTTCTCGTGGCAGTGCATGCCGGTGTATCCGGGATCGCAGATGCATCTGCCGTCGCTACATCGGCCTCGACCGCCACATGGAGTGCTCTCGCTGCCGCAGCCGTACTCGTCGTCTATTACCCCGAACTGCGAGTTATGCGAGACCGGCTCTGAACAGTTCTTACCCTGCCACTGTGATGGGCAGTGGCAATAATAGTCGGTCTGCGTGTTGAAGCACGGCGCCGAGTTGCGACAAGGATTCGGGCTGCAGTGATCGCGATCGATCTCGCACTGATAGCCGTTGAAGCCTACGGGACACACGCACTTGTAAGCGTTTACCAGGTCCCGGCAGTCGCCGCCGTTCTGGCATGGCTTGGACGCGCACTCGTCGATGTCGACGTCACAGTCCTTTCCGGAGTAGCCGGGGGTGCAGCTGCAGTGATAGTCGTCCACCAGGTCGATGCAGAGCGCGCCATGCTGACACTGGCCAACGCAGTCGTTGATGTTCTTCGTACAGTTCTTGCCGGTGAAGCCGCTCCGGCATCGGCACCTATTGACGGCGAAACGAAATTATCATTATGGAACTCGCTTAATTACAGTCCGCTATTTCGCAGCGAGTTAAACGGATATCTTTAAATCGTGTTTAACACGATCGATACGCCCCCCCTTCGTGTCGACGAGTTACAATACTTTACGAGGGTAGTAAAGCGAGTAATTACGGGGCTGTCTCGAACAGTAAAGATGCCTTTATTATTATTATTATTATTGTTGTTTAACCCACCATAAAACAGAGGACGGAAGAAAAATGCCCTATAACGACTTAATTTCCAATAACTATAACATCGTCCGCGTGGGAAACCTATCATTTATACGTAACGCATTGTGATTCAAAAAAATGGAAAGACCGGACGAGAGACTCCTCCAGTTTACGATAACGACATGTTATTCGTACGACATTGCTAAAACATGGTACTTATGTCTGTTAATGATATACGCGACCTTGTATTATCAGATAAGACAACATGAAATTATCGAAATTTTTTCCCTTCTACATGTTAATATTAATTATATACAATGTAATACATTAGTTTAATATACGGATATTAATTTAATATACCCAAGATGTTGACAATTTTGACATTGATCAGTAAGGGAGAGTTAAAAATCTCTGTGTGGAAAAAACCGTAATGCATATAATCCTCTTGGATATTAATAACAAGCTCACCTGTAGTCGCCGGCCAAATTGATACAGGTAAGCGAATTTTTGCAGGGTGATTCCTTGAGGGTGCACTCGTCGACGTCGAACTGACAGAGGGCGCCCTGCCAGGCGGGCGGGCAGTTACACGTGAAGCTATTCTTGCCGTTCACGCAGGTACCGCCGTTCTGACAGGGCTGCGAGGCGCATTCGTCGATGTCGGTCGCGCAGTAGGTCCCGGCGAAACCCGGGGCGCACTCGCAGTGCGCGCTCTCGCCCAGCTCGTGACAGCTCGCGCCGTTCAGGCAGGGACTGGACGCGCACGGATTGTCGACCTTCTCGCAAGTGGGCCCGGAGAAGCCGTCCGGACACGTGCAACGGTACTGATCGGGCGCGGTGTTCTCGCAGGTGCCGCCGTTCTGGCACGGCTCATGGGTGCCGCAGTAGTTGAGGTCCTGGTCGCAGAGGATGCCACCCCAGTTGGTGTCGCAGATGCACTGCCAGCTCGAGCCGTTGCAGTAGCCGTGCTTGCATCCGGGATATGGCATGCACTGGTCGCACAGCTCGCCTCGCCACCCATGTCGACACTGGCACTCGCCGCTGACGTTGCAGTGACCGTGCACCGGATGGCAGCCCTCCTTGCAAACGGCTAGAAATTATAATATATATTTGTTTTATTATTATACATTATTATATTATATTATTTATATATTATAAATGATATTATTTGTATATATTATATATAAATTATAAAATATTTATATTATATTTATATTATATATGTATATATATATATATATATATATCTTATTTCAATTTAATATTAAATAAATAAATAAATAATTCGTATTGTTTAATCGCGTTCAATCCGGAACACTTGACAAGTTTGACAAGTCGCTGTAATTTCTCATCATCAGATTTTGCTGATGTTAATTATAATACCAATCTGGCACAGTTTCGAAAATCAGCTCGTTATATTAATTTATCTTTTATCAGACATAAATAAGATTTATGATATAACTGTATTGTCAAAATTATAATATATATTACTCTGTACTGTGCTGAATGCTGTAGAGAAATTTGACGTTTGATTAAATTATGTTTTCACGATGTTTTATTGTATTAAACATGTATTGTCGAGAGCGATGCAGAAAGAATCCTTGCGAGACGTCTCGGAGCATAACTATGGTGACGTGGTGACGGATTAAGCATTTCTTATTCGTCTTACTTCTGCACGGCATGCGACACGTAATAGTCATTGAGTCGAGCAGACGTAATTAGCGAAGACATAATGAACGAAACGAGCGTATGATGCGCTTCGGGAACAAACACGGAAGAACGAACGCGTGAAACTTTCGTCTCAACGCGACATCGTAGTGCATCGAAGGAGTCGAAGCAACAGGTACCTTCTCCTCGCACAGGTGGTTGGATGACAAAATCTAATTTCGACGCGGTCAAAGGTAAGCTTTACAAGGAAGACCACGACGAAGACTAGACGATGACGACGTCGGTTTCCCTCGCATCCCCTTCCACCCATCGGGATAAAGAATAAAAAAAGGAAGGAAGGAACGGCAGGAAAGGACGAACGTGACGGAGATCTCGCCGGCACCGAGCAACTCAATTAGCCGGTGGGACAGAAAGACAGATGAGAAGTGACAGAGAGAAGGATTATCCCTCCAACCGTGAAACGAAAACTCATGCCGGTTCGCTCGCGTGTACGTAAGATCCTCCTTTCGGGGTTTCAGTCGGTCTCTCCTACATGCACCAACACCTTTACCGTTACGTATACGCGATTATCGTACATACGCGTATAATCACACGGCGGTCCATTCGCGTCTTACGCTCCTACGTGCGTATATATACCGCCCGCGGCATCCTTAATGATTAATAGCTCCGTTCTCTCTCTTTCTCTCTCTGTCTATCTCTTTCTTTCTCTCGTTTCCGCGCCGCGACAACGACATTTACGGATATTTATATATACGAATGCATCGGCGACTACTTCGGGATCTCCTAAATGACGACGCATTCGCTCGTGACAGCCTTTTCTTTGCATATAAGTACGAGTGTCATCGTCCTTCGTCCTTCTACGTCGAGCCAATCAAGCGGATATTTTTACAATCTCTCCGGAGACTCTCTTTCTCTTTCTCGGAGAGCTCTTTTGCATTTTAGAAACTATAAATTTCCTCGGAGTTTCAAATGATCACGCTGCTACTCATATGCCTACGACTTATGGTTGTTGATTAATACGCCGGCAGTTGGGTAAATTAACTTGCGCGATTCGCGAAGCGTGTTTTTTTCCCGCATCCTTTTGCCGCGCGGAACAGCTGCGAGAAGAGAGGCGGATTTGTCGGATCGGTGTTGTTTGCGATTTTTCGCGCGCGTGATTATGACAGAGCTGCTTTATTCGCGCGCGGAAGTGTTTTCCCGGAAAATTTACGTCCCTCTTCTCCTTCCGCGTGCGAAAAATCTTTATTTGTCTATCTGCAAATCGCACGTTGAGCCAGGTCGTGATGCGACCCTCCTCTCGGAATGTAATTATATTTTTTTTACTTGCAAAACACTCGTCTTGTGACGAGGAATAATGTAGGCAAGCACGTTATTCATTTTAGCAGAACAGTCGCTAGAGTTTCATCTTAGATAGTTGGAATTCTAAAGGAGAAAGGAAAAGTCATAAAATGTAATTGTTAGTTCGTAAATATGTCACTAGTAATTCTTTAGATAGCGATCGTAAAAATGCTAAGATCTGCAGAATTTATCTTCCTAACAGAATTTGATCAAAGATCATCATCTGTCACAATTTTCCCAGAAGAAGCAGAATAATTTTAGGACGTTGTCGCGACATATATATACAGAGAGTATTTTCTCTTAGAATTTACAATATGGAAGAATTTTATAAAAATTTCTCTGATTAATATTTACTCTATTAATATTTTTTATTATGATAAATATTAATCAGAAAGATGATAATGTTTCGATATATATAGATACATATAATAATAAGCAAGATAAGAAACAATTATATGCATCCATCTGTATAGTCATAACAATTACAGAATGATGCGTTATATTTTGATAAAATTACGAACAAGCACAGAAGCTCATATATTTCATATACCGAACACTTTCGAGATCCTTTTTGCCAGATGTTAAAGGAGCACCGTAGTAGAGATTTTACCTCTCTCGCGCGCGCAACCAGGTTGGTGCATCGTGTGAAGAGGATGCACGAGTGAAATTCTCCTATTGACCTTTCACAGCGCGACAAAAATGTCGGAGCCAGTTCTCTCTCTTTCTCTTTCTCTTCTCTAACCGAGACTCGCGCGCGCGATTCATCGCCTTGCACGAACACGCGATCTCCGCCGATAGTCTCTAATTGGGATTTGCACATTTTTTCTTCCGTCTAAAGTAGAACGTGCTCAAAACTCGACAAGTCGATCTTCCTGCATCGTTAAACGAGAGAAATTTTTTACATCTGCGCACCTTGTGTCAGGAAGATTCAATCTTCCTGACGAGAGATCAGAAATTTAAGCCGTGGAAACGAACAGCTACGTGATCACAATGCACAATCAGTCATCGTTTGTATTTATAATATGATCAAAAAAATAAATTATCAATCAGCGGCTCGAGGCGATCACTATGTTGGTTATCAAACAGTGAGATCTTAAAGTTCATAGTGCCAAGGAAAACGAGCAGCGTCGGCTAAGTAATCGCGCGTATGTTATTTGAATTCCTTTGGCATAGTATCATGAGCGTGCCAACTTATGAAACGATTGTTTAAGTAAATTTTTTATTTGAACAACGAAAAAAGGGCGAGAATTGTCGTACACGGAGAGAATTTTCTTTTAGAATTTATCCTGAAAATCATGGTAATCATAAGACAATATACTCATATTGAAAGAATTTTATAAGAGTTTCTCTGATTAATATTTACCACGATAAAAATATTAATGTGTATAGAGTAAAATTAATCAAACATATTTTTATATCTTATTGTGAAAGATATTAATTTTTTATTGTGGTAAATATTAATTAGAGAAACTTATAAGAATTTTATAAGAATTTCTCTGATTAATATTTACCACAATAAAAATATTAATATGTACATAGTAAAATTAATCGAACATATTTTTATATTTTGTGGAAGATATTAATTTTTTTATAGTGGTAAATATTAATCAGAGAAATTCTTATACCATATTGTCCTACATAATTAGCATGATTTTCAGAGTAAATTCTAAGAGAAAACTCTCTCTGTGTGCGGTCGGGGTCTGGTCTCTCTCCTCGACGAAAGTCGTCGGTCCGTTTGAGATCGACCTTATGCATGCGTTGGTGTCCCATCGTAAAGAGGTAGGGATGACAGTAACCACGGAGCGGTCACGGCGAGGCGGAAGTAACGATTAAGCGGCGAAGAAAGAGCTGTTTATTGGTCGGCGCAGCATTGTGCGACGGGACCTGGCGTGATGTGTCGCTACCTTTGTGACGATCGTACGACATGCGTCTAACGTCCGCCCATTGAGGCACGCACCGAGATAATTCGCGTGCTTTACGATCCGTACGGGACCAGCCGCTGCTCATCTCCTCTCGATCCTCCGCAGGGTTCTCGCGCGTTTAATCGCGAACGTGACGGAATCGTTCCGAAACAGTTTCGTTTGTCCTTCCGTTCTGCCGCAAAAACAATTATTTATCATCTCTAGAGATTTCTTCTACACGGAGAGAACTTTCTCTTAGACTTTACCTTGAAAATCATGGTAACCGTGGGACAATATGATGAATTTTATAAGAGTTTTTCTGATTAATATTTATCATAATAAAAAATATTAACATTTTATTGTGTGTGGTAGATATTAATATTTTTTTATTGTGATAAATATTAATCAGAGAAACTCTTATAACTCTTATCACGATTACTATGATTTTCAGGGTAAATTCTAAGAGAAAAAATTCTCTGTGTATCGATAAACTACGATATAAAGTTGAGATGACAGGAACATGTTTAATTTATTTTTATTATTGACTTTGCTTATTCCGATTCATTAATTTACAGATTGCCCAAATGCAGATAAGAGGAAGAAATCTTTTTGACGAAGATCGAATCTTTCGTCCTTTGAAAATTATTCGAGCTCTCACGGCCAACGACGATGATTATTAATGGTCAGTAATCGAATTGCAAGCCTCGTTAGGAGGTGCACGCGCGCGTGTCCGTGAGAAATAAATAAACGACATTCGTGAATGTTGTACGCGGTACAGGTAGGCCCTGTCGCGAGATTTCACGCTCCAATGAATGATTAATTATTCCTCGGACGACGTACGGGACGGGGCAAAAAATCGACCTACTCGTTCCGCTATTGATATCTTCCCAGTTCTTGCGTGTAAAGAATACCATGAGAATAATGAGAGAGACGCGCGAGAATGCGGCTGTTACTTGCTAATACAGTACGTTATAGGTATATCCCGAACGAATTTTCCTAAATGATAAAATTTTATTGAGAAGTTAAGTGCATTAGCTGAAATTATTTTTCATCCTTCAAAACATGAGTTCTCTTCCCGTCGTCGACATACGCCCTCGGAGCTATTATAAAGTTATGGTGCAGTTTAAAATTAGATATTGAATGAAAAGCTTACGTAATATCTTGATGAAAGTAATTTATCTGCGAATTTTATTATCCGTGAAAAGATACAGAAGAGAATCGAGGAACGTGTATTTATATAGATATTTTTTTGCGTGCATACACACATTACACGGTGTCTAGTATAATTAATAACTGCGCACGGTAATACCTGGTTGTGCGTAATGCGATAAACACGGGATTAATCAGCAATAATTCATATCTAAAGTCGATGCACATCTGAAGTGCTAATACTGAAATATGTTACGGGACTTCTTTCTTTCTTGCGAAGCATTAAAAAAAAAGGGAAATTACCGTTCCTCAACGATGATTAGAACAAAAAATTATTTGCAAATTTATCTTGGAGATAAAAGATTATCGCGAAAGAGAGAGAGAGAGAGGAAACACTGTTGAACTTAGGCGTCGCAATTAATCTAAACATAGGATCTAAAAATACCATCTCGATAGAGTGAGGCAACAACTGCAACAACAAAGTAATACGTAATCGTCGATCAAACTCGGACTCACCTGTCTCGCAGTCGACGCCTTTCCACCCCTGAATACACACTTTGTCCCCGTTCTCGTCGCAGGTGTAATGACCGAAAATGTCGTTTCTAGGTCGGCAGAACTTGGTGCAGGTCGCATTGTAGTAATGATCGGCGCACTGGACTCGCACCCGATACGCCAAGTGAGCGTTCCTCCCTTGATGATTGAGAGTGTGCCACGTAGATCCTGGCAGGACGATGCCGCTGTAACTCGCCTCCTCGATCACGCCCGCGCTTATCTCATCCCTCGCTTGCAGGATCAACGTGAATTGCCTCTGCAACAGAACATTTTCCAACCATTTTTTCAAAGTTACATAACGACGGATAACAAATAAAAAATCTTGAATTTAAAAAAATTATCTCCCTACACAGAGAGGATTTTCTCAAAAAATAATCATGCGTACATAGAAAATTTTACTATGTACGTATATAGTAAAATTATTCGAATATATTTTTTATATCTTATTGTGGTAGATATTAATATTTTTATTGTGGTACATATTAATCAGAGAAACTCTTATAAAATTCTTCCAATACCCATATTGTCCCTGGATTACCAAGAGAAAATTCTCTCTGTGTACTAATCAAAAACTTTTAAATATAAAAACTCTACTTAATAATAAAATAAATTACATGATATAATTGTGTAAAATTAATTTTATATATTAAATACATACATATATATAAAATTCTATTTACAATTTTATATTAATTTAAATTGTAGAAATATTTTTTCTTACTAAACAGAATAATTATTTGGCGAAATCTCTGAGAGAAGGAAGACTTGTGCATATATCGCATTAAGATTCTTTTTTTTCGAAAGATGCATCCGGATTCTTGTCTGTGGTTCAGCGTGTTGTCGTGATGCAACAAAGTCGGATTAAATACAGAACGGTGATGTCACGGACGACAAGGGCTCATTTGAAAGAGGAAGGGAGGTGGTTTGATGAAGGCAGCAATTAACCCTTGCCCAGCTTGAATAATTCCTCGCCAGGCTCTAAGTGGGACCTTCGGAGCCTGGTGCTTTTGCAAATTTATACAGCGTCTGGCTGACCTTTGGGGGCGGTTTAAATTATATACGATAGTGTATAGGGTTACCAATTTTAGAACTTTGGCTTATGTAATCGAGAGTTACACGAAAGCGCATCCGTCGCGCAAAACTATGTGGTAGAAAACAAGTTCCGGTGTAAACAAGATGGTAAGGTGCACAAACGCATTATTGATTTTAACATAATAAATCTGGTAATGTAACGAAATGTATATGACGTCGATGAAACACATTGTTTCTTATTTTACATTCCCAGTACCTTTTTCATTAATATAAAATTTCTCGTTTCTTAAATTAATATAATTTATACATACGCGGTCCTTACAAATGTTTACACGAGTAAATTCCAGGAGACTTATAAAGCAACGTCATGTATAAGTGGATTTGAATATGATCGCAAGTCACGGTTGTAATGATCACCGATACATTCGTAACATTCTGCAGGACCGCAGAGAATCGCCGCTAAGCGGGATAATTACAACGGTTACCGCGAGTATTGACACGACGATTTCGTTCCTTTATGCACGGTTGGCTTATCTCCGCCATCGCGTTGCGTCGTTCTCGCAAAGGGAGAAGGTGCTCGATTGGTACCACCAATCAAGAGCCCGTTGAGTGAGTGAAGGCCGACTAATGCAATAAATAAATTCGAATCGCGCTGCTGAGATGCGCGCGCGGAAGACGCGGCCTGTCCGCTTTCTTCGCATTGCCTCAGCCTCGGGTACCCGACGGGGTTACACGGGAGTCTCGGAGCCGCCGATGCGATGGTAGAAAGCTGGAAGTGTTCCTCTGATGGAACCGGTCCCGGCGAAAAAAAGATTAGCGCGCGGCATCGGCGCGGCGTCTCGCGAGCCTGTGGTATAATGAACTTGACGATCCTCGGAATTAGACAATGAACGCGGATTCTGAGAGAGGGAAAAAGAGAGAGAGAGAGGCATTTGCGGAATAATATCTAGTGTCGTGGAAATTTTATGCGACTTGTCGTCTCGACATTTTTATATCAATAAATTTATATTACATTTAAAAAATTATATATGCATTGTTATAATACACGAAGAGAATTTTCTCTTAGAATTTATCCTGAAAATCATGGCAATTGTAGGATAATATGATGTTGGAAGAATTTTATAAGTTTTTCTAATTAAAATATTTACCACGATAAAAAATATTAATAGGTATAACAAATTTTACTATACAAAATTAATAAATAAATTTTATGTATAAAAATTAATCCAACATATTTTGTACCTTACTGTGATAGATATTAATAATATTTTTTATTGTGCGTGGTAAAAATATTAATCAGAGAAACTTATAAAATTCTTCCAATACCATATTGTCCCACGATTACCATAATTTTCAGGGTAAATTCTAAGAGAAAATTTTCTCTGTTTTATTTATATGTATATAAAAATTATATTTCTTTTTGATATATTTATATATAAATATAATTTTAAAGAAATTTTGGATTTAATACAGATACGCCGAGTCTGACAAAATAATTCGTTTAGCGAAAGATACCAATTTCTCGCAAGTGTCGATTTAACATGTGATACTTCTTGCCGATGCCTTTCCCGCTTTTGGCTTTGGTGTTTCTCGCTTAACTGTATACACATTCGTGATTCAACTACTAACTCGCGAACACAGTGAATCAATTTCTCTCGCGATGATCCGAAATATTTATGCATCGCGTCGATCGATTCAGCGCGAGTCAGTTTCTCTTATTCAAGAATTTGCAAAAAACTGAGTTGAATCTGTGTCGAAGAGGAGTCGATGATCACGACCGATCTGCCCGTTTTGTCTCGCTCTGACATTTACAAGTCATACACTCGATGATGCAGTCTATGCAGTACAAAGAGCATGTTGTGGCCAATCCGTGGCGAGTCAGACGTCTCGCGCTAAACGTAAAGACAGCGAGCGGAGCTCGCTGCTAGTACCTAGAGCAGATGAGCGCTAATTGGTGTTAATTGGTGGCTCGCTCGAAGGCCGGCTTTCTCACGCCCGCGACTTTCGTGCTCGCCTTTTTTTTACACCTCGTATATACATACATACATATATATATATATATATATACAATATATATTCTAATGCGGCCAGTCCGGTCGTCGCGCTTGCCACCCCGTGAAAAGGATGTTCCTTGTGCTTCAACATTGTGACGCTTTGTCACGCCGCTCTTATTTCTTCGCGACGAGTTCGTCACAATTGAGATATAAATTGTTTAAGGTTAAGGTCGGAGGAAGTGTCTAATGTCGCGTTAGATTTTTTTCGATTCTCCGACTCGATAATTTCCAACGTGTTGAATCGTTGTATATAAGATATAAGTATCGTATGCAATATATCGAGAACAATTAATAATCAACATTAAAAATATATAAATTGATTATTCATTTAAATTATTAAGCGAATTTCAAATATTGCCTTCGTGAAGAGATCAATTTTCCTTTTTTAAAAGCTTGGAAAATACGACCTTTTTTTATAGCCTTCGAATTTCTATGTGGATTATATGTATAGAATAAGCTCTGTTCATTCGAAAAAAAATTTTCATACTGGCTAGAAATGATCGGGACCCTAAAACAAAGAACACACTTGATGCGCCAAGAATTGTCGAAGACATTGCAATTGTGAATCTAGGAATTCGTGTGGGCGTTTCGCTACTCGGTTCGTAGTTTTACAATTACATGGTTAACACCTGACGAATTTTCCCTTTCACTGTTAGATGCCGAGAAGGAAATTGAAAGAATCAATTTATAGATGAAGAAGCCAGCAAAATACATATTTTGTAGGACATTTGCGAATAAAACGAAAAAATTGAAATTAATATAAAATCAAATTAGAAAAAATGAAGACTGTCTAATAAATAATTTAACTTAATCGCATTTTTTAATGGGTGATATAAAAATAAGTATTGTATTATATTTTTTTAATCGTGAAAAGACAGTTTTAACAGTCATTGAAAATTAATTTGATTAATGTTATAATATTCAATTATCCTACTTGAGCTCAAGGAGAAATAATAATAATAAAAACAATAAATATAACGCGGAAGAAAGAGAGAGAGAGCGTGGGATGTGTATACGTGCTGCTCTGCGACCGAATGCGTCATCTCGTATTCCACGGTCGTGCAGTACGTAACATGAATTATCCTGTTTCTTAAATTGTGCGACGCCGAGTATATGCATAAAAGCATTATTCGAATGCGTGTCCGAGCGCGTAAACACGCCGAAATGCATAAAGCATCGCGAGCAGAGATTCTTCACGAGTCGTATATATAATCGACATTGAAATCGAATTTATCCTTTTAAATTAGACATGTGAAAAAAGAATTGTGGGTGAAAGATACACCAGGTATATCCGAGCGAATAAAATGGCAGCCATCTCGAAGAGGATTAAGCCTCTCTTTATTGGAGATTGCTAGCACGATTCCACGATCCTTTCGAGGGACGTGGAAGGAACTGGCGGGCAACTTGCGTAGGCGTAGGAAATTAATTAAGCCGAGCGGTATTCTCGGAGAAGTCGATGCACGTCCATTTCCAAACGTCTATTCGCAATGGCCAATTAATTAATTTCCTGTGTGATCACAGTCGGTTCCATGTTGGCGATCAACGCCAAGTATAGACGTCTGCGAATCTTGTCTACGCACATTTTACGGACTAAATTTATTATTATTAACTCATTGATTCGAAAACACAGCGGATATTAATCTTGATTATTTTTTATAATTTCTATCCTTTGTCTAAAAATATTCTTGATATAATAAGATATACTACTAAAATATTTCTACACAAAGAGAATTTTTAGAAAATCATGGTAATCACAGGACAATATGGTATTGGAAGAATTTTACAAGAGTTTCTCTTTTTATATACTACGGTGATAGATATTAATATTTTTTCTTGTGCTAAATATGTATCAGAGAAACTCTTCTAAAATTTTTCAACAATACCATACCTATATATCTCACGATCACCATGATTTTCAGGGTAAATTCTAAGAGAAAATTCTCTCCGAGCGTGCAGTTTGCTTTAGTGCTTGTAATATTTTAACTCCGTGAAATATTCGAAATGGGTTGCCGATCCGGAATTCGTACGATCTGCATATCCGACGTGATAGAACCTTGTGGAGGCGAGTCCGAGGAGATCGAAGGAAGCGAGCGGATACGTGAAGCACGTAGAATCCCGCTGCGAGGCTATCTGGCCATTTGCCTGCCTGGCTGCCTCGTCCGTCACTCTA